GCTACTGTATGCATCCGCTTCGGGTCGGGGGAATGAATGCCTTGCGTTTTTGGCGAAGTGGTTCTGGATGTGAGGCCCAAGGCTCGCACGTATAGGAGTCTAGCGCGAGTAGTGGCAGGAACCACTTCGGTGGTCATCCGTAAAAATTGGAACGATACAGAGAAGATTAGCATGGCCCCTGCGCAAGGATGACACGCATAAATCGAGAAGTATCGCACTTTTTGTCGTCTCGTTCGTTTTACTGGCTGGTTGATTGGCGCGAGGGAGTAGTGGCGGCTGCGAAGGGGGCTGTGGCGCAGCGAAAAGGTGGGCGTCGGGCGCTAAAAAAGCGCAAAGGATGAGGGAAGAGGGGATCGAACCCCCGACCGCTGGGACTGGAATCCAGCGCTCTACCGACACCAAAACGACTTTCACACTCACAAAACAACAAACACACGCAAACACACGCAAACACACGCAAACACACGCAAACACACGCAAACACACGCAAACACACGCAAACACACGCAAACACACGCAAACACACGCAAACACACGCAAACACACGCAAACCAGCCACATCGCAGACCCACGCACCGCGCTCAAACCCCGGACCCACACCAGCAACCTGCCGCACAAAACGAACCCGCTGCTCCATTTTGCGTGACACGACGAGCGTTTGAGCTCGCCACGCTGAGCACCGCCCACGAACTCTCGTCGAGATCAACATACAAAATAAGACGGAAGCATCGCATGCAGAAGAGGGCCCACATGAGCAAACAGATTGCGGCCCCAAGATTCGACTCGGCGTGGTGTTGCCCCGTGTCTTTTGGTGGTATTGTTGTGGATGTGTGGTGGTTGGTGCGGTCGTGCGGGTCGTGTGGTGCGTGGCGTGTTGCGAGTTGTTGTTGTTGTTGTTGTTGTTGTTGTGCGTGTGTTTGTTGTTTGTTGTTTGTTTGTGTTGGTGTGTTTGTTTGTGTTGGTGTGTTTGTTTGTGTTGGTGTGTTGGTGTCCGTACAGCCCCTATAGCTCAGTGGTAGAGCACTCGCTTCGTAAGCGAAAGGTCGGTGGTTTGATCCCGCCTGGGGGCTCATCTTTTGCCTTTTCACACTCTCTCTTTGCTCGCTTTACCGCCTCTAGTGGCCTCCTCGCACCGTCCTCTACCTATCGCGGCGCCACATGAATCCCCACTGCTGCTACGCCAATCCCGCGGCACTCCCTTCGCGCTCACCAGCAGCACATTCGCGTAACCTGATCGTCGAGCGTCACAATACCACACGCGCAATGCAAATGTAGTAGCGGCTCGTGACACTACTAGCAGGGGCGCTGCGGCCAAAGACCGCGCACGATATGCACAATATGTGCTACGGACGAACAGCAGCGACGACCATGCCTCCACTGACGACGACCTCGGCAAACCAAGGTGAGGGAAGACCAGGCCCACCCACCCGAGTGCTACCTACCTACCCATCCGCTTGTCGAGTAGATTGCGAGTGTGAAGAGTCGCGGCATTCTTGGCGAAAGGTTAGCGTTACCCAACAAACACAAGGGAGGGAACGGAGGCGTGTCGAGGCTGAGCGCGAAGCCGATGCGTTTGTTCTTGTTTTTCTTCCTACCCCCAATTCGTTCGAGGTGGTGTACTGGCGGTTGATGTACCATGATTATATAAGATAGAGCTGCAGAAACAGCAGAATACACGAAGCCGGCCACTGGAAGCTGTGTGTGTGTATGTGGCGGGGGCGGTGTGTGCGTTTGGATAGGTGAGGGTGGCTGGTCGGAAAACGGTGGTTTTCGAATTGCGCACGATGACAGCTTGGCCGAGTGGTTAAGGCGTTAGCCTGCTAAGTTAATGGGGCAACCCGCGTGAGTTCGAATCTCACAGCTGTCGTTTTCCTTTTCTCCTGCCTACAACAAACACCAACGCCAAACAGCGAGAACTCGATGCGACGCCGGCCAGTGCCGCCTCGGCGCAGATCCAGCTGCTGTCGCCGGCCGGTTCGCACCAGCCGGTCGGCTGGCTATCTGGGTGTCCAGTTGCCTGGAAGACTGCTACTGTATGCATCCGCTTCGGGTCGGGGGAATGAATGCCTTGCGTTTTTGGCGAAGTGGTTCTGGATGTGAGGCCCAAGGCTCGCACGTATAGGAGTCTAGCGCGAGTAGTGGCAGGAACCACTTCGGTGGTCATCCGTAAAAATTGGAACGATACAGAGAAGATTAGCATGGCCCCTGCGCAAGGATGACACGCATAAATCGAGAAGTATCGCACTTTTTGTCGTCTCGTTCGTTTTACTGGCTGGTTGATTGGCGCGAGGGAGTAGTGGCGGCTGCGAAGGGGGCTGTGGCGCAGCGAAAAGGTGGGCGTCGGGCGCTAAAAAAGCGCAAAGGATGAGGGAAGAGGGGATCGAACCCCCGACCGCTGGGACTGGAATTCAGCGCTCTACCACTGAGCTATTCCCCCGACACCAAAACGACTTTCACACTCACAAAACAACAAACACACGCAAACACACGCAAACACACGCAAACACACGCAAACACACGCAAACACACGCAAACACACGCAAACACACGCAAACACACGCAAACACACGCAAACACACGCAAACACACGCAAACACACGCAAACACACGCAAACACACGCAAACACACGCAAACACACGCAAACACACGCAAACACACGCAAACACACGCAAACACACGCAAACCCCGGACCCACACCAGCAACCTGCCGCACAAAACGAACCCGCTGCTCCATTTTGCGTGACACGACGAGCGTTTGAGCTCGCCACGCTGAGCACCGCCCACGAACTCTCGTCGAGATCAACATACAAAATAAGACGGAAGCATCGCATGCAGAAGAGGGCCCACATGAGCAAACAGATTGCGGCCCCAAGATTCGACTCGGCGTGGTGTTGCCCCGTGTCTTTTGGTGGTATTGTTGTGGATGTGTGGTGGTTGGTGCGGTCGTGCGGGTCGTGTGGTGCGTGGCGTGTTGCGAGTTGTTGTTGTTGTTGTTGTTGTTGTTGTTGTTGTGCGTGTGTTTGTTGTTTGTTGTTTGTTTGTGTTGGTGTGTTGGTGTCCGTACAGCCCCTATAGCTCAGTGGTAGAGCACTCGCTTCGTAAGCGAAAGGTCGGTGGTTCGATCCCGCCTGGGGGCTCATCTTTTGCCTTTTCACACTCTCTCTTTGCTCGCTTTACCGCCTCTAGTGGCCTCCTCGCACCGTCCTCTACCTATCGCGGCGCCACATGAATCCCCACTGCTGCTACGCCAATCCCGCGGCACTCCCTTCGCGCTCACCAGCAGCACATTCGCGTAACCTGATCGTCGAGCGTCACAATACCACACGCGCAATGCAAATGTAGTAGCGGCTCGTGACACTACTAGCAGGGGCGCTGCGGCCAAAGACCGCGCACGATATGCACAATATGTGCTACGGACGAACAGCAGCGACGACCATGCCTCCACTGACGACGACCTCGGCAAACCAAGGTGAGGGAAGACCAGGCCCACCCACCCGAGTGCTACCTACCTACCCATCCGCTTGTCGAGTAGATTGCGAGTGTGAAGAGTCGCGGCATTCTTGGCGAAAGGTTAGCGTTACCCAACAAACACAAGGGAGGGAACGGAGGCGTGTCGAGGCTGAGCGCGAAGCCGATGCGTTTGTTCTTGTTTTTTCTTCCTACCCCCAATTCGTTCGAGGTGGTGTACTGGCGGTTGATGTACCATGATTATATAAGATAGAGCTGCAGAAACAGCAGAATACACGAAGCCGGCCACTGGAAGCTGTGTGTGTGTATGTGGCGGGGGCGGTGTGTGCGTTTGGATAGGTGAGGGTGGCTGGTCGGAAAACGGTGGTTTTCGAATTGCGCACGATGACAGCTTGGCCGAGTGGTTAAGGCGTTAGCCTGCTAAGTTAATGGGGCAACCCGCGTGAGTTCGAATCTCACAGCTGTCGTTTTCCTTTTCTCCTGCCTACAACAAACACCAACGCCAAACAGCGAGAACTCGATGCGACGCCGGCCAGTGCCGCCTCGGCGCAGATCCAGCTGCTGTCGCCGGCCGGTTCGCACCAGCCGGTCGGCTGGCTATCTGGGTGTCCAGTTGCCTGGAAGACTGCTACTGTATGCATCCGCTTCGGGTCGGGGGAATGAATGCCTTGCGTTTTTGGCGAAGTGGTTCTGGATGTGAGGCCCAAGGCTCGCACGTATAGGAGTCTAGCGCGAGTAGTGGCAGGAACCACTTCGGTGGTCATCCGTAAAAATTGGAACGATACAGAGAAGATTAGCATGGCCCCTGCGCAAGGATGACACGCATAAATCGAGAAGTATCGCACTTTTTGTCGTCTCGTTCGTTTTACTGGCTGGTTGATTGGCGCGAGGGAGTAGTGGCGGCTGCGAAGGGGGCTGTGGCGCAGCGAAAAGGTGGGCGTCGGGCGCTAAAAAAGCGCAAAGGATGAGGGAAGAGGGGATCGAACCCCCGACCGCTGGGACTGGAATCCAGCGCTCTACCACTGAGCTATTCCCCCGACACCAAAACGACTTTCACACTCACAAAACAACAAACACACGCAAACACACGCAAACACACGCAAACACACGCAAACACACGCAAACCAGCCACATCGCAGACCACGCACCGCGCTCAAACCCCGGACCCACACCAGCAACCTGCCGCACAAAACGAACCCGCTGCTCCATTTTGCGTGACACGACGAGCGTTTGAGCTCGCCACGCTGAGCACCGCCCACGAACTCTCGTCGAGATCAACATACAAAATAAGACGGAAGCATCGCATGCAGAAGAGGGCCCACATGAGCAAACAGATTGCGGCCCCAAGATTCGACTCGGCGTGGTGTTGCCCCGTGTCTTTTGGTGGTATTGTTGTGGATGTGTGGTGGTTGGTGCGGTCGTGCGGGTCGTGTGGTGCGTGGCGTGTTGCGAGTTGTTGTTGTTGTTGTTGTTGTTGTTGTGCGTGTGTTTGTTGTTTGTTGTTTGTTTGTGTTGGTGTGTTGGTGTCCGTACAGCCCCTATAGCTCAGTGGTAGAGCACTCGCTTCGTAAGCGAAAGGTCGGTGGTTCGATCCCGCCTGGGGGCTCATCTTTTGCCTTTTCACACTCTCTCTTTGCTCGCTTTACCGCCTCTAGTGGCCTCCTCGCACCGTCCTCTACCTATCGCGGCGCCACATGAATCCCCACTGCTGCTACGCCAATCCCGCGGCACTCCCTTCGCGCTCACCAGCAGCACATTCGCGTAACCTGATCGTCGAGCGTCACAATACCACACGCGCAATGCAAATGTAGTAGCGGCTCGTGACACTACTAGCAGGGGCGCTGCGGCCAAAGACCGCGCACGATATGCACAATATGTGCTACGGACGAACAGCAGCGACGACCATGCCTCCACTGACAACGACCTCGGCAAACCAAGGTGAGGGAAGACCAGGCCCACCCACCCGAGTGCTACCTACCTACCCATCCGCTTGTCGAGTAGATTGCGAGTGTGAAGAGTCGCGGCATTCTTGGCGAAAGGTTAGCGTTACCCAACAAACACAAGGGAGGGAACGGAGGCGTGTCGAGGCTGAGCGCGAAGCCGATGCGTTTGTTCTTGTTTTTTCTTCCTACCCCCAATTCGTTCGAGGTGGTGTACTGGCGGTTGATGTACCATGATTATATAAGATAGAGCTGCAGAAACAGCAGAATACACGAAGCCGGCCACTGGAAGCTGTGTGTGTGTATGTGGCGGGGGCGGTGTGTGCGTTTGGTGGTGGCTGGTCGGAAAACGGTGGTTTTCGAATTGCGCACGATGACAGCTTGGCCGAGTGGTTAAGGCGTTAGCCTGCTAAGTTAATGGGGCAACCCGCGTGAGTTCGAATCTCACAGCTGTCGTTTTCCTTTTCTCCTGCCTACAACAAACACCAACGCCAAACAGCGAGAACTCGATGCGACGCCGGCCAGTGCCGCCTCGGCGCAGATCCAGCTGCTGTCGCCGGCCGGTTCGCACCAGCCGGTCGGCTGGCTATCTGGGTGTCCAGTTGCCTGGAAGACTGCTACTGTATGCATCCGCTTCGGGTCGGGGGAATGAATGCCTTGCGTTTTTGGCGAAGTGGTTCTGGATGTGAGGCCCAAGGCTCGCACGTATAGGAGTCTAGCGCGAGTAGTGGCAGGAACCACTTCGGTGGTCATCCGTAAAAATTGGAACGATACAGAGAAGATTAGCATGGCCCCTGCGCAAGGATGACACGCATAAATCGAGAAGTATCGCACTTTTTGTCGTCTCGTTCGTTTTACTGGCTGGTTGATTGGCGCGAGGGAGTAGTGGCGGCTGCGAAGGGGGCTGTGGCGCAGCGAAAAGGTGGGCGTCGGGCGCTAAAAAAGCGCAAAGGATGAGGGAAGAGGGGATCGAACCCCCGACCGCTGGGACTGGAATCCAGCGCTCTACCACTGAGCTATTCCCCCGACACCAAAACGACTTTCACACTCACAAAACGACAAACACACGCAAACACACGCAAACACACGCAAACACACGCAAACACACGCAAACACACGCAAACACACGCAAACACACGCAAACACACGCAAACACACGCAAACACACGCAAACACACGCAAACCAGCCACATCGCAGACCCACGCACCGCGCTCAAACCCCGGACCCACACCAGCAACCTGCCGCACAAAACGAACCCGCTGCTCCCTTTTGCGTGACACGACGAGCGTTTGAGCTCGCCACGCTGAGCACCGCCCACGAACTCTCGTCGAGATCGACATACAAAATAAGACGGAAGCATCGCATGCAGAAGAGGGCCCACATGAGCAAACAGATTGCGGCCCCAAGATTCGACTCGGCGTGGTGTTGCCCCGTGTCTTTTGGTGGTATTGTTGTGGATGTGTGGTGGTTGGTGCGGTCGTGCGGGTCGTGTGGTGCGTGGCGTGTTGCGAGTTGTTGTTGTTGTTGTTGTTGTTGTTGTTGTTGTTGTGCGTGTGTTTGTTGTTTGTTGTTTGTTTGTGTTGGTGTGTTGGTGTCCGTACAGCCCCTATAGCTCAGTGGTAGAGCACTCGCTTCGTAAGCGAAAGGTCGGTGGTTCGATCCCGCCTGGGGGCTCATCTTTTGCCTTTTCACACTCTCTCTTTGCTCGCTTTACCGCCTCTAGTGGCCTCCTCGCACCGTCCTCTACCTATCGCGGCGCCACATGAATCCCCACTGCTGCTACGCCAATCCCGCGGCACTCCCTTCGCGCTCACCAGCAGCACATTCGCGTGACCTGATCGTCGAGCGTCACAATACCACACGCGCAATGCAAATGTAGTAGCGGCTCGTGACACTACTAGCAGGGGCGCTGCGGCCAAAGACCGCGCACGATATGCACAATATGTGCTACGGACGAACAGCAGCGACGACCATGCCTCCACTGACGACGACCTCGGCAAACCAAGGTGAGGGAAGACCAGGCCCACCCACCCGAGTGCTACCTACCTACCCATCCGCTTGTCGAGTAGATTGCGAGTGTGAAGAGTCGCGGCATTCTTGGCGAAAGGTTAGCGTTACCCAACAAACACAAGGGAGGGAACGGAGGCGTGTCGAGGCTGAGCGCGAAGCCGATGCGTTTGTTCTTGTTTTTTCTTCCTACCCCCAATTCGTTCGAGGTGGTGTACTGGCGGTTGATGTACCATGATTATATAAGGTAGAGCTGCAGAAACAGCAGAATACACGAAGCCGGCCACTGGAAGCTGTGTGTGTGTATGTGGCGGGGGCGGTGTGTGCGTTTGGTGGTTAGGTGAGGGTGGCTGGTCGGAAAACGGTGGTTTTCGAATTGCGCACGATGACAGCTTGGCCGAGTGGTTAAGGCGTTAGCCTGCTAAGTTAATGGGGCAACCCGCGTGAGTTCGAATCTCACAGCTGTCGTTTTCCTTTTCTCCTGCCTACAACAAACACCAACGCCAAACAGCGAGAACTCGATGCGACGCCGGCCAGTGCCGCCTCGGCGCAGATCCAGCTGCTGTCACCGGCCGGTTCGCACCAGCCGATCGGCTGGCTATCGCGTTGCGCAGCTAGTGCAGTTCGGCGCAGATTCAGCTGCGATAACATGTTTATTACTAATGCTGTGCTTTAGGAGGGGAAACGCTGGATTTGCTTCAACTTTTGCCTATTTTTTTAAAAATAAATTTAAATATTGTGCTGCACCTTACCAATAATATCAATCAAACTATTGCGTGAAAGATGTCAAGCTCAAGGGATGCGTTGTGTGCACTGTGAGCGTTGCAAGCGACTTGAGTGGCGCACCAAGAACGGCTACAAGACCCGCCTGTGGCGCACCAGTCGCTCGCGTCAACTTCCGCTTTTTTTAAGATTAAAAAAAACATTGCACAGAAGACAGTCCGCTTCGGACGATATTCACGTGAATAAGTTATTTCGGTCTATCGTAACAGACCGATGATGTTGACTTTGCCGCCACAAGAAACATCTACCTTCTTTACATCCTTTGTAAAGCGGTTATTTATCGAACTCGTGCTCAAAGTCAGCGAGCTCATTATCGATACGACCGTATATAACGACTATGCAATATTAGGAGAGAAAAACCACTATATTGGGTTCGAGTATCCAGTTGGGTTCTCATACAACAGGAATATCGGTTTTTCCAAGTAGGTTTATTTTAGTTTTGAGTGTCTTGCGTTAGTTTGGGTACTACGTATAAGAAGTTGGAGTGAGTTTGGGTCGGAGTGACTCCCTCCGTTAGCTCTGGATCTAAAATCCAGAGAATGATACGATGAGTACTCGTGTGTGTGCACCTTGTACTGCTAACCCCACCCTTTTCGGAGTTGGTGCTTCTTTGTAGTTCGCCTGATCCTCAAAAAGAAGCTGTCAAATACTGAGAAAAGCAGGAGAAAGGAGTCGAAGGGGGCGTAGAACCCGCGCAGAAACAAGAAATAAAGAGGCCAAACGTAGCAAGCTACATCACCGAAATCATTGGGTATATTGTAATGTCACCTTTAGGGGATGTTTCATTCGGGGGTAAGTTAGATAGGGAGACGTTGCACTGTACAAAAAATATGTGCTTCATGCCGTAAGTTTTACACGTTAGTAAGTGTGCGGAGCACGGTCCCGCAGCTCCAAAGGTACACAACACCAACCGAGTTGTCAGGCAGAGCCCTGCACCATGGGGCTTTGCTCCTCACCGCGAGCAGCTCCGCGCCGCGCTCCGCGCCATCCCCACCAAGACCAGCCGCTATGTGATATGTGTGTGGGGCTTTGCTACCAGCGCCCAGCTCTCGCCTTAACACCAGCACTAGCCATGACATCGACCGTCGGTGCACCGCTCGCCAGGGACCGCAGCGATGTGCTAGCGCTGCCTCATGCTCATGCGCAGGTTAACCCTGCCACATCTCCTATTAATGTGGCTACTGCTGCTACCGGCGTCACCACCCGGAGCGACAACAACCCTTGGGCGACGCGGCGCACGGTCGCCATGCACGTTACACCTGTTGAAATGACTGCGTGCGCGCAGCAAAACTCAAGGTGCATCGCAGCCGCGATGCAGAACGGGATCAGACAGATCCTAAGCTGGGCAGGCCACTCGGGTGGTCCTCGTGGCCTTCGGGTAGTTGTAGGTCTTTGACGTAGCCGACAAGCGTTAAGTCTCGCAACTAATTCATTCTGTCATTTACTCCAACAAGCACAAGTCGCCTCCTCCTCCCTCTACAACCGCTGTTCCCAAGCTCTCCACCGGCGCGGTCCCCACACGTGGTAGCACTTGTTGGTCAGCGGAACGCTGGCCAACAGATCCGGAGAAGAGGACGGAAGAGCGAAGAAGGAGCGTGCCGAAATACCCTCCCTGCAGGCTGAAGTGCATCCTGGCCCCAGTAACAAGAATGGAGAGCGCCCCCGCAGAGGACGTGCTGACGACGGTGGTGCGGCTTCTGGCCGAGCAGCAAGCGATGATGAAGAAGCTAACGGAGAGGACGGAGTCCGAGAAGCGAGTCGAGGGCATCAGCATGCCACACTACACCGGCCAGTTGAACGAGTCGCTAGAGCTGTTCCTTGACCAGGCGCGCCTATTTTTTAAAGCTAATAATATCGACTACAAAACCCCATCAATCAAAAACGCGTGCTGGCTATGATGGTGTCCAATCTGCGTGGCCAGGCGGCTGCGTGGTTCACGACGCAGCAGAAGACGATCAGCAATATAACGGAGCTGGCCACGGCGCTGAGGAAGGAATCCATCCCCGCTGGCCTGCAGGAAAGACTAAGAGACAAGCTGTACGCGCTGAAGCAGCGTGAGTGCACGGATCTGGCCGATTACATTACCAAGTACCGCCAATTGATAAGCCACGTCACGCAAATGAGCGAGCTCGACCAGATTACGCTGTTCGTGCGATGCTTGGTGGCTCGAACAAGAGAAGAGGTCCAGTACCGACGTTGCAGCACCGTGTCGGAAGCTGTTTCGGTGGCGATGGAGTATGAGCGTACTCACGCTTCGTTTGCGTCGTCACATGCGAGACCGCGACACCAGGAGCGACGTCCGTATCGTGAGCGGTCGTATCCGCGGGACGGACCAGAGCCCATGGAGATCGGCAACACACGCTTCCTGGATCGCTCTGAGTGCATGCGTCGTAATCTCTACTTCCGGTGCAAGAGACCGGGCCATCGCATGCGAGGCTGTCGCAGTGGGGGATCTTGTTCACTGCGCGCACCGGCTGCTCGAGGCCAGTTTGGCAGACAGCAGGGCTCCAGGAATGAGCGCTACAGCACTTCGCGCGACAACGCGCCAAGAATCCATCAGAGCAACTTCGAGGAGACGCCGCGTGACCCGCAGATAGCCAACACGGAGGATGCCACGGAGATACTGTTCGGCCATTTGACGGTGAGGGTCGCGGCTGTGGTACCCGCGACCGTTTCGGGAAGCAGTCTGATGCGCAAAGAAGGTACCGTGTCTCTGCTCAGTACACACGTGACCATCCTGCTGGATAGCGGCGCTGACCAACGTGATTCGCCCTGGACTGGCCGAGGTGGTGGTGCGTCGCAAACGCGGCTATATTGAGAGATTCGACGGCCAAACGACGGAGGATGTGGTCAACGAGGTGGAAGCAGACCTTTGCATGGAGCAGTGTGGCTTCCACCGACGGAGTATACACTCCCTCGCAGCCACGATGTGATTCTCGGCGCTCCTTGGTTCGCCAGGTACAATCCCGACATCGACTGGATCACGCACGAGGTGCACGTGGCTGAACCCGACGTGGACTACGGCAAGCTTAATGCATTTATCGATGAGGTCACCAGTGAAGACCTTGGTGTACCCATCGACCGGTTGGAGGCAGCCTTTGAGGGTCGGTCAGTCGAAATTGTCTCGAGCGTCAAGGTGGAAGAACAGCGACCAGCAATGCCTGTTTCGGCAGGAATCGCCGAGGTGCTGAAGGAGTATGACGATTGCGCGCCTCATGTACTGCCTAATAAGTTGCCACCTCACTGTGAAGTAGAGTTCGAGTTGACGATGAAGCCCGACGCTACGCCCAGCTCACGCGCCCCGTTTCGCCTCTCCAAGACAGAGCAAGAAGCGCTAGATGGTTTCGTTCAAGAGATGTTGGAGAGTAACTGGATCGAGGTATCCGAGTCGCCATGGGTGTCGTCGATCTTCGCAGTGCCCAAGAAGGATCCGGCTTTTGGTAAGCAGCCCAGTCGTTCCGAGTGGATTAAGCCCGGCAACGCTCAACATCCTGTTCGCTGGGTCGTGCACTACAGATACGTCAACTCGCAGACGGAAATCCCCAATATTCCGCTGCCCAGAATCGAGAAGATCTTCGATCGCATGCCCGGTTGCACAATATTTTCGACGTTAGGCCTCGCCCAGGGCTACCACAAGATGCTGGCCGTGCCCAGCAGTAAGAAGTTCACGGCATTTCGAACAGACAAGGAGGTGTACCAGTTGCGCGTGGCTCCGATGGGTTTGAGTGGCATGTCGAGAGTTTGGTCGCGTTTGATGCGGGTGCTCTTTGTTAAGTTCACTTTTGTTGTCGTCTACCTGGATGATTTGTGCGTGTTCTCACGCAGCGAGGAAGAGCACTGTCTCCATCTGCGCGCGGTGTTCGAGGTGCTCCGGGGTGAGCGGTTGTACATCCGCCTGGCGAAGTGTGCATTTGGACGGGCATGTATCAGCTTCCTGGGTCATACAGTCGCCGCTGACGGGCTGCATGTAGATCGCCTAAAGACGGCTGCGATTGAGAAGTGGCCAAGCCGCTTGTCCGTGAAGGGGCTACAGAACGTTTTGGGGTTGGCTGGCTACTATCGGAAGTTTATTTGCGACTTCACTGAGCTTGTGTTACCCCTCAGTGACCTGGTAAGGAAGCAAGTCGCGTGGACCTGGGAGGCAGAGCAGCAGCAGGCCTTCTTGCAACTGAAGACGGCTTTGCAGCAGGCGCCGGTACTGCGTCGGCCCGATTTCTTGGTGCGCTTCATCTTGACGACGGACGCCTCGGATTCTTGGCTTTTTTTTCTCGAAGACGTTGTCCGCGACGGATCAAAATGGGCCCGCACATGAAACAGAATTGTACACGATCAAGTTTGGACTGGCCAAATGGTGCCACTACCTGTACGGTGTCGAGTTTGACATATTTACCGACAACATTGCATGTAAGTGGTTTATTAACCACCCGAACATGTCGCCCAAGATGGCTCGGTGGCTCGATTTTTTCGGGCAGTGCATTTCGTGCTTCATCACATCAAAGGCAGCGCCAATGTGGCGGCCGACGCGCTGTCAAGACCGCCTCCAGGCGGTTCAGACGACATGGATTCCGAGGCCGCAGCTGAATCTATGTCGGTTGCAGCGTTGGCTACTACGCCAGTCTTGATCATTCGTGTGACGACAATTGCCGTCAGCGGAGTGTGTCTTCGCGTCGCCATCGCCGCGTGGTATCGACGATTCAGACGCTGAGCACTCGTGATTAGGACCTGCTTCTAGACTCGCCCGTGCCGGCAGCCACAGAGCTGCATGTCGTTGGCGTGTCCCAGCGTCGACTGTCCCGACAAATCAACGCGGACCAGCTTAATGTCTCCAGCGTGGGTTTAGACGACAAGGTGAAGGCACAATTTATTCGTGGGTATCGCGCCGATCCGCTCTATCGCTCTTTGGCGACATCGCGCAGGCTGCGATCTGCAGCTTTGGCGATGGGCGAGGCGACACAAGGAGTTGCTGTACTTGAAAGACGCAGGCTCGCTTCTTCGACTATGTGTTCCTGAGGATCAGAAACATCGGGCCAAGTTGATCAGTCAATATCACGACAGCGCTACCAGCGCACACCCTGGCCCCTGTCGCACTCAGCTACGGCTAATCCAATGGTACTTCTGGCCTACCCTGCTGGTGGATGTTTGCAATTATGTGCAAAGCTGCCGGACGTGCCAACAGAACAAGTCGTCAAATCCGAAGAAGAATGGACCAATGATACCGCTACCGATTTCATCGGAGCCGTGGGAGTCAGTTTCGATTGATTATATCACCGGCCTTCCCGTTTCGAACGGCTACGATGCAATCATGAATTGCGTGTGTCGGCTATCAAAACGCACTAAGTACTCGCCGACCCACAGCATGGCAACCGCAGCCGAAACCACCAATCTCTGTTTCAACACCGTCGTTCGCCATCACGGTCTTCCCAGTGAATTAATCAGCGACCGCGACAGCAAGTTCACCTCACACTTTTGGCAAGAGTTGATGAAGTTGCTGGGGATCAAGCTGGGGATGACGACGGCGCATCGTGCTCACGGCGACCGGCAAGCCGAGCGTCAGAATCAAGTACTTGAAGATGCACTGCGCTGTATGACGTCTTACCATGACAGGGATTGGGTCGATCACTTGGGCACAATCGAGTACGGACATGCTACACTGATCAACGCGTCGACGCAGTTATCTCCTTTCCAGATCGACACGGGGCGCATCCCGCGGGCTGTCGGCGCCATGACTCTTGATGCTGACACTCGAAAGGATTTTGCGCAAAACTTTGTTGAAGGACGGAAAGAGATTGTGAAGCGGGCAAGATCCAACCTGGGCGAGGCTCCGCTACGCCAGAAGATGTACTACGACCAGAGGCGCAGCTCGGTGACTTTCGCAGTGGGCGACCTGGTGCTACTGTCGATGAAGAACCTCCCACTTGCGCACACGGCGCGCGGAACCGCGCTGGATAAGACTAAGCTCGCGCTGCGTTACATTGGACCGTACAAGATTTCGCGCATGATTAACGATAACGTGGCTCGGCTCGAGTTCCCGTGCAACATGGCGACGCTTCACAACTGCTTCAACGTGGATGTGCTGAAGCCATTCAAGGAGACGCAGCCACGATTCGCGGATCGACCAGTGTCCAAGACGGCCCCGGTACTTGTAGCGGAGGACGGGAAACCACGACCCGTTTTCTAGAAGCTCGGCAAACGCCGCATGTTCAACCGGAAACCAGAGTATCTGGTTAGATGGGTGGGTCTACCGGAACACGAGAACTCCTGGGAACGCGCACGAGACATACTCCACGTGAGCCGTCGGAAGCACCTTCTGGATCGACTTCGCGACGACCAGCGAAAGAATATGGCCGGGAGGATGTCAGGTTCGGCCAGAAACCTGGCGCTGGCCGCCTCTCGAACTGCCTCCGAGAAGCAGGAGCCCGCGACAGCCTCACGTTAGACCAGTTGATATGACTGCGTGCGCGCAGCAAAGCTCAAGGTGCATCGCAGCCGCGATGCAGAACGGGATCAGACAGATCCTAAGCTGGGCAGGCCACTCGGGTGGTCCTCGTGGCCTTCGGGTAGTTGTAGGTCTTTGACGTAGCCGACAAGCGTTAAGTCTCGCAACTAATTCATTCTGTCATTTACTCCAACAAGCACAAGTCGCCTCCTCCTCCCTCTACAACCGCTGTTCCCAAGCACTCCACCGGCGCGGTCCCCACACGTGGTAGCACTTGTTGGTCAGCGGAACGCTGGCCAACAGATCCGGAGAAGAGGACGGAAGAGCGAAGAAGGAGCGTGCCGAAATACCCTCCCTCCTGGCATCGAAGATTAAACCCTGACGCGCTCATCGACGGCACCGTCGATTTGTTGACGAGCGAGCTAGACGCATCGGTGGGTGACGCCAGTGGTGCCTGTATTGTGGCACTTGCGAGGTAGTCCTTCCTGTCGAGTTTCTTGGCCTTCTTCTTGCACTCCGTAGCTGCCACAGGGGAGATAACATTGTTCAGCTCCGGCAAATAGTGGCGAGTCAGACCGTCTTGTGGGAAGCCCAACACCCCGTTGGATGAAGCTCCGTGGGGCGTCGTCATGGCACTTAGTGGCAACCCGTTAATTGCAGGCTGGATGGGGACCGCTGAGGTGTTCATCTGAATGTGCATCCCGGTACTTTGGGTAGAGAAGCCGTCCGAGTTGCTGTCCCCAGCGGAGGGGAGCTTCCGCTTCCCACACGGGGACAACTTCTTCGACGTTTGGCCTGCACCCGACGCGGTCGTCGTGTTGGACGTGGTGCTGCTGGCGCCACTGGCGGGCGCTCGCCTCGGAGCCTTTTTGCGCTTGATGAGCTGGAGCAGCTCCGGCTGGTTCTCTCTGAAGTAGGGGTGGCTGAACGTGCAGATGTCCGTCTTGGACTTGGTCCACTTGCGGAAGCCGAAGTAGTTGAGCTGGCGCTGGAAGCTGTGGAAGTTGGTGTGGTTGAAGTACTTGGGCAGGATCTGCTCCGTGACGGTCACGGGGTCCAGGATCTGCAGGGCCAGGCCATCTTCCGACCACCGGATCACGCGCGAGCTCTCGACGTCGAGGATCTCGTACAGCAGCAGCAGGAACTTGGGCGCCTCGGGCTTCGCGCGCTTGCCGCCCTCCTTGATCGTGGCCAGGTTCCATCCGTTCGGCTGCTGCGGGAGCGGCTGCGACGACGAGGCCGAGGATGCAGCCGCGCTGGCGGTCTCGGCCGCCCTCGCGGCGCGCGGCTTGGGGGCTCGGCGCTTGGAGGTGGCGTCCACGCCCACACCCAGGGCGTGGCCGACGTCCGGCTCCTGCTTCATGTCGATGCGAGGCGGCGGTTGCGTGACAGGGTCCATGAGCGTCGCCTGCGCCACCATGGACGAGGGCGTCAACGCAGCTCGGGGGTCTTGCGGCGAATGCGCGTGTGCTGCTGGAAAAAAGAAGGCGGTCGGATCAACCGCCGCGCAATCTTCCGCAGATCGAAGGAAAAAGCGAGCGAGCGAGCAACCGTCCGCGGTCTTATTCTTAGGCGGATCTTTGGCTGCGGCGTGCGTGCGTGCTCGGTGGCCAGGAAAGCCTCGGGCTGCCTGCTCCGGCGGGGCGGTCAAACCAACAAACAAACGGTCGCTCGATGACCGAAGCTCTGGAGACAACCGATGCAGCGCGATGGCGCTAGATGCTGGCCGCTTCGGTGCGAGTAACTGCGGGGGTTTCGGCGAATCTTAGCGAGTGGGGGCTGCCACTCACTCCTTGAGGTTTCTTTTATTTGCTTCTCTTTTTCGCCCCGAGCGATGCATTGCCGAGTCGATGGGGAAGATTTCCGCGCAGTTGGGTTCGCGAAATCGACCAATGGGCGTGCGCTGTGCCTTCTGCGCGCGTTCCTTCCTTTTTCTCGAGAGACGTTCGAAAAATCAGTGCCGCCTGATTGGCTGCGAGCTGATCCGCGTGTATCTTCAATTGCCGGGAGGGTTTTGTGTGGCTACATAACGTATAACAGAAGCGCTGATCTTCTTCGCACGAGGTCAGCCTCTGCCCCCACGCATGGCTCAACCCTGCGTTGCTCTTACTAGCTCAGCTCCGTAGCAATATAATATGGATGAGCAACCCGCCACCAGAGCTGTGGAGATAGGCAAGCCGGAATTGCATTGAGCAGTCTGCAAAAAGAGCAAAGTAGCTTTCGCCACAACAGAGCTGCAGGAAGAGGCGATGGTATTGGGTATTTGTTGGTTGTGAATCAAGATCAACAAAGTAGAACATGTGCGCATGAGTTGCTGCGATCGCGTGCGGTGAATGGTGAAGTGTACGATGCGCCAAGTTTCTAACTCGTTTTAAAAGGGCTGGGTCACGCCTCCTAGGAGCCCTGGGGGGGGGGAGCCCGAAAAGTTGGGGCTCCTGGGCTTCTGCGTTAAATAGGTTAAGTGAAAGGAGCCCTTCACAACTGCGAGAGCCCTCGTTAAGGGATCCCCCCTACAGGTTAAATAGCTTACTTCCGATTGACTGTAGTGTGCGGTCTTCAGGTTCAAACTTCGACTTTTGGAAGCAAGCTGTACTTTATCGCCGCCACGTTCTGCGCCCTTATCTATTTAGTGCAGGCCACATGACCATGCTGTAGCTACGCTCGAACGCGAAGGGCATCGAGGATGTCGATTTTCTGCGAGATGGAGGAACTCCCGCTAAACCGGGTCTCAAGGAATAAATTTAGATAGCATAAACCAATCAGGACAGTGCGTCAACTCGCTTTTTCGCCAAGTTGCAACTGGTACAGCCAAGCGCGAAACCAACCATATTCAGAGATTCGCTTTCAATGACCGAAAGAGCCACTTTAACGGGTGGCATGGACACTTTAACGAGCGGGTGATCCTACCGTAGCACCCCATAAAAGTCTATTTCTATAGCGCGACGCCTAATCGCGCTGATAAATGTCTAGCTTATATTACCGTACCTTGCTGGAAAAAGTATGCAAGAGTAAATGACTTCATAACGTGAGTTAATCGAAACGGGTCAGTCAACTTTTGAGTGCATTGAAAAGTCGTTCCATGTGAGTTGTGCATGCGGGCGTCGTGCCGACGACATACAAACAACAAATGGACGAAAAGATAGCTTACGTTTAAAGCATCCCTGTTTTTACTTAACACATGCAAAGCTTCCTTCAAGTTGAAGTAGACCACATTTAAAAACGAAATTCATTAGTATAATTATACTCTCAGCCCTTAGCCTGAGATAATACTGATAAGCATGCGGTGTTATATTGTTATTGTACACAGCTCATGTACATGTACATAACGTATAATATGGAGTGGCATGCGGCGTTATATTGTTACAAATTCAACCAAGGTGTCCTATCAGTACTGTATAAATATCAGCAGGGCGTGCAACCTGCTTTGCTACCAATCGTTGATTGGCTAAAATTAACTTAGGTGTTGAAGTGCACTTTTGCGAGTCTAACAGACTGCTAGAAAGCGATGCATACTGTTTGATGCGCTTTGCTGTAGCTTTGGCAGCAGTGCTCTTAGAAATGCAATGTAGTTACTACCATAGTCGTCGTTCCGGTGGTAGGAGCTGGTCATGGCGACCAAGTTGCTAGCGATCCGACCCCACGCTCTTGTTGAGCAGCAAGCAGTCTAACGCCGACTCGGCGGTGCCGAGTACGCTGCCCGGCTGGGATAGCGTTGTACACGAGCAACAGCTTGCCAAACATGCCCGCGATCTGCGATCTGCGCAAGCGAGATCTTGAGCTTGGTGCCGGTGAAGTCGAGCGGCCCAGGCATGTCGTACTATGGTCACGCCGATGATGTCGACCATGTGCATACCGCGCCGCTGGCGAGCCCGGTGCCCTTCTTGAGCGTCGGGGTGAGGCACACGGGCAGGCACCGAGCGCCGTAAAGAAGGTCCTGTAGGTGGCCCTGAAGGTGTCCGGGAACAGGCCCCCAGTAGCGTCCCGCCCAGCAGCGTCTCGCCCAGCACGCAGAGCACACATCTGCGAGTCTACCGAGAGCCACCACCCCTTGCCCATGTACAACTCGCGCTGATTGCTGTAGCTCTTGATGCACTTGGACGTAGGCATCATCACGCCGTAGATGGCCACGAGCGCGTACACGTTCGCGAACCGATGCAGGGCACGCGGATGATGGCCAGCACGGGTCCCGCACGCGAGAAGTTGCCTGGTATGCCAATGCTGTCTTGGGGTCCTTCGTTGCCAGGAGCTTCTTGATAGCAACTTGCCGTCGACGAGCGGATAGAGTAATTTAGGGAGGGGCTGCGTGCCAATAGCAACATCAAGAGCGGGTGGAGATAGCCGTGCCGAATACTTCACCGCCAAACCCGTGGCGACCTCAGCCGCGGCGCAGGCCTGCGCGCTCTCTTCCATGTGGTACACGTAGCCCCACCAGTCGCACGCGCAGCAACTCGCCAGGTTAACACGGCCGGAATGCTTTTCGCAACCCTTCGGCAGTATGGCGTAACTTAGTTTTTGTATAGGAGCTCTCATACGACGGTGTTTTGCTACCCTCACTTGACTTTTGTATGTGATAGGGTTGCAAAAACTGAACAGTATACTACTCGGTGCGCTACTTAAGTTGCAAACGAAACCCCAAAATTATTGGGCGCAGTACCAGCCAAAATCCTGGCCGATACACTCTGGCCAATCACAGGCAGCGGACCGCCAGAAATACAACCTGGGTTGCAAATGGCCGGTAATGTACCGGTACTACAGTACATATATTTAGTGACATATCTTTCATTTTAGTGACACGACTGACTGACGGATTCTGATTGAATCCCCTTCATTGATTCATTCATTCATTGATTCATTCATTGATTCATTGGTTCATTCATTCATTCAGCTACAGCTGACAGACACACAGCGGACAGCGGCGACACGGACGGGTGCTCGTCCTGGGGCGGGGTGGCGCCCCCAGGGCCAGAAGCATCAAGACAAAGGGCGGAACCAGCAGCGACGCGGACAAGTGCGTAGCCATGTAAATAATTACTTCTCTGTCCCACGAAAGTACGATGATTTCGATATTGTGATCTATCTTCGCTTCTACTTAAGATTTTTGGCCATATGAGACCTTATCATGAATCTTAGAGGCAGGCACTAACACCTGAATTTTGCTGTCCATTACTTTAGCTAAAAAAAACAAGGACGGGATGAGGCTAGCACTATGGGCCCATCATACCTTCCTAGTAGTTGGAAGACTTTAGGTGGGAACAAGCATGAAGTCCTAGTATTGAGGACAAGCGCATTCTTGCGGACTCTGCCCGGAGTTTTAGATTGCACACAAAAAAGGCAGTTTACCAAACACAATCTTTACATAATGGTATTACCAATCGGTATTAGATATCTAAAAATCTTAATACCAGTTATTAGGAGTTATTAACTTGGTAATAAACAACACTATTTATGACAGACTTTGCTTGAAAATACCTGGGAAAAGTGATATGAGGTTTTTCCCAAAAAAATGATTTGAACCACTTTGGTTGGGAAACCTGCATGGGAAATGGTGTATACCAATGAATTTCGTTTTTAAACGTGTCTACTTCAACTTGAAGGAAGCTTTGCATGTGTTAAGTAAAAACAGGGATGCTTTAAACGTAAGCTATCTTTTCGTCCATTTGTTGTTTGTATGTCGTCGGCACGACGCCCGCATGCACAACTCACATGGAACGACTTTTCAATGCACTCAAAAGTTGACTGACCCGTTTCGATTAACTCACGTTATGAAGTCATTTACTCTTGCATACTTTTTCCAGCAAGGTACGGTAATATAAGCTAGACATTTATCAGCGCGATTAGGCGTCGCGCTATAGAAATAGACTTTTATGGGGTGCTACGGTAGGATCACCCGCTCGTTAAAGTGTCCATGCCACCCGTTAAAGTGGCTCTTTCGGTCATTGAAAGCGAATCTCTGAATATGGTTGGTTTCGCGCTTGGCTGTACCAGTTGCAACTTGGCGAAAAAGCGAGTTGACGCACTGTCCTGATTGGTTTATGCTATCTAAATTTATTCCTTGAGACCCGGTTTAGCGGGAGTTCCTCCATCTCGCAGAAAATCGACATCCTCGATGCCCTTCGCGTTCGAGCGTAGCTACAGCATGGTCATGTGGCCTGCACTAAATAGATAAGGGCGCAGAACGTGGCGGCGATAAAGTACAGCTTGCTTCCAAAAGTCGAAGTTTGAACCTGAAGACCGCACACTACAGTCAATCGGAAGTAAGCTATTTAACCTGTAGGGGGGATCCCTTAACGAGGGCTCTCGCAGTTGTGAAGGGCTCCTTTCACTTAACCTATTTAACGCAGAAGCCCAGGAGCCCCAACTTTTCGGGCTCCCCCCCCCCCAGGGCTCCTAGGAGGCGTGACCCAGCCCTTTTAAAACGAGTTAGAAACTTGGCGCATCGTACACTTCACCATTCACCGCACGCGATCGCAGCAACTCATGCGCACATGTTCTACTTTGTTGATCTTGATTCACAACCAACAAATACCCAATACCATCGCCTCTTCCTGCAGCTCTGTTGTGGCGAAAGCTACTTTGCTCTTTTTGCAGACTGCTCAATGCAATTCCGGCTTGCCTATCTCCACAGCTCTGGTGGCGGGTTGCTCATCCATATTATATTGCTACGGAGCTGAGCTAGTAAGAGCAACGCAGGGTTGAGCCATGCGTGGGGGCAGAGGCTGACCTCGTGCGAAGAAGATCAGCGCTTCTGTTATACGTTATGTAGCCACACAAAACCCTCCCGGCAATTGAAGATACACGCGGATCAGCTCGCAGCCAATCAGGCGGCACTGATTTTTCGAACGTCTCTCGAGAAAAAGGAAGGAACGCGCGCAGAAGGCACAGCGCACGCCCATTGGTCGATTTCGCGAACCCAACTGCGCGGAAATCTTCCCCATCGACTCGGCAATGCATCGCTCGGGGCGAAAAAGAGAAGCAAATAAAAGAAACCTCAAGGAGTGAGTGGCAGCCCCCACTCGCTAAGATTCGCCGAAACCCCCGCAGTTACTCGCACCGAAGCGGCCAGCATCTAGCGCCATCGCGCTGCATCGGTTGTCTCCAGAGCTTCGGTCATCGAGCGACCGTTTGTTTGTTGGTTTGACCGCCCCGCCGGAGCAGGCAGCCCGAGGCTTTCCTGGCCACCGAGCACGCACGCACGCCGCAGCCAAAGATCCGCCTAAGAATAAGACCGCGGACGGTTGCTCGCTCGCTCGCTTTTTCCTTCGATCTGCGGAAGATTGCGCGGCGGTTGATCCGACCGCCTTCTTTTTTCCAGCAGCACACGCGCATTCGCCGCAAGACCCCCGAGCTGCGTTGACGCCCTCGTCCATGGTGGCGCAGGCGACGCTCATGGACCCTGTCACGCAACCGCCGCCTCGCATCGACATGAAGCAGGAGCCGGACGTCGGCCACGCCCTGGGTGTGGGCGTGGACGCCACCTCCAAGCGCCGAGCCCCCAAGCCGCGCGCCGCGAGGGCGGCCGAGACCGCCAGCGCGGCTGCATCCTCGGCCTCGTCGTCGCAGCCGCTCCCGCAGCAGCCGAACGGATGGAACCTGGCCACGATCAAGGAGGGCGGCAAGCGCGCGAAGCCCGAGGCGCCCAAGTTCCTGCTGCTGCTGTACGAGATCCTCGACGTCGAGAGCTCGCGCGTGATCCGGTGGTCGGAAGATGGCCTGGCCCTGCAGATCCTGGACCCCGTGACCGTCACGGAGCAGATCCTGCCCAAGTACTTCAACCACACCAACTTCCACAGCTTCCAGCGCCAGCTCAACTACTTCGGCTTCCGCAAGTGGACCAAGTCCAAGACGGACATCTGCACGTTCAGCCACCCCTACTTCAGAGAGAACCAGCCGGAGCTGCTCCAGCTCATCAAGCGCAAAAAGGCTCCGAGGCGAGCGCCCGCCAGTGGCGCCAGCAGCACCACGTCCAACACGACGACCGCGTCGGGTGCAGGCCAAACGTCGAAGAAGTTGTCCCCGTGTGGGAAGCGGAAGCTCCCCTCCGCTGGGGACAGCAACTCGGACGGCTTCTCTACCCAAAGTACCGGGATGCACATTCAGATGAACACCTCAGCGGTCCCCATCCAGCCTGCAATTAACGGGTTGCCACTAAGTGCCATGACGACGCCCCACGGAGCTTCATCCAACGGGGTGTTGGGCTTCCCACAAGACGGTCTGACTCGCCACTATTTGCCGGAGCTGAACAATGTTATCTCCCCTGTGGCAGCTACGGAGTGCAAGAAGAAGGCCAAGAAACTCGACAGGAAGGACTACCTCGCAAGTGCCACAATACAGGCACCACTGGCGTCACCCACCGATGCGTCTAGCTCGCTCGTCAACAAATCGACGGTGCCGTCGATGAGCGCGTCAGGGTTTATGGCGTCCTCTTCGATGCCAGGTTGCAGCAACAATGTATCAATGTGCAACAGCAGTCGGGCAAGCTCGGATGGTGGATCTTCACAAGTGAGCGGGTTCGCCACGGCTGCGACGCCCACATCAACCGCGCTGCCCACCTTGAACATTGTGCGCAGCCGCCTAATTCAACGACAGCAAGCCGGTGGCTCCGAGCAACAGCAACAACCGGTTCTCCAGCAACAGTCTCAGCAGCACTTCGACTACAACGGATTCTGTGGGTTCTCCGCACCAAGCGCACCTCAGGGCATTGTCGTCCCAGCCATGGATAGCCGTCCCGACCGCTTAGCTCAGTCGCTGTCTATGGCACCAGGGCCCCGAGCCGAAGTGAATCCAGGCCAGAGCCCTGAATTCTCGAACTCGTTCAGCGACCCAGTGAACATCCTCTTACGTATCAAGAAGTCGCGGACTTCGTCGGGTGAAGGAAAGGACGTGGGCACGAGGCAAGAGCAGGCTGACGACCAAAACGAGAACCTTGCCTCGCTGCACAACTATTTGCTCGGAAACAGCTTGTATACTAACCGCCTCCAAGCGCAAGTGAAGTTCCTCGCAGAGGAGAATGAAGCTTTGAAGCACATGCTGGACACCAAGAACCGCGAGGTAGACGCGCTGCAGAGCGAGCGCAAGGCGTTGCAGCAAGAAAATGCGGTGCTGCTAGAGGACAAGAACAAGCTTTTCGAGATCAACCGTGACCTACTGGGCAAGCTGTTTCCGCAGTGATTGGCGGCGCTAGCGAGCAGATTGCACCCTCGATACAGTTGCGAGGAAAATATCGACGTGCAACAGTAGAGCTGGCACGAGGTGCCCCAGGGACCGACCACCAGCCTCGTTGGTGGTCACTATATATGTAAACTGCGCCGCGCACACAGGATGACGAGCGAGGATCGATAAAGCAGAAAGATACACGCGGTTAAGGCGCACAGGACGACCAGCGGACATCCATGTACAAAAATCAACCACAAACAAGACGAAATGTGCAAAATGAAATCAGCATCTGTACACCATGAAACGCGATCCTTCCCTTCGTGCATTTCACCGCGGGCCGGCAATCGTCTAGTGCTTGCATTGGCCAGGGAAGCGAGGCAGCGGAATCACATCCCGGATGTTGTCCATCCCCGTGGCAAAAAGCACAAGCCGCTCAAAGCCGAGCCCCCAACCAGCGTGCGGCACCGAACCGAAGCGGCGCAAGTCCAGGTACCAGTCGAGGTCACCACCCGCAGCAGTAATGCTGTCATCGTCAAGGTCTTCTTCAGGGAGCAGGCCCAAATGACGCATCTTCTTCTCCAGCACCTCGAAACGCTCCTCGCGAACACTGCCACCGACAAGCTCACCAATCTTCGGCACCAGCAGGTCCATACCAGCCACGGTCTCCCGATCCTGCATATCCGGCGCATTCTTGCGCATATAGAATGCCTTGATATCGGCAGGATAGTCCGTCACGAACACCGGACCACCGACGTACTTCTCCGCGAGGAACCGCTCGTGCTCCGTCTGCAAGTCCATACCCCACTCCGGCTTCTTCTCAAAGCTCACTTTGCCCTTACCTTCCGCCACCGCTTTTTGAAGAACATCGATGGCCTCCGTGTACGTCAAGCGGGCAAAGTCTTTTTCCACAACGCGCTCTAGGCGCTCGGCGATCTGCTTGTCGTAGTTCTTGTTGAAGAAGGCGATATCTTCCGAGCACGTCTCAAGCGCATGCGTCACAGAGCTCTGGACCGCACCCTGCGCCGAGGCAACGCACTCTTCAAGGCCTGCGAAAGCCATTTCAGGCTCGACCATCCAGAATTCAGCCAGGTGACGGGTAGTGTTGCTGTTTTCAGCACGGAAGGTTGGCCCGAAGGTATACACCTTGCTCAACGCGCAGGCGTACATCTCGCCGTGCAGCTGGCCGGACACCGTCAAATAGGTCGGCGTGCCAAAGAACTCCTCATCCTTTCCATCTGCAGCACAGCAGTAATGCAACACATCATAGTTATTAGTTCAATACCCAAGTATCTCCATCTCGTCCAGCTCGAGCTACTCACCGATCTTGGCAATACGAAACATCTCGCCGGCTCCTTCGCAGTCGTTCGAGGTCAGAATCGGACTGTGCAAGTGCAGGAAGTCGTTCTTCTGGAAGTACGAGTGCAATCCTTGACTACAATTTATCATGAAAAAACCCCGAATCGTTAGCAACACCACCCCAAACGAAGGTATCTTCTCTCAAACATCATGCGCGGCGTTTACCCGAGCGCGTTGCGCACGCGAGTGACGGCCCCGAACGTGTTGGTGCGCGCCCGCAGGTGCAGGTTCTCGCGCAGGAACTCGAGCGAGTGGTACTTCTTCTGCAGCGGGTACTTCTGGATGTCGCACTTGCCCAGCACCTCCAGCGTGCTCGGGTGCAGCTCCAGCCGCTTCTGCTTGCCGCCCGGCACTTCACGCAGCTCGCCCTCCGCGTAGACGCTCGAGCCGACGGTGATGTCGCTGATCTTGGCGCCCAGCGACTGCGTCGCCGCCGCCTCCGACTCCTCGGCCGGCAGCGTGATCTGCAGCTCGCCCAGGCACGAGCCGTCGTTGACGTTCACGAAGCTCACGGACTTGTGCTTGCGCACCGACTTGACCCAGCCGCCCACGGCCACGCGCGAGCCGCTGTCCAGCAGACGCGCGTCGCGGATGGAGGAGCGTCTGGACAAGGCCTTCGTGGACACGGCGCGCGCCCAGGAGCTGCGCCACGCGCACTGCGCGGCGCCGAGGCCGCGTCGCCCCAGCATCTCGGATGAAGGCGATGCGTTTCAAACCACAGATCGCCGATTGGCCAAAACAAGATATCTAGGTAGCAGCTTAAAATCTAGGTCGGAGCTAGATACAATTTAGGTAGATAACCTGCGGCGAGTCCCCGGTAACGGCCAAAGTCATTCGCACCCATGTGATGCGATCCACTCCGGCAAGCAGAGCATGAGCACTCAAGTGCGCTATAGCTGCGTCTCACTGCTTTTTCAACGATTGCGTGTAGGCAACATAGAATTGCTCTTCACCCTGCAACTTGCAACTTACAGCACAAAGGAACTCGGGAGATGCGACGAGCAGTACTTCTCTGTTCCACCGTACTATCGCCATTTCATGAAATATACAATAACTTTACTATTTGTACTTCGTTTTCAGTGAAAAGAACACCAAAAGAGTGCTTCTCATCACGGCTACAAAACATCAATTTCTAAGCCAATCGCAAGGCGCGTATAAGAAGATAACTTGTATTTTCGAGACTGTATTTTGGGTACAGTGAGTTTTTTGTCGTAAGTCTCTCAATATTGAGTGATATTAGCTGGGACTTTCGCTATGCATATTTGAAATGATCTACAGTAGGGGACCAAACTTTGGACGCCACTAAGCCCTTGTACAACGCGCCATGGGCTTCCTTCAAAACGAGGTTTAATCGCCTGTTATGCTGAAATCCTTGCAGTAATCAAAATTACTGAAATCGGATTGGCTGATACAGAATTATGTGGACCCCATTAAACCCCAATGGCGATAGTACGGTGGAACAGAGAATATACGATAGACGCCTACACTGGTGTTTGCCGACCACCAAACTGGCAGATTTCACTGTAGAAAGCAAGCCTAGTAGCTGTTAGAATTGCTGGTCAAAGATCCTTGTAGGATTCCAAGGCACTGGAGACTCGAATGGCAAGCAAGATCAACAGCCCACGATAATGTAAGACTAGCATCGACGAATGATGCAGTTGCCCTGCTTACCGGGCTAAGGCGAACGCAACCTCTGACTCGCACTAAAAAACAATAAGTAATAAAAAAATAAAAATAAGAACCATGAAACTTGATTAAAAAATGAAAATTGATAGCGATATACCCGCTGACGTACTTCCTAGTTTCTTCCTGGATTATCTCGTCCAATGAGAGGGCATATCCATTTCCTCAGCCAATAGCACGACTTAACAATGAGAGATTCTAACTCAGCCGTTATCCGACATAAGGCACCATGATGGAGGCGGTGCACACCGACGCGGACGCTGCCGCCGCCTACGGCTTGCGAGCGCTCGCGACCGTCGTGTTCGACATCGACTCGGGGCAGAAATTGGACGCGCTGCACCCGCCGACGAGCCTCTCGGAGGCCGCCAAGACGAGTCTGGCGCACCTGTCGCTGCCGCATTGCAACAACCAGGACGAGGGCGACACGCAGTTCATCGTGCGCTTCCGGGACAACGCCGACGAGTCAGTTGCAGCCATTGCCGTGGCCATCCTAAGTTCCTTCTGCTAACTGGAGACTGCGGCTTCTTCCTCTTCCGTGCAACAGCCGCGAGCTCCTGTTCGGCTTCGTGCTCTTCCGCCAGCAGAAGGACGAGTCCCGCACGCGCGGATATTTCCAGAAGGCTCTGGTGCTGGTCAGCACTAAACCCTACGTGGATCTGTACGACCGCGTGCTGTGGGTGATCGGGCCGCTCTTCTTCAAGGTCGGACCGCAGGTGTTGGCCGCGGTTTACAACAACATCAAGTCGTGGTATGCAACACGATGACTTTTCTGCTATATGCTGAAGGGATTGCTGCTGATTTAACTGTTGCGTTGCAGGCCTGAAGTTGTGTACGATACGCCCGTGGTGTTGCCATTGGCGGGTACTTACATTTCGTGCATCATCCCGAAGCTCCTCGATTACGAGCATCTGGATTCTACGTACGAGTCGGACGGCGACTCGCCTCTTCACTCGCATTTCATTGTCGAGGGAGAAGATGATGCCACCGATGTGCCCAACTTCAACGACATCGACGATGACGACGATGACGAGGAAGAAGATACCGAGGAAACAGTGCTGGTCAAAGGTGGGAACTTTGTGGTCTCCAAGAGACAACACCCACCATCGCCTTCGTTCGGGGATCTTCTTCTCTCAAAGCGAACGCACCAGTCGACTCCGTTTGAGGTGCGACTTGATATTGGTTGCATGATGCTGCATCACACTCTTGTCCTCCTGTCATGGAACTTATCCCTGTCTCTGAATGCCATTCTCAGAATATTGGGCTGTATTCCAGTTTTGTGGGCCTGGAGGAATCACTGTGGCTTTTGTGGCAGCTTGCGATCACTGGCGAGAGTTTCCTCATTTTATCTCCTCATGCCAGAACGTGCAGTCAGGCTGCTCTCGCATTTACCAGGTATCGATCCCTCGCCTTCAGCATGTCAACAGCTTGATACTAATTAGTCGATCGCTTGTGGCCAGTTTGATAGCTCCGCTGCAGTTTCAGGGTGATTGCCGACCATATTTCACCGTGTACGAAGCTGACTTTGACGTGAGTTTCACTTCAAATCTTTTATTGCTTCAGGGGGAATATCCAGTAATCTTATCATGCTTATACGAGAACTGTAGACGCTCGCACGACGGCAGAACAACGGTGTCAGCAACCGGAAAGATGTGACAGTGATTGGAACCACGAACCCATTTTTCATGAAGGTACCTGTGTGCGTACATCGTTCGCTGTCGATACGGCATGTTATTTCTAATCGCCATTCCCCTTTTCTCCTTGTGCAGTCATTGAGTCACTGGCCGAACGCACTAGTCTTCCCTTTCCTTGAGCCTCCAAGTGCAAAATCTCAGCAAAGAAAAGGTTGGAATTCAAGAAACTAGAACACACTGTAGATTGCCATGACTGAACTAACCTATATGAAATTAGGTGCCAGTGGAGCTGAAGCTGCTGGTGAAGTGGATGAAACCGGCACAATCTGTCTTCGCATTCAAAAGAATGTTGAACTCGACGACTTTGAAAACAGTCACCGCCCCATGGTAAGCATCTTTGTTGCATTGGTCGCTGAAAGACTCGGTGTTTTGACGATGTGTGTCGGATGAATTTGTCGAACACAGCTATTGAGACGCTGTCCACGCTACACGGTTCCAGACAACACTGTGCTGCGCCAACTCGTTTCACCCCCGGAAATTCAGATTACCCAGACTTCAAGCCACGAAGAAGAGCCCTACGTCACTATCAACAACGCGATTTTGCGGAAGGTAGGCAGCTCGTTCTGCTATGGCGAGTACGTACAAACCTGCTAACCGAACTTGCTTTGCTCGAAAACAGCACTTCCGAAAGCTCACGAAGGACTTCTTGCACCCGTTCGAGCAATACTTCGGCATTTGGAAAGCTGGTGGGAGACGGTCGAATTTGTACATGAGTGCTGAGGACTACATGAAACCATTTACGCTGCCGGGCTTGCTGTCCAGCATCAAGCCTCGGCAGCTGCCCCCGCAGATCAAGCAAGCCAAGTGGAAGGCATTGTACACAGCGTTCGTCAAGTCGCCCCACTTCGAGCCGTGGTTCAATTACCGTCGCCAGCGCTGCATTCGCGACTTTGCAAATACCCTGCGCACACTTCGAGACAGCGTCGATGCGAACTTGCTCTTGAGCTCTCCCTTTGGCGACAACTTGTCCCAGGAGCAGTATGTCAAGCTGAAGAAGGAGATGGAAGTTGCACTAGCGTTAGAAAAGGCTCAAGGAGAAGTGGACAAGCAGCAGGTCCGGACTATCAAGAAGCACCTGAAAGCAGTCAAGGAGAAGTTGCGATCTTTCAAGCAAACTCAATAGAGACGTGTCCATTACCACTTATTCGGCCGGATACTTAACGGATTTTCCCGAATACAAGACCTGCAGAAATAGAAGTCCGGTCAGGAATAGGTTGGAGTGCCTGAAAATAGAAGTCCTGTATCAAATAAAAAACCGGACATCTATTTTTATAAATGTACTCTAACATTTAGATTTTTAAAAATGTTCGCCCGAACTCTGTTTGCTTTGGAGCTCCGACCCTATTGGTTTTGCTTCATAACGATACGATGTACCGGGAAAAAGCAACGAATTGTGGTCGTTAACCGATCTCGCTACATGTCTTGTGAATTCCGGCCAAATTTGCCGAATCGGGTCTGTTTTGGGGCCCCTGTCCAACCGACCAATACAAACATCAAGTCATTTGCCGAATCGCCGGCCAACAAACATATGGTTCTGTGCCCGCATGTCAAGCCCAATCCGTACTTAGTAGGGAGTCAAGGGGGCATAGCCGGGCGACTTTAGTCAACCCAAGTGCTTTGGCGATTCGTCGGTGGTTTGCCACGGTCGATTCAATCCGCCCCGCTCGGAAAATTAGAGTAGAACTCACAATACTTCATCAGCATAGACAAAGATCTACATGTAAACTACTAAAGAAGACGAAACTGAACGAGTGTTCATCTTTTTCGTGACGAGCATTGAGCGCCTACTTGCGCTTTTGCAGCGTTTTGCACGGCCTAGAATTTACTTGTGCGGCCCAAACACTTCGTTCAAAACTATATTATGCTGCTGCTGCTGCTGCAAGTGCGGAGGCGGTTAAACCCCCCACGGCTAATGTACTCGAGGGGCTGCTTCTTACCCAAAAGCTTATTGATGTGAGCTTGAGCGTACCTCCAGGCACCCTGATTTAGCGGCCCTACCTAAGCGTAAGCAAACTTCTTGGCATCTCGATTTGGCCAGCTTGTCAGTGAATGGGAACGGCGTCAATTCCTTAAGACGAACCAATGCGATGATCTTGAGGTTCTTACAACGAGCGAGACGCTCCTTTGCGAGCTCGTAGAGAATTAAACCAAGAAAAGTAGGTCTTCCTTAGTACAGAACCAGCCTTGATGCAACGCTTCCATGAAATATAAGTCCTCACCCGAATACAAGTCCCCTCGTCAGAATCGCTCGGTTTGCAGGGGCTCATGAGAATTAGAAGACCGGCTTATATTCGGTAAAATCCGTTACTTACTGGACAAAGCGGCCTACTTGACGGCATCGGGTTGTTGAGACGGGTGGGCTTTCTGGAACGCTGGCAAGGCTTCCAGCGCCGCGGCGATGCGGACAATCGTCGGATACTTGCTCATGTCCACGCCGACGCGGTTGGCGTTATAAATCTGCGGCTGCAGGTACAAGTCCGCAAGCGTGACCTCGTCTCCGAAGCAGTACGTGCCCGCGGTCTTGGCAAGCTCCTTCTCGAAAGCCTCAAAGCCTCGTTCGGTCCAGAATCTGCCCCACTCCTGCTTCTTGGCCGGCCGCTGCTCCTCCGGGACGTTCTCGGTCGCCTGCTCATCATCACTCGCGAACGCAGTAAGGTTATTATACTACCACCGTTCAAGAGCCGACTCAACTCGCTGCACTGCATCCTCCTCACCTTAACCTGCACCGCCAAGTTCTGGATCGGCTGGATGTCGCAGCCGATGATGCCACACAAGTTGCGCACCTGGGCGCGAGCGAACGGGTCGCTGGGCAGCAGCGGCTTCTCCGGGTGCGTCTCCTCCAGGAACTCGAGGATGGCGGTGGACTGCGGCAGCGCGTGGCCGTCCACCACGAGCGTCGGCAGGCGCTGCGTTTCAAGTCGTAATATCAAGTCAAGTTAGCTTCGAGCGCGTCTGAAATCTCTCTATAGAGGGGCAAGTGCAGGCGGCACCTGGTTCGGGTTGAGCGCCGTGTACTCGTCCTTGAGGTGCTCGCCGCCGCCGGTCAGCAGGTGAACGGCTCGGTAATCGTAGGGGATGCCCTTCCACTCGAGCGCCACGCGCACGCGCCACGAGCAGCTGCTGCGCCAGTACGAGTACAGCACGTACTTGTCGGTGGTCGCTTGGCCGCTTGTCATGGTTGAAGGCAAAATGGCGAATGAGACCTTGGTGCAACGTGCCTGCAAGTGTACCCCCAAGTGTACCCCTGCGTCTCACTTCAATGTACCCCCTGCGTGCGTCTCATGCTCAGAGATGTATACAATTGTAAAAGTACTCGAAATTTACACCTATCTACCTGTAAATTACGGTTAACTATCCCGTGTTTACTCGCACGTCACTTCGGACCTGAGCCCGGACGGCCATGTCCTCCCCGCGGCACGAGGTGATCGACGTGGACAGCGCCTCCGTGCCGCCGCCTGGCCGCGGGCGGCGCGCGCTCACGCTGGACGGTGCGGACGCCCAGAGCCACTACGACGACTCGTCCCGCAGCGAGGAGGACGACGAGCAGCTGGACGAGGAGGATCTCGACGATGACGACGACGCGCAGTCCGCGCAGGACGAGGAGCACGCGTACCGCCGCGGTCGCCAGGCCATCCCAATGGAATCCCCCGGGGACGAGCTGCGCAGCGACCACCTGATGCTGGACGACGACGACGAAGAGGTCGCGAACGCGGCCAGACAGTCGGCGGGCATCGGCGTGCAGCGGCTGCGCAGACTGCGAGGCCGGCGCGGCTTCTTCCACTCGGACTCGGACGTGCGCAGCTTCCGGTACAGGTCCAGCGGCGGCATCTTGCAGCGCATCACGCTGCGGAGACGCAAGAAGCGGGAGGAGGAGCACGACGTGTTCTGGACGGCCATCGGCGTGCTCACGCTGCTGAGCTTCGCGCTCATGAGCTGCATCACCATCTACCTCACGCAGTCGGACTTCTTCGAGTCGCACCAGAACGACCTGTTCGGCACGACGGTGGACAACCGCTTCACGGTCGTGGCGCAGGACAAGGCGCAGATTTTCCTCAAGAGCGGTACGTGACGTGCAGGTTCATAGTCTGGATCGATGAAGGAGGTGAGGTGTGACTGAAAGGCTTATTTATTGATGGTATTATGCGTAGGTTACTCGAACACGGTGTACTCGGAAGGGATGATCACCTTTGACGACGGCGAGCTGAGGATAGGACGTCGCGCGGTGGAGTCGGAGGAGTCCAAGAGTTTCTTCGGCGTAGCGTTCTTTCCAAATGGAACGTCGTCGTTTACGCATAGAGTGAACTGTAAGTGTGGAGATGTTGCTACTGATTTGTGTGTCTATATATCAAGAAGCTGACGTGTGCGTTGGTTGCTTTTCGTGTGGTAACTTTTAGCCCCAATGGTCGAGGCTGATTACTTGAGTGCCAGGAAGGGTGTTGTATTTGATGATGGTACTATGATGACTACAGCTGCGAACAGTTCTGGTGGTGTGAAGGAGCAGGGTGATCTCAATCTCGTATCGCGGTCTGGAGCTGTCGTCACGAGCGCTGGAGGAAAGTCTCTACTCTTTGTTGATCCAGCTGGCACTGTTACAGTGGCCAACACCAAGTCAGAGCATCCTACATCGTCGGGTATCACGTTGGATGGCACGCATGGAGTTGTTAGCATCGGCAGTGGCTTGAGGATAAAGCACGACCAAAACGCGTCTAGCTTGTCAACGTCCCGACCTCTGAACCTTGACACGAACACACTTTTCGTCGGTTCTTCCTCAAGCGAGAAAGTACGAATCTCGGTTCCTGAAGCAGTTGGTGGCAGCAGCAGCATCGACGAAGAGGATGGTGCACGAGCGCTGGAAGCAGAAGAAGTCAAGAGCATTACTCTGGAAGTTGTCGGGCAGACGTCGTCGACACAAAAAGAAGGTGGCGATGTGCGAATTGTGGGCGGCAACGGGTTGGATATTGGTGGTGACGTAACACTGATTGGAGGTCAAGCTACCGATTCGGAATCGAGTTACGGAACTGTGGCAATCAATGCCGGACTCCATCAGGCGGCCTCGTCGTTTACAGAGATCGGCACGCACAGCGCGACCCATGAGGTTAACATCCACGGGCTGGTCTCGTTTAACCATAAGGCTGGCAGTGTGAACGATACTACGCAGGTTAAAGTTGGGGGAGGCCGGTTTAATGTGTCATCACAGCGCATCACACTCGATAACCGAGCGACCAGCTTATCCGAGCTGCATATCAACTCGAACGAAGTCCTACTGGGTGCGTCTTCGCCATCCGTTCAAGTAGGCGGAGCTGGATTCTCGACGGTAAAAGTTGAGGGTACTAGTACCTCACTCGATGCTACCAAAAAGGTAGCTGTCGGTGGCAGTGCTCCGTCGGTTGTTATCGGCGATGTTGATGCCTCTAAACAAGTGGTCAAGGTGGCGTCATCGGTAGTTCAAATCGATGCCTCGCGTTCGGTGGCCATTAACTCGCACAATACCCAAGCCGTCACGACCATATCGGGACGCGTACACTTTAACGGCTCCTCCACTAAAGACTCGCTACTGTCTATTACAGACGTTGCCGTCAGAGCCAACCCTCCCAAATTTCGCGTGGGGCCCAAAGGAAAAACGGAAATTGCATCCATCGAGGCGACGCATGTGACTATCGGAGGACCTGGTGCGAATGCGACTGTTCTTCCGCCCAGTGAAAGCAAACTGGAACTATTTAGCTCCAGCATCACCGTCGGCTCTGAAGGTTGGTTTTTGTTCTGATGATCTGATTGATTTGAGGAATCGTTCACTCACGCATGTGAATTTCTCATTTGTATTTTTTGTAGCGTCGGAGGTCTCATTGACAGGGAAGTCCGTGGTAGTGGATGCAATGGAAACGCTAGTTGTCGGTGAACAAGCAGACGAGGTTAATATCGGTGGCGAGGAGGTCGGCAAGGTCAATCTGCAGGGCGAAGCTGTGTCGTTATCCGGTATGTGGTATTCAAGGCGTTGTTGCACTCCTACATTTTGAAATACTAATGTGCTTTTTGTGACGATGAATAACAGGTGCAGGTACAATTAACGGTTCATCGCTCTCCGTGCACTCGTCCGAAATCAATATTGGTGGTAAGTCCACGAGTGACATCACGGTCGGCGCACCAGGAGCGAGTCTAGATATTGGTTCCAAAGCCAAGGATTTGACTATCGGCGTGGGAAGCTCAACCATCGATATCGGCTCCGACGATAGCGTGGTCAACCTGTACGGAAGTATCACCGTGAACGGCAAGTCACTGGACAGCCGCCGTCTCGCTGCGGAAAACGACGCATGGAACGGGATGAGAAGTAAGCGTTATGGCTACCTCAACGCCGGTCGCGTTAGTGTGTTGGTCACGCCGACAAAGCCGCTGACAACGTTTGCTCTTCATTGGGAAAACGGGTTTTCGTCGGAGCCCGAAGAATTCCAAGTCGACACGAGCAGAGAACGAATGCTTTCGATTTTGCCGACATCCAATGGCGGTAAAGCCGATGCAAGACATCTTCAGATCTCACTACAGATTTCCAGCGTGGTGCTCGCTCTCCAGAGTGAGAATGCAGCGGCTAACACACAACCAAACAAGATTCGGTACGTGCTACTACGGTGTAGTGTAGAGTTCAGTGTCGGCGGTACTGGGTCTGTCTAATCGCTCATTTGACGTGCCTGATAGTTGCCGTGTTTATCGTCATCGTGCGGAGTTGCCGGGTGTAGTCGCATTGGAAGTGAGTGCTGCTGTTGAGCACTGCTTTGGAGTAGCATGCGAAGACGGAATTTTCCTTGGGCTACAAGGGCAGCGGATTGTTCCGTACAGTCCAGGCGATGCGTTTTCCACTCAGTGCTCGCTAGCATCTAATGTGGCAGGGGAGCTGGTGCTCAAGGACGCTCAGTACTCTTTTGCAGAGCAATAATCGTCGTATAAAATACAATAGAGGAACTCACCAATGTCATCCAAGTAACCGCAAAATCTCAAGCGTCTTCTCCTGAATGCCCTCATGCTCTGGAAAGCAGGCATGGGCAGCTTCGGCCACTTCCCGTACCCCTTCACGGCGTGCAAAAGCCTGCAGGCGCTCGGTACCTGAAAGCAAGTTGACCAGAGCCCAGCTCCCGTAGTATTGGACATGGTCGTCCGCAGGGCAGTTGAGCATCGCTGCTATGATAGCGCCCAGACCACCTCGCATTGCAATGCTGTCACACATCAAGTCTAGTTCACAACCCACGAATTAGATTGTGAAGTGTACCAACTAGCCTGTCATCAGTCTCTAGTAACAGTACCTGATCCTGCTAGCGTCAACAAAGCCCAGCAGCTACGCTTCTGCACACCAGGATGCTCGGGAAACGTTTGCATCGCCTGTAGCACTGCATCGATTCCGCCTCCGTCAAGGATCCGCTTACGATTGGTCTCTATCATCAGGAAAATGTTAGATAAGTGAACGGAATACAGACTACAGAACAGCCCTACCACAATTGTGCGCAAGGTTCGTCAACAACACGCAGCTTGCTTCTTGCATCTTGGGTTCCAACTGGAAGAGTTTCATCGCTGCTACAACAGGGTCGACGCCACCTTCTGCTACTACTATGAGACGGTTGCGGTCGTGATTGAACACCGCTACACTCAAGCATCTGCAGCACTCGAGCTGAAGCACGAGGTTACTTCGATGCTGGTGCATGAGCGTCAGCACTGACTTGATCACGAGGCATTCCGGAAGGTCATCCTTCAGGCTGTCATCGGACTTTAGCAGCGAAGTTAGCTGCTTGAGTGCTTTCAGTAACTGCTGCTGGTCTGCATCCTCCACCCGAGCGTCTTCATTGTCGCCTCCTGTGAGAACACGAACCAGCTTCATAATCGGAATATTCTTGACAGCCTTGCGCACGCCAACCCCACCGATACTCGCATCATCCCAACTGCGGTGACGACGATGTCGTTGCTTCTTCGCGTCGCGTACAAACGGAGCTCGACCAGAACGCTCTTCGCACTCTTTGCAGTATCCTGAGGCACCCACAAGGTACCGTGGGGCATCGCATTGAGGAGTGAGGCACTGTTTTAGCTTGCGAGCTTTATCTGTGGAAACACAACAGGCAAGTTAGAACCTGTTAAGTGTGGGTCCGTAAGTGTCATGCACAGTCACCACCATCACACTTACCCTCTTCGGCTTTCTTCTTCGCTTGCCGATCCAATTCTTCCTCAAAATCGGCAATTCTGGCCTTCAACACCTCGATTTCGGTGTTTGCTCCCTGGAGTTGTTTGCGTAGCGCGGCAATGTCTCCAACGTGCTCATCAATTCGAGAGTTTAAGGAAAGGAGATCTCTTCGCGCATCAGCTTGTTCAGCTAACAAAGCATCCTTCTCGGCACTTGCTTCACTTAAGCTAGCTTCAAGGCGAGAAATATCTGATTGCAACGAGACCTGACTGGCGAGTGCACCTTGAAGCCGACGAGACAGCTCATCGACTTCTTTATCCTTGAGCGCAAGTACGTACGAAAGGGACTCCTTCGGGGCGAGCTTTCGCGTGGGACTTTGCTGCAGCACGCTTGAATAACTACACCGTTCTTCTTCCATTTGCAGAAGTTGCCGACTGGCTGCTTCAGCCTGTCTTTCAATCTTCCGTCGTACACGCTGCTCTTCTTCCCATCGGTGAATTGCTTGGGTTAAGCGACCCTCAAGATCTTCCAGTGTTTCCTTTTCACCGCCCACCTTGCGCGCTATCGCCGCGCGTTCTGCTTCCACCCCCTCCTTTTCTATGCTAAGTTTGCGCTTCTCGTCTTTGAGTTTCAGTATTTCAAACAGAAGCCCTTGCTTCTCCTCAGCGTCTGCGATTTTAGATAGTTGTAGTGCCTCGATCCTTTTCAGTTCTTCATCCAAAGAGACTTGCAGCCTAGAGACGTGCTCCTCTTGTGATTGGATCTTAGCCTTCAGCTGATTTACTTCCTCATCACGTTGGCGCAATTGCTTCTCTTTCAGTTCTAGTTGACTCTGCAGTCGTTCCTTTTCCTTAGTTTCTTGCGCTCCCATTTGCTGAGCTTGTTCCAGTTGAAGCACGAGCACCGCAAAGTTTTTCTGTTCATCCAACAGCTCTTGCTCTACAGCAGAGAGCCGCTTAAGATCGACTTCTCCTCGGCGGTCCCGTTCTCGAACCTTTATTTCAATTTGCTCAGCTTCCTTGCTAGCAAAATACCGGTCAGCATACAAAAAAGATGGAAACGATGACGACGAGAGCCGCAATTCTTCTGTAGCTCGGTGCTGTTCGTTTGCCACTAGCACGTTCAGTAAATCATCCGCCTGAACATGTGCAGAGCTTTTCCGCCGATTTTCCGATGCGATAACACCTTCTAGCGACAGTGTCAGCTCAAGGGCCTTGTAGAAGACAGGATCAATCTGTTTTGCACAGGATATGCGGTTGAATAGCTCGTTCGTGGGTTTTTCACATGCGCACATTTCGAGGAGCAGGACACCAAAAGCATAGAGATCTTGCTGTAAGGACGTGAATTCTGCGGCATTGGAGTCATCGGTCGTGGGCGACGCTGGTGTTCCAGGTTGCGACGAGCATCGAGAAGGAACTGGACTGGATCGTGAGGGGGATGATGAACCCAGCGACGAGTTGGTGGAGCACCGCGTCTGTGACCTTGAGCTTGTGCGAAGCTCAGGTGCCATTTCATAGACAGTCGTTAACGCGGGACTCGAGAGCTGCGACGGTGCCTTGCCGGATCGCAACACCAACTCGAATCCAAATCGACGCAGCTTGACACCCTTCGCTCCATCCATCATCACCTTCTTGCTGGTCAAGCATACACCCAAGCTTTGTTGTTTGCGGTGCAGAAACAAGAGTCCCTGGAGAATCTGGATCGCTATGAAAGCAATCTCTCGCCGCGATAAACAGACTCGATCACGATGAAGCACGTCATAGAGACTTGTCGGCAAATATTCCGTGACGATGCATTCATGTGGGGGCGGAACGTCATTCTCAACCTGTTCCAAGGGTGTCACCACTCCAAGAAACTGGACGATATTGGGGTGAGCGAATGGCGCTACATAGTGCTTCAGCGTGTCGATAGCCACCGTCCATAGCTCCAGCTTGAGAGGCGTTGACCGACACGAATAAAGTACCACCTGCGCTCCACTACACTTGCCTTTGCGTACGTTCCAATGGGGCGTCTGTCCAAGGAGCCCTTGTCCCTCCTCATCCAGTGCCACTTCCGAGCGGTCAATTGCCAACCCATTCCATGATGCTAGCGATTCCATGACGACCCAAAACCAACTCTCGCTTTATCCCGCGATCTCGTATTTTTATCCTTTGGAGACTCGCTTATCCAGAAGTTTCTGGCATCGCTTGGAGCTTGTTTCGGCCGCTATTTGGAGCTGTGATGTTAATCTGGACACCAGGTCATGCGCTTCTTGGTAGTTCGTGATCACCCCACCAACCGTTGTGATACTGGTCTGCAAACTCGCTTCTTCACTTTGCATGCTCTCCTCCTCAGCTACAAGTTTGTCCATGTAGTAAACGGATCGGCGCAGATGTTGCAACAGTTTGAGCGAATATGTGTCCATCTTCTCTTGTACACTCTCCTTTTCCTCGACCTTCTCAGAAGGCTTCAGCTGGTCTTGAGAGTCCTCGCCTGGACGGGTGATTCGAGTTTCCCCGGTCTCTCCAGATTGAAGGCAAAACGTGACTCGGTCTGCCAGCTTTGGTTTTCGACGTGTTCTCCCACTCTCCTCTTCCTGGTCGTCACCGTTTACTCCATCCAGCACTAGTGATCGTTTCGTTCGTTTGTTTTGACGCTTCTCCAGTGCCAGCGGAGCGATGCCTCCGGCTTCCAGCTGGAATGGCCGCTTTGGGGGGTTGTGTGGAGCCGGTGTAGGAATCGCTGGGCTTGCTGTTGCTGAACCACTCCTCTGACGGAACGGACTCCCGTTCAAAGACTTCATGCGGTCCTTCCGCCCATTAAACTCCTCAAGAGCCCTTCGAACGGTGCTTACCGGTTCCTTGAGTCCAAAAGTTCTCACTCTTTCAACGGGTAATGCGCTTAGATCACCGATCGTTTTCACCTTGTAGAACGAAAAAAATGGGCGAAATCCCATGGGGAAGTGCCGATATAGTGACGCAAGTCCTTCTGTGCATCCGACCAGATCCGGGTAAATGCACTGGGAAACTTTGAGGTTTGGTCGCTTAGGATTCCCACCATTTTGAGCAGCTAGCTTGGGTGGTGCAGATTGTGCTCCAGCGGGAGGTAGCTGCTCTTTTGACACTGAAGACCTTGACTCCAATTCATCTAAAGTCTTTGCTTTTTGCGGAGTCACTGGCGCGCTTGCGCTCTCGGCTTTGCTTTCGTCTTCACCAGTGGTTGTTCGACGGTCTGGACTTTGGTGACTAGTGTTCGGAACTTGATCCTTTTCATCTGCTGAGGGAGTTGGACTGGGATCAACAGGGCTCGCGCTTGGCATTGTTGCTACTTCTCCACTCAATAGGCACGGTGAGGAGGTGCTGGTATCTAACGAAGCTGACACATAATCTGAGACTTGTCCAACAATGACTGCACGCTTCTCTACGACATCAAATGAGTCGCTTGGAGTGGCTGTACTAGCGGAAGGGGGAATGACAACGCTTTGGTGAGATTGATGCAAGTCCAGCAACAATGAAGCATTCTGCTGGCTTTCGAACGTGTGTTCCGTAAGCTTCGTAGAAATTCTAACGAGTTCATCCAGCATGCTTGTTTTGTCGGCTTCAAGAGTATTGTCGTCATAAAGCTCATGGGCTGCACGAATCGCCTCCTCGCCGAAACAAATGATCGAATCCATACCACGAGATCGGTGTGAAGTGCTAGCTCTAATACTTGCCACAAGTTTCTTCACGACGATATCCAGAGACGTCAGCGTACTCTGTTTGCCATCTCCATGATCGTTATTCATGTCATCAACGAAAACAGCGTACTCGAAAAGAAGGTTTAGTACAAGATACGGAAGTGCATTTGTCCTGGCTGAGAAGTCAATCCCACGCTCACCAGCTTCAGTGTGATCCCACTTCTTCAGCACCATCAAACACTGAGCGTACATTTCCTTCAAATAATCCATACGCCGGACAATATGGCCAAGTAATTTACTCTTCGGGTGAAGCACCACAGTCTGCAGGTCACTTGGGTTTGCGACACCAGACACAAGCGGAGCCAGCAACCGGAGTTCCCATTCCAAACCGAATCCCACCGAGGCCACAACCACTTGACTAACGGGGATCTCGAGATTTTGTCCAGATTGATCGGTTGGTGCAGGCACATCTGATCGCGATGTCAAAATTCCAAAGGTGAAATCGATACACATCCGCAGCACGCGCAGATCAAGCGACAAAGTTTGCGCCGTATCGGTACCTACAGCGCTCATGCGACCACTACTAGAGTGAAAACGCTGGCAGTATCCCTTCCAAATAATTATCGCCAAGTCGTTTCCACGACTTTTGCAGTACTCCCCGCGACTTTCATCGGATGCTTCAATCAACTTTTGTACGGCGCCAGCTACGTCTTCAAGCAAGCAGGCAATACCAATCAACGCAGAGCTTATAGACACACGTTCAGATCCCTGGCGATCAGGTGCAGAATACTTTTCTGTCAAGGCGCCAGTTGCTTCACCTCCTCGCCTGCCTCTACTTGAATCGCTAGTAGCCTGCTTTGCACCCCCTGATCCATCCATTGAAGAGCCGCCCATTGTAGTGCTGCTGCTACTTTCGCAACGGGAGGAAGGGCTACTCTTATCTTTATCAGATCTGCCCTCTTCAAATTCCCAAAGTTGTTTTGCAAAGGTGATAAATTTCTCCAACTCCAGAGTAGAGTTTCTTCCGTCTCTGGTACCACTCCGATTTTTCATCACCGTCAATATGGGGGACATTACCAGTTCACTGAACCATTTTCTCCATCCGGGCAAGTTTTGAGTCACGGATTCATCGGAATCACAGAACGCGTTAAAGTCCTGTACTGCAATGCGCACAATTTTACGCCATGACCCAAACGCTGCCTCTGCAATGTTCAGTAACCGCTCCTCCTTCAGGCTGACCATGATAGGCCACACAAGCAAGCTCACTATCGCCTTCTGGAAGAGCCACAGCTTGGCATCACGGAATACATCCACGAGGTCGGCCCATGCCTGCATAGCCATTAGCCGAACGGCTGCATCGTCATCTTCCATGCACTGCTCCGGGACATACAGCACTTGGTTCAGCATTGCCAAGTCAGCTGAGAACCTCGACCGCAGTAGGACCAACGCCAACTGCCACAAATGCACTGCGTCCTTGTGGCGATCCCGATCCATGTGCATCTTCATCACAGGTAAAACATACTTCTGCGTACACTCTTGAACCATTGCCAACGTTTCTTTTGTCCACTGCGGCAGGTGCTTGCTCGCCTCAGTCAGCACAAGTCGAGCTTGCGTCCTCGTCGACAACTCACTGCTGGCTAATCGACTGGCAATAGGCCGCACATAGATACCCAGGACTGCTCCATTCACCGCCACTTGCTCCGGATACTTAACCATCAATAGATGCAACCCTTTCAAAGCCTGCACTTCAACTGAAATACAATAATTCCATCAGCTCACCTCTCAATCTCAATACCCCCACAATGTTTACCTACTTGCACGCGACTTGAACGGGTTCACCACAGCTTGCACCAATCCTTCCACCGTCTGTGGCAAGAACTTGTGTCGTTCAGCCGGGAAGTTCTGCACTGTGAGGCACCAGAGACACAACTTGTAGATGTTCTGGTCCTGGGTGGCGAACAGGAGTCGCGCCAACTCCCCCAGGAAGAAGGCCATGTGCTCGTCCGAGAAGGCTGCGGCCAGGTTGAGGTGGTGCATGAAGTACGACAGGCAGCGCAGCGCTGCCTGCAGCTCGTCGCTGAGCGTGCTGCGCTGCAGGTCGAAGCGGAACTCGCCCAGCAGCGGCGACACGTGCGCTCGCAGCCGCTGCACGGACGCCTCCGAGTCTTCCAGCAGCAGCAGCTCCTCCAGCTGCAAGTACGCGTCCAGGCGCGTCTCCCGACCGCGCGACTGCGGGAAGTCGCGCTCCGTGAGCGCCGCCAGCGCCCGCGCCAGCTGCGTCTCCGCCGCCTCCATCGAGCCGTTAGGATAATGCGGGTCAACACTTGTGTAAACGAATGACGTGTACCACATTATCGGGTGTATGTCACATAACTTATGTAATGCACACACATGTGCACTTCACGCCCAACGTGCGGCCACTACAATCTTCACTTGGATCGAGTATGAGCGCGGACAAGGGCGGCGGCAAGCCTTGGGACGGCGCCATGAACGCTGTGTCCAAGCAGCTGGACGAGGCGTCCAAGAGCGTGCGTGACGCGGCCTCGGGACCCGTGGACCAGGCCAAGGAGCTCACGAGCTCGGCGCGCCACGCGCTGCACGAGTCGGCGCAGCAGGCGTGGGAGGTCACGCGGACGTTCGTGGCGCCCGTGGTGGACGTCTTCAAGCGCGCGGAGGGCGACGAGGGCACGGAGCTGCGCAAGCAGCTGGGCGTGGCGCGCGAGAGCCTCAACGCGCAGCTCTACGCGGCGCAGCTGCAGCTGCAGGAGACCAAGAAGATCGCGGACGGCCAGCTGGTGCCTGTCAAGGGCGCGCTGGTCGTCGCTCAGCAGCGTGAGTACAGTACTGGACGTGATACAGTAGTAGTACTAGAGAGAGGTTATTGATATTGGGCTTGTGGTGCTGTTTGTGCAGAGCTGGTGAAGGCGAACGAGTTCCGCCGCGAGCACCCGGAGGTGGCGGCGGCCGGTCTGGCGGTCGTCGTGGGCGTGCCGTCGCTGCTGATCCGTACGTCGTTTTTGCTATCGACTATTGGCTGGTGGAGTAAACTGGGGCTAATGAGTCTGGTGTGGTGGCTGATGTTCAGGTGGCAAGTGGTCGGCGGTGCGGAACTCGGTGCTGGCGGTGGGCGCTGGCGCGGCGGCGTGCTACGGCTCGGACAAGTGGGCGGAGAAGAAGCGGAAGTAGAGAGCTGGCTGGTAGTTAAGGGGCGGCGGCGGGAGTGGTTTGCATCGCATCATATCACAGTGCACCACGACGGTGTCGGGCGGGGGTCGTGGTCGAAGCTACATAAGGGAAGGGAGGCTGAAAGTAAGACGATCAAGAAGGGCGCACCCCTGAACCTCGATGTTGTGTTGCTTTAGGTTGTGCTTCTTTTCATGTGTAGGCGGGAAACAGGTTAGTACGCCTAGTACTGGGCTTGCATTATTTTGGCTTTGAAACACGTTTCAAGGTGCAGAACGGCGAAGCCGGCGCGATTTATTCCTGGTTCTGACTGACACGCTACGCCAGAAAGCGTTCATTAGCCTCTTCACGATGACCGAGCTGGCGACGCGAGACTTCGTATCGCAATGGACTTACGATCATGACCAGGACCGTGATGACGTGCGTGAAGAGGCAGCAGCGCAGTGTATCGGAGTTGATCGCGTAGCAGAATTGATGCGGCTGCGGCACGAGCACCATCTGGACGGCAACTTTGATGCGATGGACTTTGATGCGCGAGCTGCCGCACTCCACGCTCATTTCCTCCGGGCTCCGCGATGCGAAAGTCCCGGATCTGACCAAAGATCCCCTGCACCCGTCCGTCCTACAAGAGTTCGTCCTCAATCAGCATCACTTGGTCGTCGGGCTGCCGATAACAGTACATCGCAGAAAGAACGTCTTGTGCGGCAAAGACCTCAGTCTGCAAAGTATCGTTCGGATATGGCCCGGCGTGATGAAAATGTTGATCCAGTCGATTGGAATGCACCAGCTCAGGAGAAGACCTCGAAGTGGAGAGAAATGCTAGCTCGTGGTCCAGAATTCAAGCAGCTCACCTTGCGCAGGTTGGAGCTTGAAACGTACGAGCTACTGTACAAAACTCTCGACCAGCAGCAAGAAATGGATGCGAAGCCCCCTACACGAAGAAGGAGAAAACGTGAAAATACCGACAATACTTCCAAGCCTAAGGGATCCAGCCCAGCACCAGCATGCGGCAGCGGTCTCCACCTGGCACGAAGTCGAAAGAAGCGGCAACAAGAGCACGACCGGCGAATGATGTTGGGCAAAGGTCGGCAAAATGCGCGTGGCAGTGAGCAAGAAAAATCGAGGGGTGGAGGTGAAGACAAACAGAAAATTATTCAAGAGAAGACACGGAGGCGGAATAAATTGTTGAACAAGAATATATCGCAGCGACACCTTCGGGGGCGTGAACCAGATGAGCAAGCAGTTAAACAGGACAAAACTCCCAACGAACCGCGGTTGCAGCGGCCGTCGAGTGCTCACCAGGCAAACAGGGGCCCCTGGATACCTTCTGGATCGGCGAGTTCTTTAGCCATTAGAGGGATTTCACCGGAAACGAGTCGGTTGCCGTTGACACAAGAACAACGCATTGCTCAAGTCTTGGAAGCGTTTCAGAGCCACGCCAAAGCACATTTTCGTCTGTCGAAGGACGTTCAGAATCAGTTGAAGAAGGCGCAGCAATGTGCAAGGAGCGCCGTTCAAAATGAATCCCGGAAGACCGAACAGGCAGTCAAGCACGTTTCCGAGAACAAGAACCCCATGAAGAGAGGACGCCCGGCGTCAGCATCCCGCAAACGTATTTTCGATGAATCAATCAACCCTAGCGAGAATTTTCGAGGCAATCAAGAAGACGATCAAGTCGACGTTGCCCTTGGAGCTACCTCGTCTGCATCTTTGTTTGGCGAATCACTAGCACCAGACGAGTCTTTGCCGGTAATATCACCTGCTACCCCAAGATTTGTGATTCCTCCACTCAAATTACCGCCAAATTTGTGGGAATATCAACTGAGTGGTGGTTCGCTCGACGAGGATCCAAAGGTTTATCAGGAAAACTCGAATGCAGTGCTGGAAGGTATAAGCACTATCGCACCGCCTGTGGTATCGTTAACCTTCTGCCAAGTGAAGTCAGAGAAACCCGAATTTGATAGCAGTGTGAGAGATGAATACGCGGCGCCATATCGCAGACCCACAGCTGAGGATCTATATCTGGCCGAAGATGATCTGGAGCAAGCAGGACCTTCGACAGGTGATTCGGAGTCTCCTCCTATTTCACGAGAGCAAGAGCTACATGTGTCTCCTGCTGGAAATGAGGATTTTGCTACTCATACGCGAAAGATCCAAGTTGAATTGGAAATCACCCAAGGTCCTTCAAACTCGAACGCGTTACTTCTTCTAGCAATGGGGTCATCAAATAAAGACAATTCGCAGACGACAGCAACGACGAGCAAAGCTAAAGAAGCACCTACCGATATAACAAATCGGCCGTCATCGAACCGGATTTCAACGCAAGTTTGTGTACCCGTGAAATATGACGAGAATGACTCCAGTGATCCTGAGAACAGCTCAAGTGGGAGCATAGCTAGTGAAGTTGATTCCGTTGGGAAACAAGCAGCTGCTGCCAGCTATGACTGCACAATAGGTGCTGTACCTGACTCAACGATCAGGGTAAACGTAGAAGCGGCCAAAGATAACGCGAATGGCGAACGCGAAGAGGGTGAAGATACCTCGGGCAAGTACCAAGCGGGTGTGAACTCACCGATTGCTGGGGTAAAGGACGCAGACTCAATCAACCTTACTTCGGATCTTCTCGTGGATAACCACGACACCGTTGATGATGTGGAGTTCGACAAGGCGCGGAGTGATAACCGGTGTGATCCTATCGAGAACACGAATACTCATGCACCTCCGTCGCCAGACCCTGGACCTGGTTCACTAGATATACCTCCGTCTACCCTACTTACTTGTTCGTCTGAATCAGTGAGTATTGAGAAAATCAGCGAGAGCATACAGACTACGATCCTAGAGACTTCGAGTAGCCTTGGTCGAGACACTGGTGACTCCCACTCTGACGGTAAGGGACGGTATACATCACGTATGAACTGTGGTGAAATTCAAGAAGATAAGAGTGACTCCTCTGCACTATCAAGCCCGCCGTCTGAAGAATGTCCAACTACGGAAATCCAACGCATTCCCGTAGCTATCCAGTCCGTTATTATGGACACGCCGCCCAACAAAGTCAACAAACCACCTCCTGCTTTGGAAACCAACGATGGTCGTTCAACCGCGGAAGATAGCAGAAGTCCCAAAAAAGCGTCCCGTTCACCAAAGCGAAGGGCCAAGAAAACCAAAGACCCTCTCTCTGTTAAAGGCGTGTCCCCGAAGAAGTCGAAACCTGTGGAGAACCCGGATCGAAACACTTTTACTGCTGCTGACGCCGCTACTTCCTCAGTGTTGCAGCTTGGTACTTCCTCTCCGGAAGGCCACAGCCGCAGAGGCGAGGAAGCGGAGGAGCTACATCAGCAAGAACTGACCCGGTCCTTCTTGAAGCGAATTTCGTCCCGCAAATTAGTCGAGCAGCAGCAAAGAAAAGAGCAAGGTGGGGGTGACGTTGAGGTGGGGGTTGCTGAGTCTGTGACGGCACAGGGTAATGGTACCGTTGTAGATGTCGATGACCAAGTGGAGCCGAACAAACCCGTAAAAGATGAACGAAGTGATGAATCGAACCCTGACCATGACCGCCCCAGCGACTGCGAGTCGAATGTAGAAATGCAGTCTCTCACAGAGGTCTCTGTTCGTTGTCCTGCTACAACGACCGACGTTGCTACGATGTCATGCACCGAAAGGGCTGACATGACAACAGGTTTCTCTAGTAGCGCTGATGGTGGTTCGGTGTCTTTTTCGTCTATCACAGTTGATAATCCGGAGACACTGAACAATTGCGATACCACCACATCCAACCCGGAGGACAAGAGCCAAACGCTTCGTGGCAATGATCGCGACGATGCACAACCTGAATTGGAAACATCTAGCGATGCCGCTGACACGAATCCAGCCATGGACCAAAATTCCACGCCGTTCGTCCCGGACCACCACCACCGCGCAGCTCGCAAGATCCAAGCTCAGTATCGATGCTTTGTTCGACGTCGGATCATTCTCGACCAACTGCGCTTCATCGTGGCGAAGCAGCGGCGTGAGGTGCGAAGGAAGTCACGGATAAAGACGAAAAAGGCCAAGGAGGTCGTTGTGGACACAACTGCATCGGTGCCAATTAGCGAGCATGAGAACGAGGCGGGGGCTGCACCGGATGTGGACCGTGTTGCCGATGCACCAGCGGTGATACCGGTAGACACCGAGATTTCTTCAGCAGCGCCATCGAACGAGGTGGTTGAAACTTTGCAAGCGAAGATAAAGCTTGCTGCTCGAAACGACTCGACCGAGTTCGTGTTTGACATTTTCGATGGTTCAAACCAAGCGAATGGAGAAGGGGTGCAAGAAGAAGTTGCTGGAAACGTGGCTGAGACCTCGGACAAGGTGTCCGTGATGCAGCCGTCCAATGTTATCGATGAGACTGCGACTAGCTCGGAAAATCTAGTCGACCAGCAGAGACTCAATGTTCAATCTGAAAAGGATGTGGACGAGGTAAACATTGCCAACACTGCTATCAGCTGCGAGCCCCTTCAACGTGAGGAATGGGGCTCTGATACTCAGCAGCTGGCTGGCGTTGGTCCGATGCCTGCTATGTTGCTCGCGGAACTTGCATTCTCGGACGATGTCGAACTCAAGGAGCAACCGAATTGGGAGCGCTATGTGGACAGTGCGTCCAACAAGTCCTTCTACTACAACCCCGCCACGAACGAGACGCAGTGGACCAACCCTGCGGTAAACTCGATTGGTACCCCCACAACGTCACACGCGACTGATGTCAAGGTTATCACAGAGTCCAAGACTGCATCGGACTCGGGCTTGTGGCAGGAGTTTTTGGACGAGACCACCGACCAGCTGTACTACTACAACACCCAGACCGGCGAGTGTTCGTGGGAGGCGCCCGCCGCCGGCAGTGATGCTGCGGAAGTCGTGGTGTCGCCCCAATCCGGTGCAACAGCTGAGACGGCAGCACTTGGCGCCAGTCCTTGGATCATGTACATTGACCCGGCGAGCCAAGCGCCGTACTACGTGAACGTGGAGACTCTGGCCACGACGTGGGAGAAGCCCGAGGACTTTGTCGTGCCGGCACCCGGCTCCACAGTAGTGACCGCCGACGCTGCTTCAAGCGTCGCTGAAGATGTGTACGTCATTGCAGTGGACGACTAGTGTAGGGATCCGATAAACCAAACGATGGACACATACGTGTTTTGCCCCTGCATGATATGAGTCCTCCTCGCACGTTGCTATCTTAGCTGTTCAGCTGTTTGTTGCGTGCCGCGGTGGGCTTTTGGCGGCAAGCGGCACTCGCCGAGGACACATGTCCGGAAGCCCTGGTTTTGGCTAGCACCTAGAGCCAGAGGAGCTGCTTGTGTGCTCGAGGAGCTCTTGGCAGTCAAGTTCCATAGTGGCGGCGGCTTCGCGCCGACCGCCGCCTGCCGGGCGTGAATGTTCCTGAAAGAAAGGTGGGGCGCCCCGCCCCAGAAGATGTGGAGTTGTCGGCGCGACTATGGAACGCCGCAGTTGGTAATGCAACACCTGCCTTTGGGTCGACCGGAAGCGGCACAAGCTGGCGACGTTGTGTGTGCGCGGGCTCATGCAGGCGCGAATTTGCCATGGTAGAGAGCAACCAATATCCATATAAGGTCTTCTGCCAGTTTCGTGCCGTCCTTCGAACTTGCGGACTTGCTGTGGCATAACTTTTCATTGAATTGTCCATTCTGAAATCTGATTGCACCCACTAAATCTGCGCGATTGGGCTGAATTTATGTACTTCACGCTGGTCCGTGTAAGTTTTGCAGAACTTCTTGTTATTGTTTTGAAAAGCTTGTTGATTTGGAGTGAGCTGCCAGTTTCCTGCCTCTTTTTGATAGCATTTTTGTATGCTATGCAAATCCTAGGAGGCTCATCACCGGAAATTGCATGTGACGCTGGAAAAATCTACCAATAGACTACGAGAGTTTAACAAGGAGAAGATGCTAATTGGCTAAAACAAGTAGGCACGGAGCTGGTTGTAGGCACGCAACTGGCACCTTACCTTATGGAGGATAGGGATATGACTCAGCGACAAACTGCCAGCAGCAGCGAGCAGCAGGGGGCATTCTTGCGCGTCGCGATCCGAGCCCCCATCGGGTCTGGGTCGGCGTTGCGGCGGCGACGGCAACAGCCATCGTTCGCTAGGGGCACGTCCGCCCGCGAGTTTGTTGCGTAATGGCGAGCGCTGGACTCGCGAGCCAGCTCGCCACGAAAGCTCGACGGGTAGCCACGGCCGAGTGATGGCTAGCAATCCCTGTCGCCGTCTTGAGATGCTGCTGCTGCTGCTCCGCGTTTGCGAGTTGCACCGGTTGCCTCTTCGTGGACATCGGACCTTGGGGACGATCTCTGCACTGTGAAGTGGAACGCAGTGACTGCTTGTCCATTTCGTCTCCACCTTGCAGTCGCGCCAGCACCGATCATTTCGATAGGCATGGAATGCCGCGGGCGTGGCTGGTGCAGTAGCAACCGAACTATAACATTTTGTTGGTCCACTGCAATGCAACTTGCCAATCCGGAGCGTACGCGATGTAGGCGCTCTATAGGGAAATTTACGCTTTCAAGGAGTTCATGCATCGCTTCAATGCGACTTGCCGATCTCGGCACCGCTCTAGCATTGCGAGTTCCGAGCAGCATTGGCGCTCTATAGTGAACGTCTTGTCCACCGTGGCGTCGCTCGCTTGTAGGGATGCCGAAGATCGAGCAAAAACTTCATCTTAGCCCACGAAGACTACTGCAACGGTTATCGGCACCGGTGATCATCATACAAAATGAAGTTGTATGGAGTTGTGTGCACGTAGGTAGGAATGATAGCGGAGACCTGGGTGCCGGCGTCGTTTTCCGGCCAGCACGCTACTCATTCGGCGGAAGGTCTCGCTCAAATCTCATGCCGGGAAGCGTCCGTAGCTTGTCATTTTCGGCGCTCCATGCTGCTCGGGCCAGCACGCGCCGGCACAAGTCACACATTTCGGCCTGGCAGAGGTTCGCGGTTGGGGCAAACGTGCGGTTAATGCAGTGAAAGCAGCTGGGCTCCTTTCGTGGCGTAAAGTACTAGCGCCGCGGTGCAGGGAGAGGCCAGCGCGCATGCTGCTTCCGACTCTCCTCTCCTGGGCCGACCAGACTGGCTGTCATTTCCAGATTCCACGGCCAATTGCTCGTTGCTGCGCTTCTCGACCGAAGGCGTGCGGCACATTGTAGCGACCAGAGCCTCGTAGTCACGGGAACCAAAAACGCACCGGCCGCTACTTTTCCTCAGAGAAACTTACACGTCTAGCCACAGGATGAAGGTAGTCTCGGCCTTCGCCGCAGCGGTGGCCGCGCTCCTCGGAGCTGCGCGCGCCGCTGACATCGACAACGGCTTCACGCAGGACGGCGCCACCACCTACTGCATGGGCGTGACCGGCGCCGTGGGCACGCTCGTGTTCGACACGCTCGAGACCAGCAACGCCGGCCGCTGCCCCGTGGGCGTCACGCTCTCGGTCTCGGGCTCCGAGTTCCACGTGAACGACCCCATCACGGTCAAGTGGTCGGCCAAGGCCAACGCGGGCGTGAGCAACTCAATCTTCCCGAACGCCATCGACGCGACCACGGGGCTGCCCGGCGCGGTCACCGTGTCGTCGCTCTACGCCTGCACGTCCGGCACCAACTGCGCCACGAACGTGGGCGGAACCCCCACGGGCGCCGACGGAACCAGCACGGGCGCGTTCGCCACGGACGGCACCAAGGCCCTGGAGACCAACACGTTCACGCTGGGCACTGCCGGCGACTACGTCATCGTGGGTCTCGTGGCGCTGCCCGGCGACACCTCGCTCAGCCTTTCAGCGGACGAGTACGTCGTGTTCAAGAAGATTAGCGTGATGTCTGCTGACACCGTCATCTCGTCCTCGAGCAACTCGACTACAGGTAGCGTAGGCACTTCTCATGGCTCGAGTGGCACGGGCTCGAGCGGGTGGGCCACCACTGCTCCGCCCGTCACAACTGCACCGCCGCTAACTTCCGGGCCCTCGTCTTCCACAGGTTCTTCTGACAAGGGCTCGTCGGCCGGCCACTCGAACAGCAACAGCCTCGGCAGCAGCCACAGCGGCAGCCACAGCAACAGCAACAGTAAGAGCAACAGCCACAGCGGTGCCTCGGGCAGCTCGGCGGACCAGAGCACCAAGTCGGGCAAGGACGACGACGACAACTACACGTCCAGTGACAGCACCAAGCAGGGCACTACGACCTCGGATGACACGACGCAGCAGACGGACACGGGCTCTTCGGGAGCGGCCAAGTCGGCCTCCACTTCCAGCGGCAGCGACGGCTTCTTCAGCGGAAGCGGCATGATCATCGTTGCTGCTGTGGTCGGCTGCTGCATCGTCGGTGTCGTGGGCTTCGCCTTCGTGATGCGCCGTCGCAAGGAGCAGCGCACGAACACCAACAAGGCCTTCGACCTGCAGTCGCCTTCGATGGCGAGCGACATGGACGACAGCTCCCTCAACCACGGCGGCAAGATCGACCTGACGTACGTCGCCAACATCTCGTCCCGCAACAACAACGCCGCTGCGGATAACGTGATGAGTGAGGAGTCGTCGGTGGCCATCATGACCTCGGCCGAGCGCGGATCGGAGCTCAACTCGAGCAACGGCAGCTCGATGCACTCGCTCCCGAAGAGCAGCCTGGACACGGACGAGTACTCGGAGAAGGTGAGCTACGGCGCGGTGGGTGCGGCTGCTGGTGCTGCTGCTTTTGCTGGACACCAGAACGAGTCTGAGATTGATGCCTACCGCATGAGCAACATGTCGGAGATCTCGTCGATCCACGGCGGCGCTCAGAGCGAGGCCTCGATGTCCAACTTCGGCGACTCGGTTGTGTCTGCGCGTCAGAACCAGTACTTGGCGAACGAATGGAACGACTCGGAGTCGTCTCGCATGGACTCCCGTCTGGACTCGATTGAGCAGGCTGAATTGAAGGCCCGCGGATTCGGCAGCATTAGCGGATTCAGCACGGTTAGCGGCTTGTCCGAGGACAACACGCGCATTACTGGACTGAGCGAGCACGACTCGAACCACGACATTGGCTTCTCGATGTCGTCTCGCCCTACCGTTGAGTCCCGCTTCACTGAGGACTACCGCGAAACGGAAGACGCTCCTGCGGGCGGCGACGACTTGCGCTTCACTGAGGACTACCGCGCCACGGTGGACTCGCACGTCACGGAAGACTCTCGCGCTACGGGCTTCTCGGAGGCTATGGGTGAGTCGCGAATGCAGAGCGAGGTTTCGGTGGACTCCTACGGATTCCGCGCGTCGCGTGAGAGCGCGGACTCGTACAGCTCGGGCATGTCTCCGTACAGCCGCGAGGGCTCGCGTATTAGCGGCTTCAGCGTCGGCTCGGACCGCTCCAGCAATTACTAGACGATGTGAAGTTTACGGTAGTTGACCTTCTTGTGCCAGGAAGGATGCAGTCGGCGCTGCTGAGAGAGGTCAACGAGTGAGTGAGCCTTGTGATTTTGATCTCGTTCTCCAGTATTCGTGCGAGTCTGTCGATAATGTTATGATGTTTTTGCTATCTACACTCTTGCCTACCTCACATGTGCATCCGACTCAATCGTCGCAACGGCAAGCAAAGGCCCAACAACGCATGAAGTCGTGGATGTATTTGGGGACAAGATGATGAATATGAGGAGCTGGCTTGCACGCCTTTAGATTACCTGTAGCCTCTGCATGCTTTACAGTTGCTTAGATAAGGTTGTGCTCCTTGGCCAGCTTGGTGAGGTTCTCGACGGTCGAGGGCTCGCACTCCACAAGCGGGGCGCGCACAGCAGCCGTGCACTTGCCCATGAGCTGCAGCACCTTCTTGATGGGCTGCGGGTTGGCCTCGCTGAAGAGCGACTTGACCAGGAAGATCTGTATTCAGCAGCGTCAGCAAAGGGTTAGCATCGGAATAGAAGCATTAGTTTGGAGCCACTAATCTCGACAAACGTACGTTCTCCAGGGCAGCCTTGCGAGCGGCAGCGTAATCGCCCTTGAGCATCGGGTCCGTGACGGCCAGCACCTTCTTGGGGGCTGCAGCATCGAAAGGAAAACAAAATAAGTGAGTGTCTGCAATGCAAGGCCACGAACACGCAACTGCTTCAGCTACTCACAGGCGTTGGAGAGCACACTGATGACACCGGTAGCGCCCATGGCCATGAGCGGCAGCGTCAGGTTGTCGTCACCGGACAGGATGGTGATGTCGCACAGGGCGGCGATCTCCATGGCCTGGTCGAGCGAGCCCGTGGACTCCTTAATGGCCACGATGTTGGGCAGCTTGTTCAGCTCAGCGATGGTCTGCGGCGACAGGTTGACGTTGGTCCGGCCGGGGATGTTGTACACCACCACGGGCAGACCCACCTCGGCCACGGCCTTGAAGTGGGCGTACAGACCCTTCTGGGTGGGCTTGTTGTAGTACGGGCACACCACGAGGCAGGCGTCGGCGCCAGCCTCCTTGGCGGCACGCGTCAGGCGCAGAGCCTCGGCCGTGCTGTTGGAGCCCGTGCCGGCGATGATCGGCACGCGGCCGTTGGCCGTGGCCACCACCTCGGCGATGATACGGTCGTGCTCCTCGTGGGAGACCGTGGGGCACTCGCCCGTCGTGCCCATCTGCAGCAGTCATTCCAGCAAGGCAAACACAGTTAGAACGGCTAAGGCAAGAATGCGCAATCGGCTGCAGGACGTACCGGCACGAGGCCGTTGATGCCCTCCTGGATCTGCCACTCCACGAGCTCGCGCAGCTTGGCGTAGTCCACGGCGCTGCCGTCTTCCGTGAAGGGCGTCACGAGCGCCGTGAAGGTTCCTTGCAGCTTGAGGGTCATCGTGGCGAGCTGCTTGTCTATTGGATTGTGTGGGCGCCGCACGCTGACGTCGAATGAAGTTGAGGATCGGCGGGCCGCGTGCCCGCCAACCAAAACCAGACCCGCAGACCCGTTTCGATACTCAACACGCTGATTGGAAGCGCCGCTGATTGGCGGCGCGCAATGACAACTTCAAGGAGCAGCACGTGAGGTGGCTACAGCGCCAGGATTCTCCGGTTGAAAGCCGGAAGCCCAGCTTTAATCGGGCATCCTGCTTGTTGATGGCGTCGCCCTCCCACATTGAACACGGCATGATGGCGTGGTAAAGCCGCATCGCCGCAGCGAGACGTCACTGTAGCGGGGACATTATTGGTCATTCAAGTGAGGTACCTACCTTCAAATTTGCAGTTCAAATTTTTGAAAAGCGCGCGAATGGGATGGCGCGAAGCCTATTGATACTCAAATCAAGTATAACAGAGTGATGGTCTGACACAACCCGACCCCTTATCGGAGCGCGCACTCGATGCAGCGCAGCATACAGAAACCAAGTCAACCGCGCGACGAGCGCGACAGGCAGCGCGGATATCACCTTGCAGCAGCGCATCGACAGCAGCAGCAGCAGGAGAGCCGACGACGACCATGACGAGAGCTTCGCCGGACGGTGTGTCCTTCGAGGATGCCACGTCCTTCGGCCGCAAGCGCAAGGCGGACGACTTCGAGTGGGAGTCGTCCAAGGAGAACGTCATGCCGCTCAAACGCGGCCGCAACGTCCCGGACCTGAACAAGGCGCTGCGAGCGCACGACTCGTTCCAGACGAAGCTCCGCCTGGAAGACGAGATGAAGGCTAAAGAGGACGCCATCGCAGCCTACGACGGAGACGACCCGCTCGCCGCCTGGCTTGACTACGTGCGCTGGCTCGAAGTCAAGATGCCCGAAGACACGAGGAAGAAGTTCAAGGTGCTGGAAAAGTGCACACGGGAGCTCAAGGACAACGACAGATACAAGAACGATATGCGCTACATCCGCCTCTGGATCCAATACGTAAGTATCTGCTGCCGTGGGATATACGGCTGGCTCTGCGGTGACTGGCACTGGAAGCTTCGTATTGACGCTAATGCATGTTGTGTGCTTGTTAGGCGGACTTGGTGTCCAACCCGAAGGATATTTTCAAGTATCTGTACCAGAACAAAATCGGCGAGCGAGTCTCTCTCTTCTACATTGGTTGGGCCTACGTGCTGGAGACCATGGCCAACTACCCGCAAGCACACAAGATTTATTTAAAAGCGAGTCAGCGGTACGTGGATTGCAATGTTGGAGCAGGAAGCTGGATTGGTGTTGAATTTCTTTTATTTTCTTCCTTCTCTACAGGAACGCTGAACCGCAGGATCTTTTGGAGAGAAAGTACAAGGAGTTCCAGCGTCGAATGAGTCGCCAATGGCTGAGAATGACAGAGGAGACTGGGGTGAGCGACATGGATGAGGTAAACCACCGTCGTGCACTTGAGAGTTTATCGGCGTATGGAACGTTGGAACTGAATGATGCTCAGCGCCAGCGACTTCACCAGCATCACGCGTCCGCCCGTGCCCAGCGTGTCCAGCAAGCAAATGCGCACAAGCCGGTATTTATTATTTACGAGGATCCTGTGAGTCACACGATTGACCCTTTTGTTGGCAACGGCGGCTGGAAGAAGCTTGGTACAGCCCAGCAGCAGGACAAGGAAAACGAGATCGCGCCCAGTGCGTGGAACCCACCTTCCGCTCGAGGCTCAGCCGGTATGGAGCGCGAAACCGAGCGTCGTTCGCTGCCTGCTCTGAGCAGCCGCGCGGACATGAGCCCTCTTCAGGTTTTCGTGGATGATGAATTTACGATGCCTGAGAGTGAATCAAAGCGGCGAACGCCACTGACGCATCGTTCTCAAACACTGCGGCAGCGGATGGAGGGAGTGTCAACAGAGGAAGAAATGCTTGCCCAGGAACCGCTGAAGAATTTCACAGCTAGTGACAAAAAGCGGATGCAGAAGCAGGGGGCGAAGGGCAGGTTGGAAAAGTCGTGCTATGATGTCGGGTTACTGACATCCCGGACGGGCGAGGCAGTTTCCTTTGAAGAGATTCGAGCTCGTGCTTTCCAGCAAGCCTTGGATAGACGTCGCAAGCTCGGTCATCGGGCACTACAAGACGTCTCTCGAAGTATTTCCTCGAAATTTAATGTGACCGAAGCCTCATCAATCTCATCTGCAACCACGTCGGCAACGACTCCAGTGATTCCTCACCAAGTTAGCCTACCAGAGCGGACACCGGTCACAGCAGCGACAGCTACTCATGGAATAAAACTCACAGAGCCAAAGCCAGCACCTTTCGTGGCTTCGGGTGCAACCGCGCCAAATGAACTGGTACCCGTGCACGACGACCAAGAGGACATGACCATCAACACTCGTGTCGCGTTGGAGGACATCAACAACATGTTTTGTAGCCCACCACGACAGCGAAAGCCGAGTGTCTGGGAAGTGAAGGAAGACGATCCGGTTGAACGGAAGCTCCACTTCAGTGTGTTTGATGATTCCGCCGATAGCGTTGCAGTGAATGCCCAAGACCAGTCGCTACGTCAAGATTTAAACGAGTCGATCCCGAAGCAAAGCTTTCAGGTTTTCACCGATGACGTCGAAGAGCCCCGCACAGGAAAGATGTCTTGGAGTCAAAAGAGAAAGCCCCTTGGAGCCCGTGATGACCTGGTACGCAGTGGGCGTCTCACCAATAAGGACGTCCTCATGCAAGCTGAGAAGGATGCCGCCGCAAAGGATTCCGCGGAAAGGTAGAGAAGGGCTCCGTTGTCTGCTCTTCCTCTATCAATTGTATCAGGAGCTCGTCTGCCATTGTTCCCCCTATTGAACAGCGTTTCTTTTAGCTGCTGGATTCAAGGCACAACCAAGAATGTAGAACGAGAGGGGCCACCGAGGTATAGTCACCGTTTGATATCGCTGGCCTACTAATCCACTGTCACGTGACCTTCAATGAAAACATGTAGCATGCGTTGCCATCAGTACCTATTTCCACCATTCCTAATGACTTTGTCTTCAAGAAAAATGATTCAGTCTATGGAGCACAGCGTTATGAAGCGAGTGCAACAAGACGTGAACAAGCCAGCTCCTGCTCCCCAACTTGATCCGTACACGTTTGAGAACCGCCAAGCGTTGATTCTAGATCAACGGGTTGACTGGTATTTGTGTTCAAGACCCGACGCTGTCAGCCTTCATTCAAAAAAGTTACCACGAATCCCGTGGAATAACCCGGGCATGCGGAAGTTCAAGAAGCCAATTGTTATCAAGGCGAGCCCTACGCTAACGCTCCAGCTAGTCGGCGTCCTCGGTGCAGGCTCGTTTGCTTCTGTTTTTTCAGCCAAAGTCATCGACACGGCTAGAAATGCTACTGACAACAAAGCTATCAAGGTGCGGCTTATAAAAACAATGGCTTCGATTGCACCTAACTCTCGTTTTGCTGTTCAGTTTGAAAAGGAGCGCCAGAATCTGGCATGGGAATTTTATATCACGAACAAGGTCAAGAAAAAACTGCGGATTGAAAACGGGATTTCGGATGAGAAAACTCCACTGCCAAAGCTTAGCGGATTGCATTTGTTTCCGGTACGTATGGGCAATAAATAATGGTGCGAATAGAAACTGGTTGATCTAACATGGTCTTCGCATGAACTGATGTTGTCAGAATGGGGCTTTGCTGGTCATGGACAAGGGTCATTTCGGCACGCTTTTCGACGTGCTCAACTGCTACAAACAAGTACTGCGTGGCTTTCGATCTTCATACTTAAACCTTTGGACCAGCTCACTGGTGTTTTCCCCTTCAGGCAGGTACATCATTTCCTGAAGTGCTGGCAGTTTACTACGGAATCAGGATGCTCCGATGCATTGAGCTGCTTCACGGTGCACATGTTCTTCATGGCGATATTAAGCCAGACAATTGGCTGATGACACCTGGTAATCCTTCGCTGGACTTACCGAAGAACCTACAAGAACTGCACGACGACGAAGACATTCAAGCCGGTGACCTGTATCTCATCGACTATGGAAGATCCATCGACCTCACTCTTTACCCCGATAGAACCGTGTTCCGAGGCAATTGTCATGTGAAAGGCTTCCAATCTGTTGAAATGCTTACGCAACGCCCATGGACATACCAAATCGATACGTTCGCCTTTTGCGGGACGATGCACTGCATGCTGTTTGGAGAGTATATGGAAGTCAAGCCCCGCCGGAGTGCAAAGGGGTCGACGTACTGGGAGATCGTCAAACCATTCAAGCGCTACTGGCAGGTTGACATGTGGAAGGACTTCTTCCACGCGTTACTGAACGTTAGAAGCTGTTCGGACCAGCCTTCTTTGAACGATCTACGGAAGCGCTTAGAAAACTACTTTGTGTCAGACCCCGGTCGCCAGCAGGTACGCTCATTGATCCTAAAGCATTGCTAGCTACTACGTAGTAGTTCTGACACGTGACCTTCAAAAAGGAGCTTTTCAAGCAGCTAAGTCGCCAAGAGAGATTCCTCAGAAAATCAACCATCTAGGAGTCACTAGCATTTTTCATCTTAGGAATCATAGTCGATTTACAATCTACGATCGAATGAGATGAAGCCCAACCCCGATTTCCGGAAATGCACTTGGGCCTTACCCTGAAGACGTGGTAGGTCTGCCCTGCAGCACGCATTCTTGTCGTCTCTCCGGAGTCATGGCTTGCGGTCCGGCGCTGGTACCTGCAGGGGTACATGTTTAAGCCATCGTCCTGCATTTATCTGCCGAGTTACCCAGCTTCCCTCGCAAAACAACAAGACACAAACAAAGCAGTTACCCATGATCAGCAAGCAAAAGTCAATCCTGTGTATTCCTACGGGTTAGTGCCTCTGCGTGATATTGCCGCGGCTGCAAATTTTGTGGCTTCAAACGGCGGGGCGTACCTGCTGCATTGCACCACTTCGCTTGATCGCTTTGATCGCTGAGAGCTGAGATCATGGCACGCAGCAGTTAGTTCGTTACTGCGGTGGGTTGCCGTACGGCGGATATTGATACTGATCAGCCCCGTTAGCCCCAGGTGCGCCAGCAGGAGGTCCGTAGTGTCCGTAGGCCTGGTACTCGGCTCCCTGAGCGGCACCACCGCTTTGGTCCCACGACCCGTAATACGCATTGTACCCACCATCCCAGCCTTGCTGCGCTCCCCACTCTTGACCCTGAGCTTGGTAGTCGTACGCACCAGGAGGTGCCACAGGAGGCGGGAATGCCGTAGCCGGTGTGGAGCCCATGACAGCTGCGCCAGGTGCACCTGCAGTACCGGGCGCTCCAGCCGACTGCTGCATCATCCAAGGCTGCGTCGCGGCGCTGGACGACTTCGCAGGTTGCAACCACGGCGCTGATGCTGCTGATGTTTGGGAAGTAGCAGCATCCGGAGCCTTGTCCTTCGTGACCGACGACGACATCGGTGCTTCGCCGAGTTGTTGCATGAAGGATTGGTACTCCTTGTCGATGGCGGCATTTTCTTCTGCAGACTTCCTCTTTTGAGTACAATCGCGAGTTGGGTGGCTAGAATCTCCACAAATCGCGCATTTTACGTTGACTGGCTTGAAGGTGCCTGGGTATAACAAAATCATTAAGCACACTCGTAAGTTACATCAACCAACCTGCGAAAAGCTACATGAGAAACGTACGGTGGGCATCTCGGTTGGGGCACTCCCATTGTCGGTGCCCCTTTTCGCCACAAATATGGCAATAGTCGTCGTCCCGAAGAGTGCCGTTGATAAGTGCCAATTCACGCAGCTGCTTCTGCTTGTGCGAGTTCTTCGTATCGTCCACCGGCACCAGCAGACTCTGCACCTCCTTCGCTGCCTTATCGAGATCCTCTTCTCGGTCGCCTGTAATCAGCACGTGCAAGTCGTCGTTCTCATCGGCATTCGTCTTCTTGCCCTTGCTACCTTCCTTCACAGAGCCCTTGCCGCGGATAGCGATCTTGCAGTTCGTCTCTCGTTCCATGCGTTTCTGCGTGTTGCCACGAGGGCCGATAATCAAGCCAATGAAGTTGTACGACGGGAACTCCTTGATGGGAATGTAGATCTTGCGGTGCAGTTTCTGACGCGTGTAGTCTGCCGGCGGACGGAACAGCGGGTTGACCTTCACGAGCTGGTCAATCGTCTCGCGCCGACGCTTTTCCAACGCGGCCTTCATGCGCACCTCACGGGTGTTGGTGCGCATTCCATTGGAGTCATACTGCGGCGGGGGCGACGGCGATCTGTTCGGATCCTTCTCAATCAGCGCGGCGTCCATCGCCACGGTCTTGAGCTTCTGGTTGATGTTATCCAGCTGCGCACGCAGCATGACAGTCTGCTGCTGCTTCTGCGTCAGCAGCCCCGCCATCGTCGAGGAGGCGCTGGGTGCAGGTGCCCAACGCGACTTTTTCCGCTTCTTCTCGCCATTGCCGTCGGCGACCGGCTCCACCGGATCTCCCCAGCGACTCTTGCGTCGCTTCTTCGGCTGCTCTGCGGCTGCATCCCTCTTCTCGGCAGTGGAGCTGTCTTCATTCCCCTTCACCTTGTCAGCAGCATCGGCATCGTCCTTCTTCTCCGACGTCTCTGCGTCGTCTCCGTGCTCCGTGAACTTGATGTAGGCCTTGAGCACCTCCCGGTACGGCTCCCACGTCTTGAGCTCCTGCCAGAACAGCGGGAACGCGCCGTACTTGGCCTGCAATCCGTACGCAATAGCAATAATTACATTAGAACAGCAACACAAAATCAATTATTGCGGCAGAAACCCACGCACCTCCAGCTGCGGCCGCTGCCGGAACCACTGCTTCATGGGGTGGTGGTAGCTCTTCATCATGGCCTCCTTCTCCTGCTGCTCCTCGTAGTGGTACTCGTCCTTGGGCGCGCTGCTCTCCTTCTGCGTCTCCGCCTTGCCGCCGTCCACGGTCGCCATGAAGGCCGTGAAGCCGCCGGCGTCCTCGTTCGCCATCGCAACTACAGTGAGCCTTTGGGCAGTTCGGCTCCCTCACTGCGAGCGGTTGCCTTGGTCTGTGACAACTGTACAATTGTCTATCGACACAAAAGCGCTGGTACCATTAGACTGTGTACACAGCATACCCATTATTGCACAGACCAGCGTATCCACCCCCACCACTGGTCCCAGACTCTGCTATAAGTGACCATGGCTACGGAGCAGCACGAGGACGTGCTGCGCTCGCTGCTGGACGCGGCCGTGCTGCGGCCCTCGCACGAGACCTTCATCCAGAGCTACCAGCACGAAGTCATCGAGAAGAGCAAGCGCGGCGAGCTGCCGCTCAAGCGCCTGGCCAGCCAGACGCTGGCCGAGGCCTCGCGCTCGCAGTACCGCAGCTCGGAGCGCCACCTGCGCGCGCTGCTGGCCGAGGCCTGCGCGGAGCTCCCGGCCTTCCCGGAGACCTTCGCGCGCGTGCTGAGCGTCCGCGCCACGGGCTTCGTGGCCTCCTTCGCGAGCGCGCGCGTCGTGGCGCTGCGTCTCTCGTGCGTCGTGCTGGGTGCGGCGCTGCAGGCCACCGAGGGCGCAGCCCCGGCCTGGCTGCCGGAGCTGCTGGCGGCGCAGAGCCGGCTGCTGGAGGCCACCGTCGACGACGCCCCCCGCAGCCAGCAGCAGGCGCGCGCGGCGCTGCTCAAGCTGCTCAAGAAGCACGGCCAGACGCTGCTGCAGGCCTACGTGGACGTGGTCGCCGCCGCGGCGCCCGAGGAGCAGCACTACCAGCTATGGCTGGTGCTGAGCTGCAGCGGCCTGCTGACGACCGAGATCCAGGAGCTGCTGTGGAAGAAGTACGCCTTCTGGGCCTTCGAGAGCAAGAAGCGCACGTTCGTGCCGCTGCTCAAGGCCGACGCGCGCTTCAAGACGATGAGCTACGAGCAGTTCGAGACGCTGATCCTGCCGACCATGTCCAAGATGCTCAAGAAGGCGCCCGACACGGTGATCGAAGCCGTGGGCGCGCTCGTGCACGCCGCGTCGCTGAACTTTGGCCGCTACCTGGGCGACGTGTTCCAGCCCCTGCTCATCACCAAGCTGCGCGCGCCCAAGGACGACGTGCGCGCCCTTGCTGTCGCCCTGGCTGGCGCACTGGCGCGCTCGTTCCGTCAGAGTGAACACATGCAGCAGTTTGTGGCGGCCATGAGCGCGCTGCTGGATGGCAAGCACGGTCTTCTCGCGCAATTCTACCAGCGCGAGGTCGCTGCCGCTGTGCTGAACGAGGCCGCTGACGCTGCGGCCGCTCAACTGGACGCGTCCGAAGTCAAGGAGATTGCTCCGACGGCGATCGCTTCGCTGCTCAAGGCGGTGGGCAAGGAAGCTCACGAACAGACGCGTCACCTTGGACTGCTGGCGCTGGGCAAGTGGCTCGCGCTCGCTAGCACAGACGAACTCGACGCTGCCACCGTCACTGGACTGAAGACGGGCTTCAAGAACAAGCCTGAGCCCGTTGTGGCTGGCTACCTTCGCGCGCTGGCGGTGCTGTGCCGCACGAGAGCCAATGCCGTGGTACCCTTTGCTGATGAAGTGGTCGCGGTGATCAAGGACTCTAACAAGAAGCCTAACGTGGTGCACCTCAATGGCGTGCTGGCGGTTGCTGTGGCGGGTGCGATTGCGTCTGCGAGCAGCGAAATGGACGCCCGCGTGGCCCAGGAAGGCGTGGCGGACCTGATCTTGAGCTCCACGTCCTTTGTGCAGAACAGCGTTCGAATGGTGTTGAACACTGTTGCTAGCACTTCTCGCCTGGGCGCCGTGCCCGAAGCCCCGGAAGTCTCTGCACTTGCTGCGCTTTCTCGCGCCATCGTGTGGGTCTTAGCATCGCAGCAGTCGGATGCCAGCGAGGCTTACTCGCTCTTGGTGGAGTTGCTGTGCTCGTCTAGCCTTACGGTGCGCCAGAGTGCCGAGCGTGCTGTGGAGACCATTTACCTGTCGTCCCTCGAGCACTGCCCTGGTCTCGTGAATGCCTTCGAGAAGAAGCTCGACGCTCTCACTACGGAAGAAGAGGCCAGTGTCCCCCCTGCAGGCGTGCTTCGTCGTGCGCTGCGCGTGCTGATTCCTACTGCTATTAGCGAGGCCGATGAGACGAAGGCGCAGGTGTTTGCCCCCGTCCTCTTCCTGGCGCACCACCCGCTCCTCGTTGCAGGCAAGAAAGCCGATGCATTCGCTCGCGAGTGGCAATCTGTTCGCCGACGATTCTTGTCGCCCGCCTCCGCTCCTGCCAAGGACGAGGAGGAGGATGAAGATGATGAAGCCCCCAGCGATGCTGGTCGCGTTGACAACTTCATCGAAGAGCACGAGGACGTGAAGACCGCCATCGTCGAGCTCTTGGCGAACCCTTCAACGGGTAAGCTGTACTCTACGAGTCTGTTGCAGCGTTTGGCTGCCCAGCGGACGCTGGCAACGTTGCTGGAGTTCGCTGGTAACGGCGAGGGAGAGGATCTTGCACTGCACGATATTATCGAGGAGCTGCTGGCTAAGCGCCTTGATGACGAACAAATCGATGCACTTACTGAAGAGGATGTCCTTGTCTGCCAGACCCCCTTTGATGAGCTGTACGAGCCCAAGAAGGAGGGTGAGGAGGAGGATAGCTCTAGCAGCCGCACCAAGCGTGGAGGCCGTCGGGGCAATGATGACGAGCAGTGGGAGCAGGAGCTGCGCGAGGAACTTGAGCGCAAGAAGCGGGCGGAGCAGGGAGCTCAGAAGAAGGAATACACGGGCGAACAGAAGGCTTTGCTTGAGCAGCAGCAACAGGTTCGCCTTAAGGTTCAGGAGACGCACCGCGTTGTGTCTGCTGTGCTGGAAGCCGTTAACATGTTGGCAGTCACTCGACCGGATGAGCTGCACCCCACGCTGCCGTACCTACTTCGTTCGGCCCGCGTGCTGTTCACGTGCCCACTGTTCAAGTCCGAGGCCTCCAGCGCGTTGTTCGCCCTGGCTAAGACTATTTGCCCGCAATTGCTTCGCACGAACTACCAAGATGTTGCCAGCGCTCTGCGCGTCGCTCTGGAGCTGAACCAACTCACTTCCGACAAGGCTAAGGCCGCTCACATTGCCGGAGTTGAGTCGCTGTTCCTGCGTCTGCTGGCCGAGTTTATGGAGTACGTGTTTGGTTTCCAGTTCGAAAGTGAGACCGACTTCGACGCGGATGCACCGTGCAACCTGATTCCTCCTCCGACGCTTCACTTGCTCTTCCCAGTGCTGCGTGACCTGCTCCGGTTTGCCCCGGACCTGCGTCGTTGGGCTCTGCCTCTTTTTGCGGTCCACGCGCGTATGATCCCGGACGAAGAGGAGGAAGAGGTTGGAGATGTGGCGGCGCAACGACTGCTCCGCCGCGACATGCTGCAACTGACTCTGCTGCTTCTGTCCCAGCAGGCAACGGGCAGTGCGTTGCCAATTTCCAACTCGGATCTGGCGCCGGGCAAGCTTCTGGCTTCTCTGTGCATGGGCCCCGAGCTGACTGCGACGGAGTGGGCTCCTCTGCTTGGTGACGATGGTCTGCTATCTGAGGAGGCCAGCGCTCGTGGAGAGGTTCTGTCTGCACTTCTTAATGTCGTCCAGAGCGACGATGGCGGCGAGGAGTTCCGCAACGCCAAGCCTAGCTCGCTGCTTATCAGCCGTCTGTATTGCTGCTGCTTCGACTCGGACGAAAAGAACCGTGCGCTTGCCAAGCAGGTGTGGGATGCCACGGGTGCCAAGGTCACCGCACTCTTCGCGGGCCCGTTGCTTGTGCTGCTGAACCACACGCATGCTAGCGTGCGTGAGAGCGCTTCGCTTGCGCTTGCCGATGGTATGCGTCAGTTCCCCAAGTCGGTGACTCCTCTGCTGAACAACCTCAAGACTCAGTTCCTGAGCAGCCAGCCGAAGCCGATGGAGCGCAAGGATGAATTTGGCATCCCTACTGTTCGCCGCCCCGGTGCGCAGGCCGCTGAATTGGATGAAGATGTTCGCACTATGTGCCCTCGTTTGGGTGTCGCTCTGTGCCTGGAGAAGGCGGCGGAGGTTGCAGGCCCCGAGGCGATGACCAGTGCTAACACCATGGCGTTGCTGACGTTCGTCATGGAACACGGTTTGGGTGACCCGAACGCGAAGGTGCGTTCTCAGATGCGCAAGACTGGTGTGGTGGCCGTGGCTTCGTTGGGTGGCGGTGCGAACACGACGCCGCTGCTTGAGATGTTTGAGCGATTCCTCGAGACCACCGCCCCCCCTGCCGCTTCTGCAGTAAGCACGGGCAAGAAGGCTAAGGTTGGCACGCACCTGGCTGCGCAAGAAGAGGAGATGCTGGCGCAGCGGAAGCAGGCTCTGTCAATATACGATCACCAGCGTGAGGGTGTCGTGGTGTGCCTGGGTTCGCTGGCCAAGCATATGGCTCCGACGGACCCGAAGGTGTCTTCCATTGTGGATTCGCTGATTGAAGCGCTGAGCATTCCGTCTGAGTCCGTGCAGCGCTCGGTCGCCACGTGCTTGTCGCCGCTCATGGGCGCGGTCAAGGATCGCAGCACGAATATTCTGGACGACCTGTTGAAGCGTGTGACTGAAGGCGAGACTTTCGGTGAACGCATGGGTGCGGCTTACGGTGTGTCGGCTGTGGTCAAGGGACTCGGTATCTCGGCGCTGAAGCTCCACAACATTATCCCGCGCCTCGAGGAGTCAATGAAGACGGGCGGTGTCAATGCTCGTCAGGGTGCTATGCTTGTGTTCGAATGTCTGAGCCAGCGCCTTGGACTGCTCTTCGAGCCTTACATTATCGTGATTCTGCCAGTTATGCTGAAGTGCTCGGCCGACGCTAGCCCGCAGGTTCGCGAGGCGGCTAGCCACACCGCCAAGGGTATTATGGCTAACCTGTCGGCGCATGGTGTTAAGCTGGTGCTGCCTTCGCTGTTGGGTGCGCTCGAGGAAAGCGCATGGCGTACGAAGCAGTCGGGTATTCAAATTCTGGGCTCGATGGCGTACTGTGCCCCCCGTCAGCTCGGCTCCTGTCTGCCGCAGGTCGTGCCTAAGCTGATGACTGCGCTTACGGACTCCCACCCCAAGGTTCGCGATGCCGGCAAGAACGCTCTGCGTGATGTGGGCTCTGTGGTGCGTAACCCGGAAATCGCCACGATCTCCAAGGTGCTGCTTGATGCTCTTGAGGACCCGAACCGCTACACGGCTGAAGCACTGCAGCAGCTGCAGTCGACGTCTTTCCAGCACTCGATCGATGCGCCGTCGCTGGCGCTTGTGATGCCCATCATTACCCGTGGTCTGAAGGACCGTGCTGGTGATGCCAAGAAGAAGGCCGCTCTTATTGTTGGTAGCATGTGCTCCATGATCAACGATGCCAAGGACCTGGTGCCTTACATGGAGACGGTGCTTCCCAGTCTCAAGACCCAGCTCATGGACCCGATTCCGGAAGTGCGTGCCGTTGCTGCTAAGGCTCTGGGCAAGCTGGTGAAGGGTCTTGGCGAGCGCCACTTCGCTGATATGCTGACGTGGCTGCTTGAGGCCATGAAGGACGACGAAGTTGGCCCTGTGGAGCGTTCGGGTGCCGCGCAAGGTCTGTGTGAGGTCATGGTGGCACTTGGCATTGAGCGCGTTGAGCGTGTCATGCGCGAGGATATCCTGCCGCTGGCCCGTCATCCGAAGTACTCGGTACGTGAGGGTGTGCTTTGGGTTATGGCGTTCTTGCCACCGGCCCTCGGCAAGCAGTTCTCAATGTTCCTTCGCGAAGCTCTGCCTATTGTTGTGGCAGGTCTCAGTGACGAAGCCGAGTCTGTGCGCGACGTTGCCATGCACTCGGGTCACGTTGTGGTCAACGCTCACGCGCTTTCGCACACGCGCGACCTGCTACCGAGTCTGGAGGCTGGTCTGTTTGACGATAGCTGGCGTATCCGCCAGAGTTCGGTCATGCTTCTGGGTGATCTCATGTACCGTATCAGTGGCACGCGCGCTGTTGCCGTCGTTAACGAAGATAACGAAGACGACGACGACGAGACGTCTGGCAGCGCTGCGGGCGACCGTGCTATCATCAAGTTGCTGGGTATCCAGCGCCGCAACGCTATCTTGGCGTCGCTGTACATGATCCGGTCGGATACCTCGGCTGTGGTGCGCCAGAGCGCCCTGCAGGTCTGGAAGAGTGTCGTGGCTAACACGCCCAAGACGCTGCGCCAGATTCTGGAGGCTCTGATGAACGCGATCGTGTCGGCGCTGTCGGGTGACAACATGGAGAAGCAAACCATGGCAGGCCGTACGCTGGGTGAAATTGTGCGCAAGCTTGGTGAGCACGTGCTCCCCGAGGTGGTGCCCATTCTCCGTGCTGGCTTGTCGCCCTCGCTTCCCACGGGTCGTCGACAGGGTGCTTGCATTGGTCTGGCAGAAGTCATTGACTGTTGCACCAAGAAGCAGATTGAGGACTACGTGGACACGCTCGTTGATGCTGTTCTGGATGGCGTCTGCGACGAGCTGCCCGAGGTTCGCGCGTCCGCTGCTCAAGCTTTCGACGTTCTGCACAAGGGCATCGGCTACCGCGCTATCGACGAGACTGTGCCCATGGTTCTGCAGCGTATCCACTCTTCTCCGTCGGTTGAGGAGCAGGAGCGTGCGCTTCTTGGACTGCAGGAGATTTTGCGTGTCAAGTCGCGTGAGGTGCTCCCGTATCTAATCCCGCGTCTGTTGGTGACGCCGGTGACTGCGTCGGCGGCGCGTGCTGTGTCACGCGTGGCACAGGCTACCGGTGCCGTTATCCACTTCCAGGTGGAAAGGATCTTCGCGACGTTCTTCGCGCAGTATGTGAAGCTGTTGGACGAAGCGAACGCGAAGACCGAGCTGGCCGAGGAGATCAAGCACGCGTTGCGCAATGTTGTGCTGGCTGTGGAGGCTCCGGGCGTGCACTGGTTGGCCATCGAGCTTTGCAAGTACTGTGAAAGTGAGAATGCTGTGGATCGTGCGCTCGCTTTCGAGCTTGTGGGCGAGTTCTGCTCACGTGCCGCGGTGCCGTACGACGACCAGGCTCCGCTGTTTCTCAAGCAGATTGTGCTGCACCTGAACGACCAGACCGATGCTGTGGTGCGCGCGGCTTCTGCGGCTCTCAAGGGCATGAACGTGACCACGAAGCCGGAGCAGTTTGCGCAGCACTTGGACTTCATTCGCCAGTCTATCAACTCGATGGTCAGCGATGCGCGTCACCGCAAGGGTGGTGTGGGCGATGGTGAGTACCTGCTGCCCGGTCTCTGCATCCCGAAGGGTCTAGAGCCGTTCTTGCCAAGCTACCAGTGGGCTCTGATGAACGGATCGCCGGAGCTTCGTCAGAGCGCGGCCGCTGGTCTTGGCGAGCTGGTGGAGTTGAGCAGTGCTGCCGCTCTCCGCCCGTACCTGATCAAGCTCACTGGCCCGCTTATTCGTATTGCTGGTGATCGTTTCCCGGGCCACGTGAAGGCTGCTATTCTGCAGACGCTGGAGACCATTCTGACCAAGGGCGGTGTGGCGCTCAAGCCGTTCCTGCCCCAGCTGCAGACTACGTTCGTTAAGGCTCTGAACGACACGGCCGTCGACGTCCGCGCACGTGGTGCCTCGGCACTGAGCCTGCTCGTCACGCTTAGCCCGCGCGTGGAGCCCCTTCTTGCGGAGCTGACGGAGCGCCTGCGCACCACCACTGGCGGTGTTCGTGAGGCCAACCTCGAGGCTGTTGCTTCTGTGGTGGAGCGCGTCGGCGACAAGCTGTCGGCAGCTGGCCGCAGCACCCTGGAGAGTGCTCTCGAGGAAATGCTCGAGTCCAGCGAAGACGCGCTGCGCGATGGTGCTAGCAAGTGCCTTGCGTCGTGCGTGGCGTCCACTGCGGGCGCCGGCGACTTGGAGGCAGCGCAGAAGCAGCTACTCGAATACAGTTTGGCCACTGTAGCGGTGGACGACCTGCAGGCGCTGCCGTGGCCGCGTCGCCAGAGTGCGGCGGTGTTCACCGCGTTGGTGCTGCACAAGCAGTCGGCGCTGCTGAGTGCCGACGTGACGGCTCCGTTGACCACGACACTTCTGGCGTTGGCGCAGGATGAGCAGACTGCTGTCCGTAACCACGCGTTCAAGGCTATCGGTGCTGTGGTGAAGCGCCAGGAGCACGTTGAGGACTTTGCCAGCATGGCGCCTGTGTTGGTGGAAGGCGTAACCCACAAGAACAAGGACGTGATCCGTGGGGCACTGCGCGTGGTCAAGTCGGCTGCGAAGCGCTCGCCGGAGCAGACTCGTGGCCACTTGACGACTCTTGTGCCTGCTGTCTTCCAGCTGATCAAGAGCAACAACATGGCGGTGAAGCTGCCGGCTGAACGGACACTGCTGTACCTGCTGGAGGTGCACTCGCGACCGGAGACGCAGGCGGAGTATCTGCGCAGCGGCGCTGCGGATGCCAAGATAATTGGCGAGTACGCTCGTCGTGTGCTGAGCAAGCTCAAGGCTGACAGCGGCGACGAGAGCGACTAAGGAGGCACTACCATTTACAAGCATGTACCTAGAGCATGGACAAAAGGCACCCAGCCTGCTTAGACTAGTACCTGGTATACTTCACGGGATAATCGTACGTCCATTTCATCGATAAATAAGCACGCTCTCATGTTGACAATCTAGGCGAACAACTCTGCTTCATCTTCGCCTTGAAAGCTGTAGGTATGGCGTCACAGCAACTTCAGCGGGTCAAGGGCACGGCAGCGGACTCGAGATCGTTTGCCGGCGTGCCAGTCACCGTTGGAGCGGTCGTTGCGGAGCCTCGTCGACGTCTTCGGCGAGGTGGCAGCTGGTCGCCGTACGACCGAGATCCTAACGCTTGTTGCTCGTTTGGCACAGCACAAATGCCCGGCTATCGAGTTCCATGCAGCAAAATGCAAACGTAAGGCACGAGCAACTAGAACCACTTCAACAGGCCAAATGACAAGACTCACCCAACGCCACCGCACCACCATGGAGATCGCCGACGCGTACGCGATAACTGTGGCTGCCACCGTGATACTGAAGCAGTCTCCGTTGTCAAACCGCAGATAAAACCTCTGCCAAACGAACAACGCCGTCGTCCCCAACACCGCTGCACGCAACAACAGTCCTCAATATCGTAAGTAAAACAAACTCCCCGATTTACATGGTATTTGATTTCACTGCTGTCGACGCCTTACCAGTGCCGAACAGCAAAATGCCGGGCAGCATCCCGACCCAGAAGACGACCTCCCTCGTTGGATTGCCCAGCTGCAGATACACCGCCATGAGCGTGCTCAGCAGCGCGCAACTGAGCCCCACCGCCAGGATCCACGTCATCACCGTGGGCACGAACGCCCCCGAGCGTTTGTGGCACAAGACGGCGCCGTCCTGCAAGTCCACGACCGTCACGGTCCGATTCGTCCCGGGGCTATAAACACCAAGCAAGTCACATGCACCCCTTTTAGTGACGAACGAATGAACCCCCTTCCTTTGACCTGCTCAGCTTTATGCCCCTACATGTTCATCTTGAACGAGTCGTCGGCGCAGAACTGCTGCCACGACTTGGAGTCCGTGGACCCCTCGCCCACCACGTAGACGCTCTTGAGCGACGCGTGCACGTCCGGGTCGTCCGCGAACTGCAGCCAATGGCGGCGCAGCAGCGCGAAGAACAGCAGCGCGCAGACGACCATGCACAGCAGGATCTGGTTGGCGTTCGGCAGCCCGAACTGCCGATGGTGGCGCCGCCGCATCCTGGAGTATTGAGCGGCGAGGTCTCAATTGCGCTGTGACGGCGAATGATGGAAACAGTAATGCTCTCTAGCCCTAACCGTAGTGAATAAAAGTTCGGACAAAATGTAGGGAGAGTCAGTTGGCACTTGATGTTTGTAAGTGGAGCATGTCACATACGCTACTAAAACGGCGACTAAGATTTAGTATCCGGACCAGCTTGAAAAGGTGTCCTCGAGATGTCCATCGAGCGGCTGGCAGAGTGTTATTCGAGTTGCTCACGAACTAATCTGGTTAGGATTGTTAGCTTTGTAAGGTGGGGGTGGCTTATTCAACACGGCTGAACTCGGTAGTGTTGGTGCTTGGGCGGTAGAACACAAAGGAGAAGTCTGCGTGGAACGGGCCTGGGTGGAAGACGCCGACGGACGAGTAGCCGAGCTGGTACTGCTCGGTCGAGTCGCCGAGGATCAGCACGTCAGGGACCGGGAAGAGCTGCAGCGAGGAGTCGAAGTCCCAGTTGATGGGATTCGCCATCAGCGGCAGCGGGCACAAGTGCGCTTGGTCGATGAGCGTCTTGGCCAACTAAAAGTTCGTAAAGCACAGGAGTCAGCAACAAATGTCAACGATCGACCACTCTCAACCAGGCAAAAACACTGCGTCGTACATGCTTGGAGATGTCGGTTTGAGAGACCGACTGCGCTGGCTCGCCGCTTTCGTCCATGACGGCTTCCTCCTGCTCGCTCGGCATTGGAGTAAGAATGGCATGCCGCTGCATTTTCTGCTGGAGGTCGTCACGGAAGATCACGATGTCTTGTGTGTAGTAGCGGATTCGGCATGGGTTGGTGCTGCACGTGACGTTTGGCACTTTTCGAATGAGCTCACGTGTACACAGATCGGGAAGCTGTGGATACAACATAAGGTTTAGCTTTAAGGTAGCATAACAAATGCCGTGCTGCACTTACCGGGTGGCGCGGGAAGGCACGAGATGAACCGGGGTCGTTCGGCCCTGGAACTAATACGAACCGCGAGTTCTCGGCGATCCCAGGGTACTTCAAGATGAGGTTTCCCAGTTCCTCCAAGTACTCGCGCAGGTCTTGAAGCGAGTTGGACCCGGCACCTCCTCCGATAGAAGTTGACATGAAATCGCCCATGAGGATGAAGAGCGTCGGCTGAACACTTTCGAGACCCTGAAACAGTTCGTCCAGCTTGCTCATGACCTGAGGATCATCCAAATAAACGGCCGACAGCACGATGAACGTGGCGTGATGGTCGCTGGCTTCTAACTCTCGAATCTGTTCGCGTTGTTGGGCAGACACCTCCACACCAAGCGGATCGATACCACCGAGAACTTCCAAGGACGCCTCCTTCGTCTCTGGGGGCGGGAAACCCATAGACTAGCCCAGCAAGACCACATTCAAATATCAGCAAAACAAAAAACCTGAAATAACCACTATCAACACAGCTCTTACCTGAACGTGGAGCACGTCGTCGATGACTTCACCTTCCACCAAAACTACACAGTTGATCGTGAAGAGTCCATCGGTGTACGCGGCATTCGTAAGGTCCACAATGATTCGCGAGGTGAAGTCTTCCAGGTAAAACCGCTTGCGCTCGTCCTGGCCCAGCATGCCAATCACGCGGCGCACTCCGCTCACACCCAACAGCGACTCGATCCTCGACAACTACAGTATCGTAAGCATCACAACAACCATGTGAGTCCACCTCCCAAAGTTTATCCAGCTCCAGGGTTAATTCAACCGGCCCACCTCCATGTACTCCGTGGTGTTCGCCACAGCAACCGAGGGCGGCGCGAAGAGTCGATTGCGCTTGACACGGAGGTCCACCGACATGAATCGGTTCCTCAGCAGCTGAATCCTGGACTCCGGGCCGGCATGAAGACGCCGGTGGGCGTCCGCCTTCAGCTCGTAGGAATTGTTGTGCGTGTTGAAGTGCAGCCTCGGCGTGTCGAAGGCGCCGAACACTTGGATCTGCTCGTAGTCGTTCTCAGCGGAGACAGCCAGCAGCGTGTCCAACGCGCTCTCCAACGCCTCCAGCGTCACCACGGACGTCGTCACTGAGAATAATAATAAAAATCAATAATTAGTCCTATGCGATTGCTTTTACTGATTTTAAGAGCGTAGACGCACTCTTGCTGCGGTCAATGTTGTTCTTGATGGCGTAGAGAACATCTTCCAGCTGGAGCGAAGCCTCACTGCGAAGTAAAACGGAAGATATGGGGCATGGCGTTAGAGAGAGTGCGTAGGTGGGGTCGCTGGCTTTGACGTGGTATTTTGACGCTTCTAGTGGGTGTTGGGAAGTGCGAATTAGATGAATTGGAGTGCAAGACGCATACGCACTTATTGAGCTCTTCAGTAAGTCGCCGCAGCGCGTCGGCATGCAGCGACAAGCCCTGCAACTTGCACGCGCGTAAAATCCGCTTGGACGCCATGACTGTAAAAAGTTTTCCCGCGTTTTTAGGGAAACCGTGAATATTGTATCCATGTACCGTTTAACTGGTACCAATTGACACGGATGGCTACATAGTGTGCAAGTTGCAACTTGCAAGGCTAGGTAGCTCTAAGAAGCAAGTGTATTATCCGAAGGATGCAGTCTCTATATGGGCAGGAGGAGGTAGAGGTCTTGTAAACGTAAAGACACTCGTAGCCTGATCACCAAAACTTGGAAGATTAGAGCGATACCGCCTAGTAGGTTTGGTTGCCGCCTTGGCCCAACCCCAGTACGTAGCTCATACCCTGTGCGTCGCGAACGGCGGACGCATCTCCCATCGCCGCCGACACGCGCGAGAAGGTGTTCCAGCACTGCGCACTTTGTGGTCTCGCACTCAGACTGGAAATGCAGCAATTGAGGAGTTAGACGCCATGGCATGAAAGCAACAACTGGGCCTCAAATGAACGTACCGTTCGTTGAGAAGGAGCTTCGCCAGTCGCAGATCATTACATTTACTAGCACTATACAGCATCAGCGAGTGAGGTGTTAGCAAGCAGGACGACTTATATCGTAGCCTTTAGGACGATCCGTACCACTCGATAAGCAGTTGCTCCACCACGTCTTGGTCCACGTCAGTGCCGCCAAGAAGACCAAGCTTTCCTCGCACCGGCAGCAGCGCTTGAGTTGCATCTTTGAAACGCGCCTACATATTTGCAAAACAAATTCGTCACCACATGATAAATTCCTATCGTTGCCAGCAGAGAGAACGCGGGCGGCATATACGATACCTCTGAGTAGGCTTGAAATCCTCGGCACACGCTTTGGTATACCTCTTCCAATTCACCTGTATACCATAGCCAGAAGAGTGATAATTAGCATTGCTCAGCAAATTCAACTATGTCCGGCAACGGACCAGGAAAAGCAGGGTAGCTGAACTGGAACGGGGTAAGGCCCAGCTGAGCCTCCAAGCGGGCAGTATCGACAGCAGGCTCCGCATCAAGCGGTTCAACTGGAGGAGTGGCCCCAGAAGGAACGCCTGACAAAATGCTCTGCTCAAACAAGAGGTAATTCTTAGATCAAAACCTATATCCAACACCCATAGTTTGGAGTACGTACGTATTGGAGCACTCTTGCGAGAGGGTGAAGACGTGCTTTCACGGTGTCATTTTCACTCGGGGACGGTGAGATGGCAGACCAATTCTGGAAAAGTTGCTCGCCCAACTCCGCTGTGTCATGGCCGGCAAAGCGCATTCTCCAATACAGTTGAGTAGCATCGCAGAGTGTAGGCACCGCATGAGGAGCGCCGTCCGGTTGGTACGGGATAATGTTGACTTCCAGCATCTTGTCGATGCGATCGTAGTGACCAAGATCCAGCATGTACAGCGCCCACTGGAAGTACAAATGGCGCTCCAGCGGACCGCCATTGTCAAAACCCGCCTTAAACTGGTTCGCGTAGCTTGCTCCATGGTTGGCATTACCGCGCGCTTCCAGGACGTGCAGCATAGTGTGCACTATAAAAAGTAAAGGTAAAGAAAGTATCAGCACAATTCTAGTGAACTTAGGCTAACACCACAGCACCTTACATGCCCAACGATCATTGCCGTTCATTGACAGCGTCTTCTCCGCCAGAGCTTCCGCAGCATCCAGTCGTCCCGCAGCTTGCATTCCGTACGCTTGCATGCCCAGCAAGTGGCTGTACCCAGTGTCGTTCGGAGACCACGACGGCAGACGGCGCGTCACCGTAGCCAGCATGTTCTTGTGGTCTCTGCAGCATGCGACCCCAACAAAATCCAAGTCAACAAAAACCACCTCCACTATCCCCCACGACCAACCCTCCAAGCTCTCACCCTAGAAACCGGTAGATATCATAGCAGCAACGCAGCGCCAGAAGGTCCGAATGGTCCTGCTGCAGGATGGTCTCGTACACCCACGCAGCTTCGTGGTGACGGCCGTGCACCATCGCGTCCAGCGCCAGCACGTGCATCTTCTCGCTTGTCGTGGTCTCTCCTGCATCACAGCACAATTACGCAGCTCACTATGAGCCTCTTGTCCGTATTTCTAACGCTCCATGAGGCCTAGCCTAGCCTACAACCCACCTTCCTGGGCCAGTTTCGTAGCCACTTGCAGTCTGGAAGCCGCGTCCAGAGCGTCCTGATGCATCAGCGGGGCGAGGCACTGGCTGGCGCCCACCAGCACGTGGCCCATTAGAAACGGCGCGTCGTCCGCGATCACCTGCTGCAGCATAAACTTGGGGTGCGAGTTCATGCTCACGTACTGCCGCACGCGCACGAGATCAATTAGAAACTTTAGAAACGGCGTCATTTGCAGGAGGCACTCACGTCCAGCAGCGCCAGGTCGTACGCCTGCTGCTTGCTCGTGCTGCGGCTCAGCGCCGTGTTGCGCGCGCCCTCGAACTCGCCGATGCCGAAGATCGAGCCCAGCAGCGACATGGCGCGCGTCGAGCGCCCGCGCAGCAGCGGAGCTCCTCCACGCCTCAACATTGTGCGGACGTCAAATGAATCGCTTTAGAAATGAAACATTCAGAATTATACCGGTAGTTGTTCTAAATTAGAAACCCTAATATCTATCTGGTACGCTGTACCATTGTACCAGATTTTTGATGATGATTTTTGATGAAAGTTGCCTTTGATGCTCTCACCTCTGACATCTTCCATCTTACTGCTTTGAGTTTTTCTCTACGCTCGCGCGAGACTCAAGAATTCCAGGAGGTGCACCTCAAGTCGAATGACGAACGGATGAACGCGGGGGGACTTTGGAGCGAGCAATGGATGAAAGCAGGTTTTGGAATGAAACCTCACATTTCCACTTTTATTATGACTGTCATTTTAGTCTTTGAAAACACGTTACAGTACGTACACATACCACAACTAACTACCACGGCGCTTTCTTTCGCGTCGCTCACTAACACTCACCAAAAACTTTCGGTCGCTGCACGTAGGGGCTTCTTCACATGATGTGCATGTTTGACCAGTTCTGCATATTCGAGTCGCCGCTCTGAGCTTGGCTGGTGGCCGCGACCTGCGAGCCGGCGCTAGCATTTGCCTCGGAAGCAGACATGTTCTCCAACAAATCATCCCACGGCGCCGCCTGGGCCGTGCTGCTGCCGTGATAAGCATCTCCGGCTCGTGGATAGGCTGACGGGGTAAATCCACCCCTCTGCTCGTCGTGGGAGGTGAGACCTGGCAGCATTTGCTGTTGTTGTTGTTGCTGCTGCTGCTGCTGCTGATGTTGCAACACGTTGGCGAATCCCATGCTCTTGTCCGACCTGACGTCCGAGAACGGCGACAGGCTCGAAGGACGCACGAACGGCTCGGGCTGATATTGTTGCTGCTGCTGCTGGCTGTAATCGAATCCGGGACCTGATGACGCTGGCGGCGAGAGGCGTCCGTATTGTGGGTACTGAGATTGGTCCATCGGGTGCAATCCAAAGCGACTGACCTCCACGTTCGCCTCGGGCGTGCGCATCTTCTTGACAGGACGCAATGCCTGCTCCGGTTGGACCTGCTGCAGTAAAGCTGGAATAGACGGTCCATTGTCGTGCTGGTTTTGCCCCAACACGGAGGACGAGTACACCGCAGCGCCAGCGCTCCAGGACGAGACCGCAGTGCTGGGCGGCATCGGAGTCACGCTGGCCGTGTTGGCCGGCGACGGGTGGTGGTTCCACGCCAGCAGCTCGTCGAACTGTCCGTTGCGCAGTAGCTGCATCGCGCGCTTGCGCTTCTTGGCGTCTGAGACGTCGAGCCCCATCACGGGCTGCCCAATGAGCACCGCGAACTTCAGAAAGTTGCTCACCCAGAACTGCTGCACTGCTAGGCGCAGGTTCTGCGTTTCGACGAGCGCGCCTTCGTCCGTGTTGTTCTCGCGTCGGAACTGGTCCACGAGCTCCTGTCGGAAGACCTGCTCCAGCTGCGACAGCTCGCGCTGCCTGCGCGCGTGGTCCATCTGATCGAACTGCAGTGCCTTCTCCCCCTTGCCGGGCTTGGTCACGCGGAATGTCCGCTTGCCGAGCGCGTTTTTCTGGAACTTCTTGGAGAGCCTCATGGTCGAGCAGTTGAGCATCTTAGCGAGCACCAGGCGGATCGGCGTGCCGTGAGCCAGGGGCAGGGCCTGGCGGTCGAACTCGCACAGGATCCCGTCGATAAATTTCTCCTCGGGCCGCGTCCATTTGCCGCTGCGGGGCTCGGGTCGGACCATCATGTTGACACTCGGCAAGATGGCTACCTGGTCCATGGGCGCCGCGCAGGCCGGGCAGGCGTCCAGCGGCCACACGTGAACGCAGCGCGAGTGGAAGGTGTGATTACAGTTAGGGGCTACGAGGACAGGGTCGGGATACTGACAGACATCGCACATGCGCTCCATGGGCATGACGGGCTCGGAACGAGTCTCGTGGGCGGCCTGAATGCGGTAGTCTGAGTGCTGCTGTTGCTGCTGGTAGGCCGCGATGGGCTTGTGCTCGGGCGGGGACTCGGCGTACGGGAACTGGGAGATGGCGACTGGCGTGCGGCTCGGCTGGTAGTACGTCTGCTGCGGCGTGAACTGCTGCGGCAGCGGCGACGGGTGGTAGTAGGCGGGGGCTTCGAGCGTCGGCCGCATGCTCGGGATGGCGGGGCGCTCGGGCTGCTGCTGCTGCTGCTGGCTGTACTGGGCGCTGTATTCGTAGTCGTAGTGCTGCTGCTGGGGCCCACCACTTGGCTGCATTCTCGAATTCTTGAAGGTTGGCTCAAAGACTGGTGCTCGCGCTTCACAAATCATATAAAACCCTGGGGGCGTTCGTAGCTTGACGAGGTTCTTGTTGCAGCCTAGCAGTTGGGGGGGATACGCCGCGTTGGATACGCCGCGTTGGCCGAGACGGTCGTCCACCGAGTTATTGAGTTGGGTTGCTGGTCGCGGCGCGCGCTGAGTGAGCAGTAATGGATGAATTCGCGACTGAGACTCAAGTGGGCAAGGGGGGGAGCTCACTCGTGCAGCGGTGGCTGCTGCTGGCTCAAATTCGGCAGTATCAGGCGATACTGTAGTGTAATGTAGACACACCAGAACACCCCAAGCACGAAAAGGTCCAGGATTAACTCCTCGTTTTTGTGGTCTTGCCTTCCTTTCCCCTTCTGGCGTTGGCGCTCGGCAGTGGAGTTTCTCGGGCTCGCGGGGTTAAGGAGAAGCCGCACAATCGTGACGCGATTTGCTGATGCCGCCAATTGTATTGTACGACGACGCTCGCGAAACGCGAATGGGGTCCCCGCTCGCTGCTGTTGCTGCTGCCGCTGCCGCGAGACCCGGCGCTGGCCCGTCCCACTCGAACGCGGCTGTTGCAAAGTGGCTGTCCTGGAGGAAAGCGGGTGTGTGGCTGGGTCACGTCGTATTGAGTCAAGCAAAGCTCGCTGCTATAGTGGTGGGACCCCGCCGCGCTTGGCTGGGCCTGCAATGCTGGACGAGCCGGAGCCGCTGCACCTGCCGCCCGGTGCCGGTCGCTGGCATCGGAAGCAGTGCATTGGGGCCTGCTGGCCGGCTGACTGCAACCTGCTGGGTAGCAGACGGTCGGACGAACGCCCCCGATCCTCCATCGTGGGACGGAAAGGACCGGCGGCGCTGGGAGCAAGCGCAGGATAGGACCGCGGCGCCGGCCACCTGCTGGCAGGCACGTACGTACACGCCCCGGCTTCATGTTGGGGGCTTGCAGCGGCGACCTCGAGCGTGACTAGCGAAGCTCCAGAGGACAGTCTCGTGCCTCAAAGCCAGGCCTTGTGGACAACCGGAGACGCCGCGCTGGAGTAAAGGACGATAACAACCTGCGATTTGTACAACAGCAACCACACCAAACGGGCACCAGCAACCACACCAAACGGGCACCAGCAACCACTTTTGTGTACAGAACCGATCCTGTACTACTCGGTTCTGTACTTAAAAGTGGTTACGTATCACGGTCCACCAACACCAAAACCAATGCTGTATCCCAAAAGGACGCAGGCATTGTCTATAGGTGGCGGCGAGCTGAGCCGCGAACAGGACGGTGCCAACCACGTGCCGACATGCCTATTGACCTCTAAGAATGATTAATGTCTACTTCAAAATAACTCGCGCGAGTTAATATGAAGTCGTGGATTCAAAACAACTCGCGCGAGTTAATACGAAGTAGTGGATTCAAAATAACTCGCGCGAGTTAATATGAAGTAGTGGATTCAAAACAACTCGCGCGAGTTAATATGAGCAGTGGATTCAAAACTGCTCGAGTTAGTTTGATTCATAACAGCTACATGCGTCAATCTCGAAAGTTGCTAAACGATCAGGTTGGTGAAGTGAGAAAATGGGCTTAGATATTTCAACGAAGCTGTGTGACTGGGTAAAATACCGTCAACATTCAATCCTGTAAAAACTTGCAAGAATGGTACCAACAATGCTCATTACCCCAGAGAGTGTTGGAATCGAATAAGAACGAGGGACATCGGGTATAGTCAACTAACTGCACAAGTAAATAGCAATGAACCAAACAGACATCGTTCTTAGCGAGCTAGATTGTGGACTATAATTTCGTGGACCACTACCGCAGACTCGCGTCCTCGAGGCATGTGGACTGTTGGTGAGGCTACACCAGTACATCGTAATGGTAGTGGTAGATAGCCGTCTAACGCCCAACAAATTCAAATTCCAAATTTGATCTATAACGTCGGCTACGATGTAACTGCACGACGAGCAATAACGTTCATGAGGGTGCTAACAAGTCTGTTTTAGTGAAGTTCTTGTGGAAAGCTCGTATTGAAGAGGTAGGATATACTACTTGAGCAAGCGTTTTTGACTGGAAAGTCACACGACTTACAGTTAGCTCAAATGCCACTCACAGCAAGGGTGTGCGCCTTTAATATTTACCCGTCGGTCACTGTATAGCTACAATTCCCAGCGAATTTTCGCATCGTAGTGCACACATACATATTGCTCCAAATTCAGACGTTGTAGTTGCACCTCAACGCGCCTAGGAATAGTAGTTATAGAGAGGTTGGTTGAGTCCTAACGCCTTTATTTAAAAGTATGCAGTGCGAAATGGTTCGTGGTTTGAAACCCCAATGCGGACCATTGTGCTGATTGTCACTAACATCGAGGCAGCGAGCGTTATGGCTATGGATACTCGTTACTAGTGTAAGTGAACTCTATACACCTTATTTCCAAAACAAAATACTTAAGTACTTAAGTACTTAGTATGCTGGTTGGCTCGCTGAAATTCTTAAGCCTGATAAATTTCCCTGAGTATTTTTGAGGGTTATACGTTGCCACTTGAAATATGCCAGAAGACCCATTATATACTTCAGCATGCAAGGTATCCACGCTAGCTGAGTAGTATAACGGACGCTTAGGTGGTTCAGCACGAGGCGCTAGAATACGAGGTGATACCTTCCGAACTACTCTCTATATATTATCGAATCTCTGAGTAGAGCTGCAAGTTCTGTATAAATGCTCCACACAGATAAAATCAAAAAATGTGTCGTAACCATACACAACCACTACCATCTCTGATAACAGAGGGAAGCGGTTATCCGGTGGCTTAGAGGCAGGAACTGGTGCGAATCTTACTAAAATGTTTTACTCACTCAATCGGCATATACTCACATGTAAGGGACAATCTGGGTATGTTGTGATACATTGCGGTGCCTGGCATCCTAAGACAAACTAAATGTATGCATTTGTTCACACGGATTGCTTTGTGGCAACCGTGCTTGGGTTGAACTCCGAAATGCTCACGTATAATTACCCTTTACTAAACTCACAGTACAGTATACTCTAGTACGTACCATTTCAATTTAAAAACAGTATAATTGGCCTCATATCAGCTCCGTACCTCGCATGACGCCACATTATATTATAACAACTCCTAATAGCTGCCTATACGCATGCGCAACCGGAGTCTATTCTACATGTATTAATACAACTCACTTTATGATGTCTCGCGAGTAATTTAATCAAATTAACTCGCGCGGGTTATTCTGAAGCATCTGGACCATTTTAACGCGCGCGAGTTATTTTGAATTTGAACCAGGCAAAGCTATACTGAGCTCAAGTACATGTACATGTAGTTTGTGTAGCGGCCATTCGCAGGCGCCCGGCTTAGCGCAGGAACCTGGAGAAAGGGCAGTAGAAAGGACAGGTTGCTAGTGATCGAAAAAGTGGTTGTTGACGATCACTTTCCAGCTCTTTTGGTTGTTCTCGTCTTTTTTAGGTTGCCATTGTCCCAAAGAAGGTTGTTTATGGTCCAAAGTTGGTACACTGGCGACCCGGACTCGCCGCGCTGGACTCCAAATGTTGAAGCAGGAGGACGCTGCAATGGCAGGATTAAATCTACTACATGTAATGTGAGAGTATATCTGTCCCAAGCTTGAAGCCGCAGAGCTACATTCATTTAGCTCGGGCTCGGACTCAAGGCAAGCAAGGTCTATATCGAGCCGAGCCGCAGGGATGCGCCCTACCTCACTGCTATAGTGTTATACCACCCTTGGCCACGTGATCGAAAGCGGGAGTGCTACGCGATGGCTGATGTACAGCCCACGCTATGCTGTCGCGCCTGACGAGACAAAACCCTCGGACACGAAAGTCTCCGATAGCGGCCACGCCCTCTACATGGTACAGTAATCTGCCCGAGTAAGAAACGCCTGATATATATAAAGACGCAGAATATATAAATTGATGTTAAGTTGAGTATACTTTTCCAATGTACTGATTTAGTAATTTCAAAATGAACTGTAGAGCAGCTTTACCTACGAGTCCGGAATGATTCCAACAGTGGCGTATGGTCGAAGCACTAACCTTTGACCAGGCATCCTCGTACCACAACAGCGCTGTCAACTGGTCGACCTCGTAGGGATTATCTAGCCCTTCACCTTGTCGAGGATGCCCACTTTCTCAGACCAAGTGAGGCGGAGACGCTTGGACGGTGTGGACTTCATGGGTGGAGTGGGGGAGGAGGTGGGCTTGTGGGGCGAGGTGCAAAAGAAAAAGTGCGAGTCTACCACTACGATACATGTCGTTTGAAGTCTAGTAAGATTGCTAAATGCGCGCCATTTTTCAAACGAGGGTGGATGATTGGCACTGGATTTTTCACCTCAGTACAGACAACGACTTACAAAGCCGGCATGCTTAATGCCATCCTCCTATATAAAAACAACGATAAATTCCCTCCCGTCAAATCTGTAAAACTGTCATAAAACACACGGTGTGTTGCATAAAGTACACAAGAAAGCATATAAAGTACACAAAACCAGATGGTATACAAAGATGAAGTCATTTGATTGAATCTGATTGGCTGGTTTGCTCATGTTAAGCTTTGACTTCGTCTGCCGGCTTTTTGTGTCTGCCGGCTTTGTAAGTCGTTGTCTGTACCTTGCAGTACCTTGCACATCCCCCTATCGCCACATCGACTGGAAAATAATATTAAATATGTGAGGCTATCAGTTATACACCCGTTCCTTATTCGGGCAGAATTCTGTATGTGTTTTTTAGTTCTTGCGGTGGATTCGGCGCGCAAAATGCGGCACTTTCGCGTTGGTGCTTTCGGTGCAGCAGCAACAGCATCATTTGAAGCGAGATATTCCCATCATTAGACGGTGCAAGGCGCTCCCTCGATGGGAATTTCGTTTGTGTCCACCTTGGCGTTTGCAACCGGATAGCGTCCAGCGAGAGTACCGTAGTGAACCGGCTTTGGCAGGGGCCCTCCCGGCTCTGTAAAACGAACGACAAGCGGCACCGCAAAGGCTCTGGTATTCGGCCGCCTCTGAGCCACACACGGGCTGCGTGGAGACTCCAGCTGGGGCGGCACGAGACGGGAGGAGAGCTCGTCGTCGCTGGCAAACGAGGAGTCCCAAGGCGCACACTAGCGAATTCGAGTTCGTCATCGAGAGGTGGCGGATGCGCTTGTCAAATTTCAAAAGTTCCGTTCGTCGTCAAGGGAGCGCGTTCAAAGTCTCCAGCCACTCTCAGTGTGAGTAGATCAAACATTTTAGTTGAACTCGGCGGATGATAGCCTCTAAAACGACACGAATCACTTCGACCGCGCTATGCTTTCAAGGAACGAGAGCACTTACGTTATCCGATCGCAATGAGCAGCGGAAGTAGGGGAGTCGCAGCCACATGGTGACGACAGTCTCTGTGAACAGTTGATTGTTCTCTCGGCCTTTGTGTCAACAAACCTCCGCGCCCACAAACTCGGCGCTTCCAGCGCAACAGCCTTTTCGGCCGCTTTATCTGCGAGCTTTGCCGATCTCAGCGTCCCAGGGAACTTGACTTTTACCGTAACGCCTCAATTGATGACACTCACATCACACGCTAGCGCTCACATACTTTGAGTTAATCCACCTTTAGCCCCCAGCGCACGCAATCGAGGGCGACACTTCTTTCGGTGTCGTAATTCGGTGGGCAAGCCCCGCCCGCCGCCGTCTCCTTGGACAGACGAGAGATCGCAACATGTATATGTAGCAGCGATGCCAGCGAGCGTCTCCTTTACCTGTGTTCCGACGCAGATCCCCCCTGCGCCCTCTATGGCGGTTCTGCTACTTTGTGCAGCGCAAATTGTGCTATTGCAATGTGTATGTGCTGAACGCTGTCGACAGTAAATGCGTGCGGTGAAGCCATTGGTGCGGGAATCAACTCGCCATTGCAGCGAAGCTCGAACGGCTACTAGATTTGTTGAGGTGCCTCCACCGAAAGCGACGATGGTTCACGTCACAAATCATTCTTGGAGGAATGTGATTGGACGGATCCTTCAACGACTGCACCCCCAAGAAACAGTTTTAGCCTTCGTGGCGGCGATTCCATCAGCAGTGACTTGGCGTGCTGTAGCGTAGCGGGAACAGGAAGAGGACACTTGGACAGTTGAGTCAGAATGCGATCCATACACACGCACGTGGTGATGCGGCCTTAGCCCTGTGCTTGACAGATCCAGGACCGATACAGCTTCGCAGGCGAGAGTCTTGAGACCACCAGCACGCCACAAATTCTCTCCCCTGCAGACCTGACTTCCCTTCACTGCCTAAGCGCTACTGCAACCAGAGAAGGAAGACGGTGCCGATCGTTCATCCACGGCCAACTGATGGCGCAGCACGCTACCTTGGGAGACAAACCATCGTGGCGTTGGTTCTTAAAAGCACCACTTGCTATCCGTGCTACGGTGCAACGGGGGTTGTGTGCATGTATACAAGTGTTAGTTGTAAGCATTGCATTCACACGCCACTCCGTTAGTGTACTAGTACCTGTTGATGCGGTTTTGACGATCCGCGTGCGTCGAACTCGGGGACACATTCGACTGATGAGACAGAGCAATGCTAGAGCCGAATGGGTATTGTCTGGAATGCCCATTTAATTGTCCTCGGCGTGAGTTGTTCACCCCTAACGTGGTTTAAGTGGCCTTCTATTTGAGCTTAATTAACTGACCTATAGAAGCCTTGATATGTAGTGAGACGTGCCTGTATGTCGACCGTCTTTGAGTGTTGTTGCTTTTGCAGCTGGGGTGTGGAGTCTGCAATCGTTTTCCTTGTCCTAGAGTTGGGGATCAAAGCTCCTCCTGTGCTGTGGGTATCGTAGATGATTGTAGTGCTTGTTTTTGCCATCAACTTAGCCGCTCGGAGCGCAGTTCCAGCAGGTGAACCCCACTGCACTGAGAAAATCGCGTTCAAGTCCTTGGCGAGCGCGGCTACTGGGCCCGTAGCTTGAGTTGTTCACGGGGGGGGGCTATAACTGAACAATTTGAATTTGATTGCGGTTACACCACAGCGGTGGTCCCGCGGAGACGACTATAACAGAGCAACTTCTCATAGACAACTCTGGTGAGGATCGCCAGCTTTGGCGCGCGCGCCAAGGCAGCACTTCGAATCAAAGTTTTGCGACCAACTCCATCAGCAAAAGCGAGGTTCGGCCGCTCTGAAATCGCCGACCCGTTTGTGCGAGGCCACAGACCATAGCAGCAGTAGGTGTCTTTTGCGCTTGCCTTGTCAAGCTTCGTGCCACCAATCACCGACTGCACCCTTTTGCAACTGCTCTATGTGTGTAAGATCTTGTTGGCCTTATATGCCAACCGCACGAACAAGTCCGGGTCGCTTTCCATTGACATCGCCGTTGGTATCGCTGTGAGTGCGCATGGATCGTGGTACGATTCTTCTCGTCGGCTACGCAAGATAAACTCACGAATGGGGTGTGTACCTTCAGCATGCGTGGCAATATTCTGGCAACTTCGAGATGGCAGCGCTCAAGAGCATTTTGACGAGTATCCGATGGGTATGGAAGTTGCCCTTATTAGCCAGGTACTTTACCTGGTCTATAAGGACTACACTAAAACGTCTATATTACAATAGCGACCAAAACCTAGAAGTCTAATTACATATCTAGTCGGAAACGAAGCGTGCAGCTCACTTCAACCTCCACATCAACTTCCCGCCAAGATGCCGCTTGCCGCAGTCGGCGTGCCAAGTGTGCGGTCCCCGCCCGGGCGTGTCTCCCGACTCGCTGTTCAAGTGCTCGCGCTGCCAGGCGGTGCTCTACTACGGCCGCGAGCACCAGAGCGAGCACTTCGCCTCGCACAAGTCGACGTGCAAGCGCATCAAGAAGATGCGCGACCGGATGGCGGAGGAGGCCGCCAAGATCCGCAGCGCCAGGGAGGACGACTAGACGCCCGCGAACGCCTTCGAGACGCACGTCGGCCACTTCTGGGGCATCCAGAGCACGCGCCCGTACATGCGCGCCAAGCTGGAGGTGATCCGCACGCTGTCCACCATCGCCTCGCGCTCGGCCATTGAGGCGGCGCTGACCGAGGCGCAGGACTGCATGCGGCTGTGCCGCTCCGACAACCTCGGCATCCGTGAGGTCATCCCGACGCTCCTGCTGCTGCTGGACCGGTACCAGGAGGCCTACGACTTTATCAAGTGGTACGTCACGAGCGGAGATGACCCGCACTACGACTGGGGCAACATGGACCTGCCCTTCCTGAACGTGCACGGTGCCGACATGACGGAGAAGCTGCCGAGCTCCATGCAGAGAGGCCGCAACGTGTTATTCTCGAGCTCGCTTGTGTACATCAAGATGATGCTGGCCAAGGCCGTCAAGGACGCCATCAACGCGCACGAGCTGGCGGATCGCGCATCGCTCCCTGCGTGCGTGACTGACTCGCTGGGGGCTTTCTTGGCGCCAAACGGACACACTCGAAGCCTCGCCGACCTCAAGAAGCTCCACAAGAAGCTCACGAGTCAGATGCACGAGGCGTTCTCACTGTCGCAGTTCCAGAACCAGCACTTCTGGTACGCGCTGTTGGACCCGACGCCTATTGTTCAGGCGCCCAAGCCGCCCCACTACGAGCCGGGTGATGCGAACCAGGTCAAGCTGTGGGTGCTGCAGAACGCCATGTTGTGGCGTGATCACCACGAGTTTATCCGCGAAAACCGTAGCGAGTACCCTGACTTCCTGCCGGAGATGCCTCACCGTGGCCCCAAGCTTATGCACAACTTCCCGTAGATGGTCGCATGACGTCGTTCTCCTTCCTTGACTGGGATTTTTATTTCGAGTGGAAGTAAGGTAGTAGTAACATTTCGTCGGGGTTTGCGCGATGAATACGCAGAAGCATCGTTGCTCAAGGCTTACGCCCTCCTGTAGCATCAGCGCAGGACTTGCATCATTTTTTGAAATTCGACACTCAGCTCTGGTGCGTACCAATGTACGACAACTACTACAACATCGGTAGCTTCCTCTCTAACGTTAAGAAAAGAGTTGCTACCTACTGTAGGTAGTACTTACTACGGTAGTAAGCTTCAGAGCAGTTCTAAATTAAATAATTTGAGTGGTTTAAGTCCGTCGGTACTACGAAATGTGCGCCAACGTAGTCGTGGGTCAACGTAAGTCACCCGAGTGGAATGACACCTGCATTCAACACACACCGGAAGTCTCTTAGCCAGGACGCCAAATACTCTGACGAAGATCCACCCCAGGTATCATCTCACAGTCAACTGTACCTCTCATCCCGTTTTGAATTCTGGATCAGGTAATAAACTAGCCACGCAAGTATTCACCCCAAGCTGGCTCTGGATGTGTGAGTCGGTTTTGGCCTCTGTCGTCTGAAAAACTCCGCTCCTGCTATTGTACGAGGGGCACGGGGTAAACTGGTAAGCATGATTGTACCCCGTTTTGATTCATGTGCAGTCTACTCAGTAGACTTGCTTGACGATTTGTGTTTCCAGCCGCAATAACGTTGAAGACACCGGAGGATCGGAAGCAACGACGTTGAAGCTCGAACTTGATTCGCAAAGCACGCCAGGCGGGCGGCCACAGATGTGTTAAACCCAGCCTGGATCACCGGGTAACGTGCCCAGCGGCGATAGCTCAGGATGTCGAAAAGTTGGTGGTGGACAACCACCGCCGCCCATGTCGGTCCGATGAACATGTATTTTGGCTTTGTACAGATCCTTACCCGTCAACATGACGGTCAAGACCGTGTCCCATACAACCGCCACCCAATTACAGCACGCTCCTGCTGAGTATCAGCGCCACAGTGCGTGCAAGCGCTTTTCACAAGTCGTGAGTGCTGGTCTGCGCTGGCTGCAACCTGCAAAGCCCGGGGGCACCGGGGTTAGTCAGCAGCGCTTGCGTCTAGATCTGTACCGATACAAATGTTGCATGAATCTGGACCCAATAAAACCCAAATCTACGATTTTCGATTGGTCCAACCATTATATATTAGAGACGACGGCAAACAAAATGTTACTTATCAACCTAAGTACGAATCGCGATTTAGGCGCATAATTGGAAAGAGGGATGTCTCCTCTTTCGTTTGAGCCCCTCCCGAGCTTCTGGTATGAAGAAACGACCGAGAACGAGACCGTCAAAAAATATATGTCCGACTTCAACCCCGAAAGAGAAATGTTTTTTTGATGAACTGGTGTAAAATTAGTCAGCGAATCCGACAATGTTGTCCGTTTTAGCTAATTCGAAGCCTAACAGTGTTAGAATCTCACTTTTGTGCCGTCACTTCAAATCACCACGGGTATATATTTGATTTTTTTTTAGAAAATTTGATATCTGGATGTAAGTAACATTTTGAATGAACTGTGGACATAAGTATCATAATGATCGACTACAACCTATTCTTGCTCAGCAGGCAGATCCGCAGTAGCTTTGTGCTTCTTGTTCTTTTGCGTCTTCTTTGCTGCAGTAGCCCTCTTCTTTGCTGGGTTCTTTTTCGTCGCAACAGCCTCCGTGATACCACGCTGGTCTTGGTTAGCCATTGCCGCGCGATGCTTACGTCGTGCTTGTTTCCGTGACTTGGCATCTTCTCCTTCCTGCTCGCTAGGCTTGGCGTAGAGGGGATCGCTCTGAAATTCAGCAGGAACGTAGGGCCTGATGTTGTGGTACATCTGCGCAATTTTCTCGGTGTTGCGGACAGGAGGGGACAGCGTCTTGATATGGTCCGTCATCATCCGCTGCACCTTCTCCTTCGTGGTGAAGATCCCGTCAATTTGACGGCTCAAACTAATCTCTACAGGTTCGCTCTCGGGGCCTTTCTTGCAGACAACGACGCCCGGCTGCGATGCGTCCATCGTGAAAATCTGGAACTTCTGGATGCCGTCAAGTCGTTTGTACAATTCGGTGAGAATAGGTTTGTAGGACTTGAACGCTGAGCTTCCGCGAGGCAGATGCACCGTGATTGAGCTCTTGGACGCCGAACTAACAGCCTCTACGAGCTGCATGCGTGTTGAGCCGGTTACCATGCGCCTTGATCGACATGTCACCGTCTCGGATGCGCATCTTGTAGCGCTGCAAGGTAATGGGGACTACTCCATAGCAGAGCGCGAAAGTGGGTCGGTACATATGACCTACGTAGGGGAGGATGTACGGAAACTTCTCACGGTCACCCCGTCCTCTCTTACGCTCAACCGTGGGGGTCTGCATCAACACAGCCAGGAGCGTGTACAAGCTCGTGGTGCGCTCTTGCTTCGTCATCTGGTCCAGCGTGCACAGCAAGAACTCCAACTCACGAGCCTTGCCCTTGACGCACTCATTCTCACACGCGTCCGCATGAATCACCTCAGTCACACGGGCTCGAGGACTCGCGTCATTCAAAAAGATACTAATATCCTCTTCATCTTCGGCTTCACTGCTCGCGCTCTCTGCTGTGAGCGGTTCCTCGTCGTCGCTGGGCGACGCCTCCGAATCAGGCGTAAAGTCGTCGTCGCTGCTGTCCTCGTTCACCTCACTCTCACTGGTAGCAGTGGGATTGACACCACAGACAGAATCGTCGGCAGAATCAGGCTCTTCGTCTGCTTCGCGACGCCGAGCAGCAAGGGGTGCCGTGGCCGACAGAGTCAGCGCCGTGGAGGGGGACGTTGTGGCCGGCGGAGTCAGCGCCTGGGAGGGCGATGTCGTGGATGGCGGACCCGACGTCGCGGCTGGCGGACTCGGAGCCGTGGCTGGCGGGCTTGGCGCCGAGGTGGCCGGTGGCGAGGCTGAGAGAGGCAGCGCTGGAGGTTGCGCAGGCTGCGCAGTTGGCGCTGCAGCGCGCGAGGTCGGTGCTGTCGGCGTCGTGGGTGGTGTCTGTATGGCTGTAGGTAGTGGGCTTTTCGAAATGGTATCCGTGCCGATACACCCCCTTCAAATTTTTGAAAATCAAAACTCCTCGTTTTCTCACGACTTCGTTTAGTTACGATTTTGAACCTGGCCTCTTTTAAGGCGATTATCTCGATAACTCTAAATGGTGGATTATAATTTATAATATGCCGGTTCTAAATCCGATCAGTAAAGTGTGATTCATACTTATTTTGAGCTGGTTCAGATGGCTTCCAATCCTTGAATCGCTCCAATCTTGAATTGCGACGACCTTGTCAAACCCAAGCCAAGATCCCGGCCACACACTTGCCAATTGACCGCCAACCCCCAAGTACGAAGTCCAAGACGACGATGAGCTCCCCGCAGCCGATCGAGTGTAAGGCCGCCGTGTGCTGGGCCGCCAAGACGGACTACGTGCTCGAGGACGTGATCGTGGGCGCGCCGCGCGCCGGCGAGGTGCGCATCAAGATCGTGGCCACGGGCGTGTGCCACACGGACGAGTACACGCGCTCGGGCGCCGACCCCGAGGGCATCTTCCCCGTGATCATGGGCCACGAGGGCGCCGGCATCGTGGAGAGCGTGGGCCCCGACGTGACCAGCCTCAAGGTGGGCGACCACGTGGTGCCGTGCTACACGCCGCAGTGCCGCAACTGCAAGTTCTGCAAGTCGTCCAAGACGAACCTCTGCTCCATCATCCGCAGCACGCAGGGCAAGGGCCTCATGCCCGACGGCACTTCGCGCTTCACGTGCAAGCGCAACGGCGAGACGCTCTTCCACTTCATGGGCACGTCCACGTTCTCCGAGTACACGGTGCTGCCCGAGATCGCGGTGGCCAAGATCGACCCCTCGGCCCCGATGGACAAGGTCTGCCTGCTGGGCTGCGGCATCACCACCGGCTACGGTGCCGTGGTCAACACCATGAAGGTGGAGAAGGACTCGACCGTGGCCGTCTTCGGCCTGGGTGCCGTGGGTCTGGCTGTCATCATGGGCGCCAAGGCTGTGGGCGCTCGCAGGATCATTGCCGTGGACATCAACCCCAAGAAGTTCCCGATCGCCAAGGAGTTCGGCGCCACCGAGTTCGTGAACCCGAAGGACTACCCGGACCGTCCGCTCCAGGATGTGCTCATTGAGTTGACCGTGGAGGAGGGCTTCGGCGGCCTCGACTACACGTTCGAGTGCATTGGTCGCCCCGAGACGATGCGTGCTGCGCTCGAGTGCTGCCACAAGGGCTGGGGCGAGTCGTGCATCATTGGTGTTGCCGCTTCCGGCGTGGAGCTGGCCACGCGCCCGTTCCAGCTCGTGACCGGCCGTCGCTGGGCCGGCAGCGCCTTCGGTGGCTTCAAGAGCCGCGACGGTGTGCCCGCGCTCGTGGAGAAGTACATGAAGAAGGAGATCAAGGTGGATGAGTTCATCACTCACAAGTTTGACCTGCCCCAGATCAATGAGGCGTTCCACGCGATGCACCAGGGCGACGTAAGTATCTCGTGTCTTGTGCGGTCACTCTGCTGCTGGCTGTGCATACTTGCCAAACTCACTAACCCTCTTCTTGCTTGGTTGCATGATATGATACCAGTGCATTCGCGCGATCGTGTACTTCCACGGTGTGCCCCAGCAGTAAGAAGTCGCCTCTGTGCGCGTAGTTGTTTAGCAACTGAGGTAGAGAAGATGTGTGAGTGAGTAGCTCAGATCGACGTTGCGCTTTATGAGGTTAACGCGATGGTGCGAGGGCGCCCTCGTACAGCGGAAACACGAAAAGATCGAGCCCAAAATTATTGTGTCGTGCTTTGCTCTCTTCTTACAGTCGAATGCTACAGAGAGTGAACACCGATCTTGCCATGCCCACACAATACAACTGCGGCCAAGCCACCATCGTCAAAGTTGCAGGGCATCGGAGCTACCAATTGTAGTATCAACTGCCGAGGAGATCACAGTCACACAATGAAACCACCATCATGGCGGCCACAGTTGCTGGTGATTTACCGAACCGGGGTCAAACACACAGGTTGTCAAGCTCGTCAACATCCTCGATTGCAGATCAGCGCACAGCTCGCAACCCGACAAAGCCAGCCTTGCCGAACATCAATTCATCAGCACACCACTAAGCGCACCTGGTCCAGCCCACCTTCGCAAGTGCATACAGTCCTCCACGGCAAGCCGCGACTTCAGCCACGGCGCTCAACCAAATGAATGTATGTAAGAGGTTGTCGATGCAGTGCACTGCAAGTTGCCGTTTGTTCCGTTCCTCGTGCTAAGACTTGGTCGATGCTGAATGTTGACCAATGAAGCGCCATGCACCACACCGCATTACGCCACTCTTGCTGAGGCTGCAGTCGAATTCCAATGTGCTCCCTCGCTGCGGCGCCGGAGGCCGCCAGAGTTCTCCTGGCGCCGCGCCGATCGTATCTGATAACCAGGCGTGCAAAGCGCCCGGGAATGGCTGGCTCCCAGCCCGGGGATCGAGCTTCATGCCCGAGATTTGATGCGCCGAGCTCCACAAGAACTAGCCGCACAAAATTTGGGAGCTTCGACTCTAAATTCATGATTACTAATACCCTAGCATAATGCATACATATTTTGGAGTGCTCTATACATATACTTCAATATGCTTACTGTAACATCCTATATACCCGACATTTGCGATAATCCGTTACGGACCGGGGCCTCATCATCATGTTTAGAACGGGCTCGGATCAACTGTTGGTCCAACATGGGATCAACATGCTGTTGAGAGGCGCGTGCGTTGCTGGCCTCCGACCCTTTGGGCAAGATCTCATTCTGGAATTCGCCAAGAAGACCGAGCAGCACCCCCTCCCCAGCACCCCAACCATGAGCGTCAAGGCCCAGCCCGGTGACAAGGTCGTCCTCGCCTACAGCGGCGGCCTGGACACGTCCATCATCCTCAAGTGGCTGACCAACAAGGGCTTCGAGGTCATCTGCTACTGCGCCAACGTGGGCCAGCAGGGCGAGGACTACGAGAAGGTGCGCGCCAAGGCGCTGTCCCTGGGCGCCAAGAAGGTGTACATCGAGGACCTGCGCGAGGACTTCGTCAAGGACTACATCTTCGAGGCCGTCAAGTCCAACGCCATCTACGAGTCCCGCTACCTGCTCGGCACGTCGCTGGCCCGCCCCGTGATCGCCAAGAAGCAGGTCGAGATCGCCCAGGCCGAGGGCGCCAAGTACGTGGCCCACGGCGCCACGGGCAAGGGCAACGACCAGGTGCGCTTCGAGCTGTGCGCCCAGGCCCTGGACGCCCACCTCAAGACCATCGCCCCGTGGCGTGACGCGGAGTTCATCGAGAAGTTCAAGGGCCGTGCCGACCTGATCCAGTACGCCAAGGAGCAGAACATCCCCATCGACGCCACCCCCAAGGCCCCCTACAGCGTGGACGAGAACCTGTACCACACCAGTTACGAGGCCGGCATGCTCGAGGACCCCATGACGGCCCCCATGGTCGAGATGTTCAAGATGACGGTGGACCCCAAGGACGCCCCCGACGCCGCTGAGCAGATCAGCATCCGCTTCGAGAAGGGTATCCCCGTGGGTGTGACCAACCTCACGGCCAAGACCCCCGAGCTCACGGGCGCCCTGGACCTGTTCCTGGAGCTCAACAAGCTGGCCGGCAAGCACGGCATCGGCCGCATCGACATCGTCGAGAACCGCTTCGTCGGCATCAAGTCGCGCGGCTGCTACGAGACCCCCGGCGGCACCATCCTGCGTCACGCCCACCTCGACCTGGAGGGCCTGTGCATGGACCGCGAGGTCATGAAGGTGCGCGACACGCTCTCGGCCAAGTTCGCCGAGTTCTGCTACAACGGCTTCTGGTTCGCCCCCGAGATGGACTTCGTGCGCAACGCCGTGGACTTCTCGCAGCAGAACGTGACGGGCTACGTCAACCTCGAGCTCTACAAGGGCAACGTGACCGTGATCGGCCGTTACTCGGACGAGGCTCTGTACAGCGCCGACCTGGCCTCCATGGACCAGGAGGGCGGTGGCGACAACTTCGACTACAACCCGGCCGACGCCCAGGGCTTCATCCGCATCAACGCCACGCGCCTCAAGGCCTGGCGGTGCCGCCCCCAGCCCAAGAAGTAAGCTCGATCGCGCATTGTGGCTGCTTAATACTATATGAGGAGCATGGGGAGCCACGCACGCAGTGGGAGCCCAAGCCAGCAAGAGCCTGCAGCAGAGTAGTAGTAGTGCCAAGTAAAGGAAACACACAAAAATGCATATCGCTCGCTGGAGCTGCCAGTCTAAACCTCGTCCTTCTCGTCTACCATCCTCCAGTATTGACTAACATCGCAGCTGCTAGCAGACCCTCCTTGTGTACTCATGAAACCAGTGAGTGAAGGCTATTGAGCGAAACCACGTGTGGGTGGCGCATGAAGCTCGGAAACGCTTTGCGGCGACATGGCATGCGTCCATTGGACCAGAAGCTTCAAGATGGGAATGGCTACACCTTGCGGGCGGTTCATTTGGTCATGTCCAAAAAAACTGAGCTGATCAAATTATTTGTGATTTGTGACCAGATCTACAACCACGAGTCAAGAATTGGTCGCGAAAATGGGAAACGATGGCGGCGTGATCGCCGTGAAGCGCAAGTTCATGCGGCACGCGAACGTGAAGGCGCGCGGGGAGAAGGCGGACCAGGAGGCGCTGCGCCTGGAGAAGGCGCGGACGTGCGCGCTGTCGTCGGAGCCGCTGCGCGAGCCCGTGGTGGCCTGTCGGCTGGGCAACCTGTTCAACAAGCAGACAGTTCTGGAGCATTTGCTGGCCAAGTCGATGCCCGAGCGGTTCCAGCACATCACGTCGCTCAAGGACGTGGTGACCTGCCGCCTGACGCGCGAGAAGGAGGAGGCGGACGCGTTCTGGTGCTGCCCCGTGACGATGGCCGAGTTCAACGGCAAGCTGCCCTTCGTGGTGCTGTTCAAGTGCGGTTGTGTGCTGTCGGAGCGTGCTCTTAAAGCCGTCGCTACGCGGGAGTGCCTCGTGTGCGGCAAGACCTATGACGAGCAGGACGTGGCCACGCTGCTGCTGGAGGACGAGCAGTACAAGGAGAAGCAGAAGAAGCTGCTGGAGCTCAAGGCGGAGGAGAAGCGAGCCAAGAAAAGCAAGAAGAAGGCGAAGGAGCAGAAGGAACAGGAAGAGGAAGGACAGCACGAACACAAGAAGAAGCACAAGGACAAGAAGAACAAGAGGAAGGCGGGCAAGTTGGGGGAGACGGGCGACGCCAGACTCGTCAAGATCGCGAAGGACGCGAGTGAATCTATCTCCAAGGCGAAGGAGAAGAGCCAAGTGTTTGCGTCCATCTTCTCCAAGGACAAGAAGGAGAAGGCGAGTGCCAACGACCTGCTCATGACGATCGGTGGCATGCGTTACACGCTGTCGTAGAGAGCACCGTTAGACGCTGTTGTGGGCTACATGTAGATTCCTCCATATTTAATGCTCGCTTTTGCACGCAGTAAAACGATTGCCGGAAACTTTTATCGATTCGTGTTATTGCAGTGACTATCAGTAGTTCAGCTGTGAGACCAAACTTTAGCGGAGCCGTCAGTGCAGCCCGTGACGAACATACTACTCTCAGGATGACAAGCGAGTGCTCGCACCGGTTTCTCGTGTGCAGCGAGTGAGTGCATTTGCTTGGCGTCCACGAGATCCCACCAGTAGACCTTCCCGTCCTCGGAACTGCTCACTACGTACGCCCCATCGCTTGAGAAGCCACATTCGATTTTGTAGTCTTGGACGCGATGCCCACGGTAGCTATGAGACCAGGGCGAATGTGAGAAAACAAAGCACGACCAAGGAATTTGGCACAGCCAAACTTACCTCTTGACTTCTGTTCCTTTGGCTTTTTCGATTAGTCTGATGGATCCATCCAGGCATCCAGCAAGCAGGAAGCGAGCATCAGGAGAGTGCGCGACTGACACCACGGGCTCTGCGGCAGAATCATGACTATTAGATCTCCCGAGTGCATAAAAGTGCGCTGCACGTGCACACGTACCATCAATATGCTCGCGAAAAAGCTGCCCCGCTCGTAGATCGTACGTCCGCACAACCCCATCGACGCATCTACAGCAACGAGAAACGTTGTCAGTACGGATCTAGCAGAGCGTGCAGTATGCACGCGAGATCTTGCTTACCCTGCTATGATTTCGTGTTCCGTCACAACCATGGACGTGACACTGTCCTTGAAGTCGTCCAGAACTTGAATCGGCATGTAAGCATTGCGAGCCCTACTCATTTAAATGCACACAAAGTTCGCATGAGAAGAAGTATCAACATGACTCCTCCTTTCCATGACCTTGCCTGATATCCCAAGCTCGAATCGTTTTATCGTATGAGCCACTCAGCAGCACGGACGAATCCGCATTGTAGCGCACGCAATTCACACTCTGCAACACCAGCACAAGGCATCCGGCGTCATCTTTCAATCCAGCCAAACAATCAACCCACCGGTCTCGCCTTACATGCTCGTGGCCTTCGAACTTGCGGATAACCTGAGCAGTGGGCACGTCCCACATGAAGACGTCGCGGTCTCGACCACACGAGGCGAACTTGGAGTTGTCGTGTGCACTGCAGCAAAAAGAAATACAGCATCAAAAACACTTGTCACCACCATCCACCACTCGCATCAACTTCCCCATACTTACATTGCAACGTCCTGCACGTCGTATCCGTGTCTGCCTTCGTACGTCTTGACCAGCAGCGCCTCGTTCGGCTTGTCGACGCCGTCGCGGTGCGGGTTCCAGAGCTTCACCGTCTTGTCCTGGCCGCAGGTCATGACGTACGTGCCCTTGGCTGCCAATTCACCAGCAAACCGTTAGCGTCCAGGCGATACCGTGACCATGCAGATATTGTGTAATGCAAGGCAGAGACGTACAGTTGAAGCGCACGGCGTTGACAGGCCCGTGGTGGCCATGGAGCTCGCGGACGCAGACGCTCGGCACGTCACTTGCCTCCTTCATCGTTTGCGAGCTTTTTGGGAAATTGACCATACTTTGTTCAAGGTAAATGGCGGGTAATGATGGTAGCAAATATGCAGTGGTTGATATTGGTAAGTTCTAGGCCAGTGCAACTTGCACGACATGCAAAATGTAGCTCGAACTGCGTGCTCTCCCATCGTCCCTGAGGCACCAGGCGGTCTTCTGTATCAACCAGCCTCTGCGTCGGGGAGGACGGGATCGGGCGTAGTGTAAAATTGCCACAAGCACGCAGCCTCCGGAGCCACAAGCTCTTCTTCCTCTTCCTCCTCTTCCTCTTCTCCTTCATCGACTTCTGTCCTTCCTTGCTCTGCCATGCTTACGGCGAGGTGGCCGGGGAGACCGAGGCCTCGAACAGGTCCCAGATGTTGCCGTTCACGAAGTCGTTGTCCACGATGCTCACCAGGAAGTACGTGTCGTGGACCTCGCGCAGCAGCTTGGCCGACTGGCTGCCGTCCTCGTACAGCGACGCCCAGAGCTTGAGCCACAGCGCGAACGCCTCGTCCTTCCACACCAGGAAGCTGCTGCTGTCCACGATCGTGGGCTGCAGGATCTCCTTGTTGGGGAACACGCCCCACGTCACGGCAATGGCCGACTTGCTGGCGTTCGAGTACGAGTGGCCGTTCAGGTTCACGGCGTGGTACTGCACCGACGGCTTCTTGGCGGCGTTCTCGATGATGATCTTCATGTTCTCGGGCGACACGAAGCACTCCACGTAGGCCTTCTGGTACACGCGGCCACCGGGGCCACCCCAGCCGAACATGGGGTCGTCGGACAGCGCGCCGTTCACGCGTGGCTGGCTGTTGATCGTCAAGAATCCAGCGGAGTTGGCAGCAGCGAGCTCCTGCTGGACGGTCGACGTCTCGGCGTGCAACGCGGCGTCACACCACGGCAGGCTCGAGATTTCGCCGCGCACGTACTGCACGAACGTGCGACGAATGTCCTCCTTGGTGGCGGGGGCCTCGCCCCACATGGCGCGCCGCTCGTTGGGCGTCGATGTGCTGGAGGGCGCAAAGTGCGACTCCGTGAGCTCTCCGAACGCGGGGCTCTCGCTGTTGCCCCAGCGGCCGTTCGGGTACTCGTCCCACATGGCCGTGCGGTGCACGTAGCTCTTGGGGCGGTTGGACCAGTAGATCGGGCGCACAGTCTCGGCCGCGCGCTTGGACAGCGTAGACGTCTGCCAGGGCAGCTCACGACGTGGGACACGACTAGACAGCGACAACAGTCCCTCCAGGATGCGACGCACCGAGCGCTCCAGGTTGAGCGTGTAGAAGTGCAGGCCGGGCACGCCCGCGTCGATCAGCTGCTGGCTCATGGTGATGCCGAGCTGCACGCCGTAGTCCTTGACGGCCTCGTCATTGTCCTTGATGGGCTCCAGCGCCTTGCGCACCTCCTCGGGCACGAATGTGTTGCAGAACGACGTCATGCGCTCGAAGCCGCCGTAGTTCTGGATGGGCATGATACCGGGGATAATCGGCACCGTGATGCCCACGGCGCGGCACTCCTTGACGAAGTCCACGAACACCTGCACGTCGTAGAAGAGCTGCGTGATGATGAAGTCGGCGCCGGCGTCCACCTTCTCCTTGAGGTACTGGATGTCCGCCTTCTTGTCGCTGCTCTCCATGTGGCCTTCGGGGTAGCCGGCCACGCCGATGCAGAAGTGGTCGCCGTAGTGCTCGCGCATGTAGCGCACGAGGTCCACGGCGTGCGAGAAGCCGCGGTCGCACTCGTCGAAGCTCGTGGCGCCGCGCACGGGGTCTCCGCGCAGCGCCAGGATGTTGTGGATGCCGGCGTCCTTGGCCTGGTCCAGCGCCTTCTTGATGTCGGCCTCGGCCATGTTGGTGCACGTCATGTGCATGAGCATCTCCAGGCCGCTGAGCTTCTGCGCGTTGGCGCTCAGCTCCAGTGTCAGCTGCGCGCTCGAGCCGCCGGCGCCCCACGTCATATCGCAGAAGAGCGGCTCCAGCGCGGCCATGCGGTCCATGCGCGCGTACAGGTTGTCCACGCCCGCGGGCGTCTTGGGCGGGAAGAACTCGAACGAGTAGAACACCTCCTGGCGCTCCACGCTCGCGTTGATCTTTTCGATGATCTTCATCCTGTGTGTCTATCTGTCTGTCTGTATTGGGGCTGCGCGCTAGACCTGCCGACGGACGGGGGTGAACGTACCTGGGGGGGAATTGCGGACTGATACCGCCGCAACATTCACGATTACCGATGGTTGGGAGCGGCTCGCGGCTATGATACGATGTACCGCTTTTATGGTACACACGCAGCTTTTGATCTGCAGCGAGCTGCTGGAGGAGACGAGAGAGCATGACCCGCACAGCTACTGCGAGGGCCCAGGGGCTCCTGGGCGAGCAGGAGCTGCGTGTGTGCGTTGCGTGCGGACGTTCGTTGGCCGCGAAGGCATTTTCGCGCCACCAGCAATTGAAACCCAGTCCGTACGTTGCCGTTGATGTCTGGAAGTGCTGCTATGATACATGCAATGAGTGCTGTGTACTGGTCTGACGAGGGGGACTGCGTGCTGCAGGAAATGCAAGGCGTGTGTGGACAAGTCCAAGGTAGAGGGCGACGCGCAGCCGCGACTGAAGCGCTGCGTGCAGTGCTTCCAGAGCCTTCCCAAGACGAGCTTCTCCAAGCGCCAGGCCCAACTGCTCGAGGGCAAGTGCGCAGCCTGCGTCCAGGAGCTCAACCGCCTCGCTGCTGCCTCGCCTGCACACGTCGCCAGTGAGTCCTGTTGGCATGCAGTGCGTTTGGTCTGGATATTGGTATTAATTGTGTTATGTGCGTCGCCAGGCAAGTGGACGTTTGATCAGCACTATCGAGTGTGCCATCGAGGCAAGAACGGAGGTGTGTCGGTGCGCGTGAAGCATAACATCGCGTCGCCTTTGCTCGGTTGCATACCGCTGGGGCGCGTATTCCGCGCTACGGCACCAATTTGCAACGAACAGGGCGACCCCATGGTGAGGTTAGAGGGACCACATCTGCCAAGCGTTGTCGTCCGTGACGAAGCGAAACTCTCCAGCAAAGAAGACGACGGGGTTGAGAGGCAAATCAAGGAGGCATGGGTGCCCTGCCGCTCCCTTCGCAACGAAATTCTGCTGGAACATCATGAAGGGCCCTTCGTCGCTGATGAAGACAACTCTACGACCCGCAGGTTCTTCCGATGCGTCGTGGAAGGCTGCAAAGTGCGTGAGCGTGCGGATTTGGAACATTCAGAACTGGGTTACGTGCTGTACGGTGATGTGGTTGAAGTGGTGGAGGCTACTGTTGCTTCAGACGGCGTCGTGTTCTTGAGACTGCATGATCGGTACTTTGATGGTCCCGCGTGGGTGGTCGAGCGCTCGCTGGACAATGAGTCAGTTCTGAACGAAGTCGAGGGCCCGTGGGTATCCTCGTCAGCTACACCGAGGAAAGAGACGTACCGCTGCGTGCAAGACTCGGGTGCCCCCGTTCGCATGGAACCGGAGTTGGCGGCACCACCTGTGGGGCGTATTCCCTGTGGTGCCCTTGTGACGGTGGTGGAGCGTGCAATTACCGAGCAACGCCAGGTTTTCCTCCGCATTGTTGACTCCGATGCGCACGAAGATCCGGATTATGTTTCAGAAGGAGGGCAATGGGTTATTGAGACGAGCACGTGCTGCGCCAGCGTCGTGATCAAGACCAAATAGATAGAGAAAGGAATGCATTGGTGTGCATTACTTCGACGACGCATTACATGCTTTCTAAGCTCAAACCCACACCCACTTATGGTGTGGTTGCCACGTATCCGGGTAAGTCCAGCCTTGGCCGAAAAAATTGGGAGGAGCTTGTAGCTGCTCCGGTTCAAGTACCGCCGACACATTGACTCCTCCCAGGGCGTCATTGCGCACGAGGAAGCAATTGACGCCGTGTGACTCGCAGTACACTAGCGAATATCCATTGAGAGCCCCCCAGCGGTGGAAGGCAGCCACACTGCCGCCGAAGTACGACGAAAACCCGTCCCAACCACCACTTCCATCCTTGCTGTCATCGTAGTACACCGTTCGAGCTTCACTAGGCGGGATGTGGCTGTTTACTTCCACTATGACGACGCGTGGCGCCACGCGTGTCAAGTCCACCGAGCTAAGCAGCCAGAAATCGTTGAAGTCGACATCAATTGACAGAAGATCGAGGTCACGCGGGACGAGGTGCTGGTACTTTTCAGTAAGCAGCGTCATGAGATTGTCGCGGGTGATGAATTCGCGGTGTAAATCGATGCTCTCATCCTCGTAGCCTGAATCCATAAGCAGTCCTTTCCAGCCGCGAAGCTCCCGCAGGAGCCGAGTGTTGCATTCCTGACCATTTTCGGTGCCAAATTCGACGTATGCTTTGTTCTTGGTGCCAATGTGGCGAAAGATGTGGCGTATAATACCATCTTCGCCATTTTGCGAGAAAATCCCCCACTCGTGGCGCCAAAGCTCACAGATCCAATGTAAATTCGCAGAGATAATTAAATCAGGGCATGACCGAGGCAGCTGGGGCGTGTGCAGTCTCGGGTCCAGCACGTGCAGTCTTGACGTGATCTCGGGACGGTTAACCGAGAGTGCGGCATCGAAGGCTACGGTGTTCGTGAGGTGCACTGCCTTGTTGTTTGCTGTGAGAAGAAGAACGCTAATTTCATGATCATTCGCGTGACTGAATGCAACATGGTCCAGTGGGGATCTGAAGGTGACGCTTTGGTGGAGGGACTCTGTCTGCGTTCCAGGCCGAAACTCGCGGTTGTCAATAGCCATCCACTCGGGGCCCAAGCAATCGAATGAGTCGTCCAGCATGATGCAGACGCGAAACGCTGGATCGAGAGGATCGAATAGTGTCGTACGAATCTTCGCCACCAGATACTCGTTCTCGTTGTCGCTGCTGTCTGGCTTCACCTTCGACGTGTATATCTCCACCAGCTCGGCTTGAGGGGCCACGAGTTGAAGCGCTGTCGCAGCCAGAATTTCTTCGCCGCTCTTGTCAGTGAAGTAAATGATGTGGTAGCCTTCCCCAGCAGTTGTGGTGATGTACAGGGGATCTGTTTGCGGCACCATAAAACACTTCACTGGCGACGTGACAAGCAACGAGTAGAGGCAAAGCTCCTCCGGCTCAATATCCTCGTCAGAGTCTCGCTCCCAGTCCACTTTAATGTAGATGCGCTGAGATACTGGATATAAGCGCGTATCAATCGGGCTGTGAATCTTCAGGCGCCTTCGGGTACTGTCACCTTCTCCCCAATCGCCCTCTTTTTCATCTTCGTCTCCATCTTCATTAATCTCGGGACGCGTTGCTTTCAATGCCTCCAGCTGTTCTTCAACAATGCGAAATAGGACAACGCAACCCGCTGCATCAATCTTTCTCTCCACACAAAACTTCACTGCATCAGCCTTGCCATCACTTTCCACATCCACCTTGAGTTGATACTCCTGCTCGTCCACCAGGATCGGGAGCTCCACGAACCTCTTCTCTCCACTTGCTTCGGTCTCAACTGGATCGGCACAGCCCCAATCCCTCGCCACCAAGTCCCCAATACCGACTGCAGCAGTCTCGCATGTCTCGTTGTCTATATTGTAGCGAGCACAGTACTCTAGCATCGTCTCGGCTAGTGGCTGTTCCGGATACACCACAATTGGCTCCGGGGCTTTCACGTCCTGTTGTGTTTCATCGTCGAATAGCAAGACGTCGTACGCCAGCGAGCGATCCAGCGACACGTTCACAACAGCCTCTCGGATCACCAGTCGAGCCATTTCCTGCATCGTTTCCACCACCTCCCTTTTGACGCCCCCGCACTTGTACTTGGGCACGCCGAAGCTCTCGCAGGCCGACTTGGCCATGTCCTCGACCGGGCTGAACGCGTCGATGTGCAGCAGAGCGAACTCCACATTGGCGGGAGGGGTCCGCAATTGTGTGCAGTGCTGGGCCGAGCTTCTAGCGACGTAAAAGAGCTGCACAAGCACGAAGACTACCAGCAGCATCATGGTGGCAATTGCGGTTGATAGGGAATGGTATCTTTTCGACTTTTGATTCGGATACGAAAGGTCATGGTGTGGTGCACACAAATGGTTTCCGGTGGTCGTCACTGACGTTGAACCCACTCGAATGGATACATGTACATGTTGCGCGGTAAGGATAATGTTTTCAACAACGCGCCCAAGGCGACTACCAGTAGACGCCTTGAAAGCCGCGAGCACTACCCAAACGCCAGTATACTATCTGTCGGTAGCTTCTAGTTTATAATCACGGGGGTGGGTATCTAGCTAGCAAAACCTCTTTCGGGGATAAGTTAGAATACCTCGTCTACGCGTGGTGTTGCTGGCCGATAGCTGCGATCAGGTCGCGCACATACGTCTCGATGTCGCGTTGCGTGGCCTGGACGGTCTCAAGAACCTCGTTGTGGGATGCCGCCTCGCGTTCCTCGCCGGGGAAGAGCGCCTTGTTGGTGATCAGGGACAGCCCGATGACCTTCAGGCCACAGTGCGCGGCCACGATGACCTCGGGCACTGTGCTCATGCCGACAGCGTCGCCTCCGACCAGGCGGAGGAAGCGGCACTCAATCGGGGTCTCGTACGTGGGTCCGGATACGAAGCAGTACGCTCCCTTCCGGACCTTGTGGGCAAGTCCCAGGTCTTCCGCCACCTTGAGCGCCAAGTCCTGCAGCTTCTTGTCGTAGCAGTTGGAGAGCGGCGTGAATCGGGCACCGAAGCGCGCGTCGTTGGGGCCAATCAGCGGGTGCTGGCCGGACATGCCGGGCATGTTCAGGTGGTCGTTCATGATCATGAGGTCGCCCACGTTGAAGTCCGGGTTCAACCCGCCCGCGGCGTTGGTGACGAGCAAGTACTTGATGCCTAGCAGATACATGACCCGGATAGGCAGCGCGGTTTCGCGCATGGCGTAGCCCTCGTAGCAGTGGAAGCGGCCGCGCATGCACACGACGCGGATGCCCTCCAGGTCGCCGAAGACCAGCTCTCCGGCGTGGCCCTCAACGGTGGAGCGCGGGAACTGCGGGATGTCCTCGTACTTGATGGCTTCTTGGTTGGCGAGGCACTGGCTCAGGCCGCCGAGGCCCGAACCGCACACGACACCGATGAGCGGGCGCGCGGAGACGCGCTCCTGCAGGAAGTCGTTGATGACGTCGATGCGCTCCTTGGGGACGGCCTCGTCGGCCATTTGGCCCGTGGACAGGCGGCGCACGTGCTGTTGCGTGGAGGGATCTTTGTCTTTGTTGGCCAGGCAGGCGATGGAGCTGACGGTGCTGGAGCCTCCACGCGGACTGAGGCCGTCCACGCTGTGGCTGTGCTGCTGGCGGGGCTGGCTTGGAGGAGGCGACGCCGGCTCGGTCGTCGCGGGCTTGACGTCGTTCATCATGGTGCTAGTGGCGCACGGCCCGGCGAGGAGCTGGGAGGACGTGGTGGTGGCTGGTGGGGCTTGGAATCTGTGAAGTAGATTGCAAATTGAGAAGTGAGCACTGCTCATTTGCGAGGGGTTATTGGGCAAGTTGAACCTGTAAAACGGCGGGATAGGGCTATCCCGCATTTGCATTCAGATCAGTTTCACCGGCGACATGCCACACTTGTACTGTACAGTATCGAGCTGCTGGACGAAGACAATTCTTTGGTGGAGACTCTCCAATGGAGAGAGCTCCCTACTCCCACGAAACAACAACCCCATCTTCTCCAGCCGATGCAATGCACTGTAATAGCGCTCTCTGGAGGGCGGCTCGCATTCAGGGCCGTGCGGTATGGCGTCCGTAGATTGCCGTGGTTGATGCGTGACGCTCGCTTCGGCTCGTGTGGCGGCGGCTGCTTTCTCTGCGGGATTTCTCCTGTCACACACGATCAGAGACGAGCGATCCAGTCGCGAACTGCAAGATGGTCGCTCGTCTACTGCATCGTTGCGTTGACAGGCGCGGGACACGAAGCAATGCACACAGCAAGACTTGGGAAATTGCATGATACACGTAAGTTAGCGGCCCAAATTTCGAGGATATTTGCAGGCTGCCTGCCAGGCATAGGCCCCGGTTTCGCTGGAGAAGGGCGTCGCAGCGCGTGTGTGGTGCTGTTCGTCATGAGGATCGTGGTGAATCATTTGCACCGGACAATGTTGAACTACCCGGCGCGTTTTTCTGGTGGTTGTGGCATTGCGGTGGAGAAAAGATGGCTCCATTGCGAGCTAGGCTGGATCAACTTAGCTCGATACTCTCGCATTGTCGTGGTTAGTGGTTGTTTCGGTAACACCACCATCATCACCTCCTGTCCTGTACATGCATTTCATCGTCCAATTCAAGACGCCGTATGTATGGTACGCCAGTGAGCGGTCTATCTATCGACACTCTTACGACAGCCCTCTCGGATGGATCAACAGTCAAGCTATCCCTTGCTTCGTCTCCAGCAGCATCTTATTATTGACGCTCTCGCACTTGTACGTGGACAATCCGAAGGTCTCGTAGTCCTCGACCGGGTTGAATGCATTGTTGAGGAGTGTGTAGAGCGTACTCTACAATGATGGGAGGGAGCCGCAGTTTCGCGCGGTCCCAGTATCATGGTCTCGCTTGTGGTTTGTGGGGCATACCCCGAAAAGTTTTTTATTTTTTATTTGGAAAGCCGACAAGTTTATTTTTTCACGAGGGAGCAGCCCCGTGCTTGGCGACTGCCACCAAGATTAACAACAACTACGCTGCACCACATACATGTAAGACCGAGACGCGACGGACCAGGCGGACCCCTCGCGTTCAAGATCTCCGCCCAGGCATGGAGGACCTGGGTGAACCCTGAATTTTGGAAAGTCATGGTATGGTGGACACAACATATATCCCGGTGGTCGTCATGATCGAAGTTTCCCTTTCCGTTTTGGCAGTCGCCGTTTACCCTACAGGCTTCGACTGGGAAGGGGAAGCAGTGACCACGACGAGCCGTTATTGAGACTGCCTTTTGGCGTAACCCCCGGCGATACTGACGATATCGTAGCGGCATCGCGTTGCCCAGGGAGGGAGCTGAAAGTCGTCAGAAAGAGGGTGGGTCTTCGGGTTGAACACCGCGTAGAGCACCAGATTGAACGAATGGAGCGTGACGAACAGAATGTTTGGCGATATGATGAACCAGTTTCCTATGAGAACACCGAACGCGAACTACATGCAGTTGGTCACGAGACTCGCCATCACCATGTGCGCATTGATGAAGACAGCAGACTTGAACTTGAGCACTTGGAAGAGCTTCTCCATTGGTGCACCGTACTGAAAGACAGCAGATAAGTCTGCCAGGATCCCCATAACCGACCCAGCACTGCTCCTTGTCTGGCCTGTATAGCCGAGTCCTCCGACGGCAGCGTACACGCTGGTAGCGCAAAGATTGCTGCTGTAACGACTAGGACTCGCTCACCAGATCGTCTTCAGCTTGAGTATGTCCAGTAAACAGCTAGGAAACCAACGCTGCGCCGTCGCCGAAGAGAAAAACTCCGAAGACGGGAAACCAAATGTCGATTACGCCGCCGTACTGTACTTGGATGTTGTACGGCCCGTACAACATCCAAGTGTGGTAATTGGCGAGCAATGCTGCGGGAGGGATGACAGAGGCGACGCCCACAGTCTTTTTCTCGGTAAATGCGACGGATCAAGATAGCGGGACTGCAGATCATTGCCGTGGCCGAATACGCGCACAGGCACTACTTGACAACCAGAACAGCGCTGGCGTTGGTCATGGCGAGGAGATACGTGGGGGGGGGGGGTCCACAAGTCAAATTTCGCAGTGAGGAGAGCCACGACGATCCGCCACGTTGACTGTCATGACGGAATCCAGCCAAATCCAAGTGGTCATCTCAACACTCGATAGGATGTAAACTGATGAGTGACCTCGTGTTGCAATGACTCATTGCCACTGGATTGCGTTTCAACGTACCGACTCGTCAATACTTAGCGTCATTCCTGTGGACATTGACATCCAAAGTGTTGGTCAAATCCTGCCGCCCTATGACCAGGCTCAGCTCAGTAATCAACTCACCGCACAAGAATGACCCAGCATACTCATCCACACGCACCAAGGGACCTTGTCCAAACACTGCAGCCATTCGCGAATTCCCTCCGGTAGTAAAACATCGTCCACAGCATGCCCAAGTACGAACTCTTCAGCTTCTGGAAGAGCAGTTGCTCCTGGCGCGTACGCATCGCGTTGGCGTGGAAAGCCATCGAGTACGAGTACCGTCCAGTAAATCTCGCTGCGTCGGGCGGCGGCGAGCAGTGCTTGGACTCATACCGGAAGCTGAACCCCAACCAGGTGCGTCCTTCCACCCCTCAGTGCGTCGCAGTCGATAGTCTAACCCCGCCATTCCTTCGATCAAGCGCGTCCCGACGCTGCTAGTGGACGGACACGCGCTGGCTCAGTCCGGTGCGATCCTCGAGTACTTGGAGGAGGCGCACCCGGAGAAGCCGCTGCTGCCGCGCAACCTGCTCCAGCGCGCCCAGGTGCGGAACTTGTGCGGCATCGTGGGCTGCGACACCCAGCCAGCCCAGAGCATGGGGCTGTCCGCCAAGGTAAGGTATCATCTGCGGAATCTAGTTCGTTCCAGCTCGCTCTTCCGCTGAGTCAGCCACGAAAAAATCGTGATCCTGTACAGGTCGCGGACTTGCAGTCGCCGGCCTCCGCCGAGGAGCGTCAAGCGCTTGTCTTGGCCTGGAACCGCCAGTGGATCGCGCGCGGCCTCCAAGCCTTCGAGGACGAGCTGCTTCGCTGTGCTGGACGCTACAGCATGGGCGACGACGTGACCTTGGCGGACGTGTACCTACTGCCGCAGGTGTTCAACGCCCGCGCGTGCAACATGAACATGGCGGCGTACCCGACGGTCTCGCGCGTGGTGGCCGCGCTGGAGCAGCTGCCGGCCTTCGCGCGCTCTCGCCCAGAGAACCAGCCCGACGCCATCCGCGCGTAATGGGCAGCGTTTCATGTAACTGGGTCAGCAGGCTCAGGTTAGCTGGGAAGACAAAATGTAGCCATTTCGGTCCGCCTAAAAATAGACGGATGCGAGTGTCCATAAAACGAACAGCGGTTAGGGCGGCTTTTGTGGCTCCACCGCCTGCACTTGTTGCTGTTGCAGGAGGGCAAAACCTCCACAATACAAACCGAGCCCAAGGGCCGAGCTCTCGCCCCCCCCCCCTTGATCCATCCATGCTCCTGGGCCGCAGCCGCAGCCCCGGAGGCCCCCGCAGCAGCGTCATCGGCACCGAGGAGTTCGCCAAGCCGCAGCGCTCGAGCTTCTTCGGGCGCCAGCTGGCCCGCTTCCTGCGCCGCGCCTCCACCGTGGCGGTCGAGCAGCCCAGCCACGTGCCCGTGGCGCCCAGCACGCGCGGCGCCGTGTCCGCGACGTCCCTGCGCCGCACGTCCGCGCAGGCCGACGTCGCGGCCATCGGTGCCGTGGACCCGCAGATCGCCTTCAACGTGCACGAGCCGCACAGCTTCGCGGTCAGCACGCGCAACGGCGCGCGCATGGGCAATGAGGACCGCTTCCGCGCCATCGACGACTTGGATCTGTACGGCCGCGGGCTGCTGGAGGTGCTGCCGCGCTCCGTGCCGCCGTTCTTCGCCGACCTACTCAAGGGCAAAGTGCTCGAGACCTTCGTGCTGGAGGGCCGCGCGCCGGCGCTGCGCGTCCGCAGCCTGCTCAAGCACGGGCGAGGGCAGGAGGACACGCAGTTCTTCGGCGTGTATGACGGACACGGAGGAGCGCGGACGTCGTCGTTGTTGGCACTCTTATTCCCGGTCTATATCTTAGCGGCGCCCGAGTATAAGACCGACCTGGCGGCGGCGTGCCACTCCGCGAGTATGGCGATCAATGAGGAGATCTTGAAGCGAGAGAACAGCGGCCAGTGCGAGGGCGGATCCACTGCGGTCACGCTGCTGATTCGAGGCAATAAAGCGATACTGAGCAATACTGGAGACTGCAGGGCCATCATGGTCGCCAAGAGGGACAAGACGGCGCAGGTCACGCAGCTCACGACGGACCACAAGGCCTCGAACGACCAGGAGAAGCAACGGATTGAGGAACATGGCGGCATGGTGCTGTATGTGAAGGGCGTGGCCAGGGTTAATGGTCGACTAGCCGTGGCCAGAGCGTTCGGAGACGCCGAAATGAGCCCGCTCGTCATTGCGGACCCAGAGGTGACAGTCCACGAATTGCATCGAGAAGACGAGTACATTGTCATGGCCTCGGACGGACTTTGGGACGTGCTGACTAACGAGCAGGTGGCTTCTTGTGTCAGGTGAGAATGAGGTTGGATAGTGCGCTGTGAGAAGCCAAAAGCGACTGAACTGACTTGTTGCTATGTGCTTGATTTCTGGCAGGAATAACCCATGGCTCAATGTCCAGGAGATGGCTAACATGCTGACGGAACGCGCCGTTGAGCTCGGTACTATGGACAATGTGACGGTGATGGTGGTGGACGTGCGCGGCAGAATAACCTGAGGAGCTGGCGTCGTTTTCCCGATACTCCAACACTCCGATTTTGTGAAGACCGCGATCACTCCCCACCCGTTATCGCCACGGTTGCTCTCATGAGTGAACCATGGCTGGAAGCGCCCTCTGTTATTTAAAGCGAGAGATGCTACGTCCTGGATGGATGCACGCTCTGTATTGTAAACGCGATTGGCTTTTACGCTCCCAATCATCAGGTGTTTCGTGATGTTGAAGTTGTTGCGCCGATATGAATGCGGGCTCAGTCAGATACACGTGCTATGATAGAATATCATCAAATCTCCGACCACACTTAAGATGATAGATTTACAAATCCCCAGTCAAGCGCGGTCGGAGCATAACAAAATTACCCTACCCCTTCCCAAAGTGTTATGCATACACAGTCCAAAATAGATTAGTCGTCCCGTTTGCTCATTGGTCGGAGCCTTGGGATGGATGGCACGGAGCGAGCGTAGCGAGCCCCCGCCTGCGGTTTGACAGTCCGTGTGCGTAGCACGCGGCTGCAAACCCAGGACCCAGCAGTGCTCTACCTAGCAAGCGGAGGCGACGCGTGCGAGCCGCAGCGGGCGTAGGGTTCTGGCCCAGCGAGCGCAGCGAGCCTTTAGGGGTTTTAGGTTCGCGCGTAGCGGGTGATAGTTAAAGGTGACCCCCCTCCTATCCGCATGTTCTGTGTACGAGTCGGAGAAAGTCGGAGGGTCGGAGGTTTTTGGGTATGGTACTGTTTAACCAGTTTCCTGCTCTTGAAGAGCGAGCCATACCCCTGGATCAGTACATGCAAGGGATCGTAGGTATTTAGAGGAGAGTAGGCGATTAACTCGAACAACACATTTAGCTTTCTCATGCGGGCTGGGTGGGGCCATGGAGGACGAGGGCAGTCCATCCGCTCGCAGCCCGGATCAGAGCCGTTCTGGTACGGAGGTGCTGCTGGCTTTCTTCCGCTTGCGGTAGCTTTGCGTCTCCTCTTACCGAATCGGGTTTCGCTCAACGAGGTCGAGGGATTAATTTGGCCGGGAAGCGCAACGAGTAACATCAGCACTTGGCGGGGCGTCGCCCTGTGTGCACGCAGCCAGTCATGACAGACCGGCGGCGCAAGCGGAACACTACTCACAGCTCCACCGATGATACGGTGAAGGATTTCAATGCAGTCGATCCGGTTCAACCTCGAAGACGCAGTGACTACGAAGGCGGCGTTCGAAACGAGTCCTGGATGGCCAAAGTCTCACAAGCCATGAGCACTCGGATCTTCTCGGGAGGGAAGAAACTCAGCGGCTCTCGAAGTACGCAAGTGATGCCCATCGGGGCAGCAGTGAGCGACAACAGCAAGTCGTCGATCGGACGGATGTCCTCGTCCTCGTCGCTGCCAGTACAAGACACGGAGTCGCAGCAGAAACCTGGTTCCTTTGGTGGTCAACAGGCGTTGCGTCTCGTGGCATCGGAGAAGACCTTAGGCAGTGCAAGCGAGACTTCATCGCCGGTGGTGACCCTCGGAGCTTGCCCAAGCGTGACCTGTGACGTGGCTTCAGACGATAGCGACGATGACGGTGATGCACATCGTAGATCTTCACAAGGATCAACGTCACGCCATGGTGAAAGTCAGCGTCGTGTCAGAAGTCGACATCAACCGGTCGTGCAAAAAGTGAGACCTGGAGATCGCTACGACGATGCTGAAGAAGACATGACGATCAGTACCATCAGAACGTCAATTCCTACCAGGAGAATCCGCTCACGCGATAGTGACGACTCAGATTCCGAGACCAATGTGCAAGACGCCGCGCCAATTCTGAAAGGCTTTTTCAGCAAAAGCTTCTCAGTAAGCAAGGAGCAGCGGCAGCAGCAGCGCGAGCAGCGTCGAGAGATGATCTACCGAGAGAGCAAGCAGCGGCAAGACAGACTTCGCGAACAGTCTGAAAGAGACCGAGTCGCCGACGAAGAATTGAGTCGCAGACGAAAAGTGGAGCAACTGCGTCGCCTCAACCAGCAGCGAAGGATAGAACTGCTGCGAGATGCTGCTGGTGCTCGTAAGAATCTACTCGAGCGCATTCAAGAGGACAACGATGCGTACCTGACTGAGCGTGAGCGCTGGGAGAACGATTTTGAAGACGAAATGCGGATATTGAGCAAGGCATTCCGGAAGGCTCGTACGTCGGATGAAAATCGACCGATGACTGTTGCTGGATTGGCGGTTCCTGAGGCGATCTCGCAGCTAGAGCGCGACGCATCCAACTTCGAGAAGCGTGTCAAAACTGCTCAACCGGCACTAGGTGGAATGTCTTCACATCAGCGTCGATCAGAGCGCCCCAGCACCACTAGTGCCGCATCAAGTGACTTCGATGCAAGCCTATCGGCCTCGCCATTCTTCGACTCGTGCGAATCGCTGCCATTAGAGGATTCGAAAGACGTCTTCGACATCTTCGGAGGCGATGACCAAGCGAGCGATCTTTTTTCATCTTGGAGCAACCTGGTTGCGGATCACGTTAAGCAACCCAATGTCGACATTGAGCACCTGCTCGAGGAGCGCGAGAAGTTGCTCCAGCGTATCGCCGCGATTGACCGCATGGTGCAAACTCAACAACGCATATCAACAGTTGATGCAACAACGGAATAATGATCAATGTCAGGCAATTTTCAGTGCACAATATCATATTATCCTATCTTTTCAGCAAGTACAAGCTGCTTCGACTGACAGAGCGTCCTCGTCACTGCCTCTTCACTTGTCGGTGTTGGCAATGCACTTGTTGACAACCGTCAGCAGGTGTGCGTTCTCCAGCGCAGCAGCCACACGCTCCTTGTCGTTCAGCTGCTTGTTGACCGCGGCCTCGGACGCGTGCGTACCAGGCGTAATGAGGATGTCCACCTTGAAGCGCGGCGGCAGCGAGCGCAGCAGCTTCACGCGGAGGCACAACCCGATCAGAGTCGCCATGCTGTCGCCACACCACGTAGTAAACATTAGTGATAAATAGCAGCAGTATGCAATGTACTGGTGCCCTGGACGCACCTGCAGTGCGGGATGGTGGGCGTAAAGTAGATTTTGATGCGCGAGTTGGCGTCGTCCACGTGGATGTTCTCGAGCGACATGACCTTGAGCTGCTCGAGCGTCAGCGGGTGCTCCGGGTCGTTAATGTGCCGCAGAATCTCTGCCCACAACGAGCAATTAAACGTCAGTCTCCTCTGTTTAACACCTCCTTTATCATTGTGCTTTTGCTTGCCACGCACCGAAGACCTCGTCTGACTCGAACGGGTCAGCGGCGTCCTCGTCCAGAGCCTCGTCCACATCGAATTTCTTGGGCGCCGGAGTGGCCACGGCGTACACCGTCGGGTTGGCGTTGATCTTCTCCTGCAGTCCCATTTCCTCCTCGTGTTCTCCACGAACCGGTCTTTTGATGAGTGACGCAGGCGAGCACAAATTTCGGGGCTCAATCGGGACTAAATTACAAAATATAGCTTACATACGTGTACCCACTTCACTAATGCACTTCAACGTCTCCCAGGGAGACGGCTCTCCCTGCCCGAGCTTCGGGGCCCCGAGGAGATCAGCGGGCCAGTTTTCACCCGAGGTGCTCGCCACGGATGCGGCGGGTCAGCTGCATGTCCTTCGCCATGATCGTGACGCGCTTCGCGTGGATGGCGCACAGGTTGGTGTCGATGAACAGCCCCACCAAGTAGGCCTCCGAGGCCTCCTGCAGCGCCAAGATGGCGGAGCCGTGGAAGCGCAGGTCGGCCTTGTAGCCCTGCGCGATCTCGCGCACCAGGCGCTGGAACGGCAGCTTGTGGATGAGCAGCTCCGTCGACCTCTGGTAGCGGCGGATCTCACGGAGCGCCACCGTGCCGGGACAGTAGCGGCGCAGCTTCTTGATGTCGCTCGGGGTGGGCGCCGACTTGCGCGCGGCCTCGATGGCAAGCTGCTTTCTCGGCGGCTTGCCGCTGCTGCTAAACTTGCGGACGGTCTGCTTGGTGCCGGCCATGATCAGGCATCCCGAAAAATAATAATACCCGAAAATATAACAGTATTTTCGGATACAATACTTTATTTAGGGCATCGCCGTTTGTATTATCCGAAATTTATGTAGCCGAGTTCTAAAATTCGGTATTTTACTTCTGCTCATCCTGCTCCAACCATTAGTTGTGGTCAAACATCGCGCTCTACCAGCGTAACTTTGCCGTTAGCCCCCCCTTTCAAACAAGCACCACCCAGCACGCGCATCACGACTCGACGTTAGCACCATGACCGACAATCTCCTCGCTGGCCCCGCTCCGAGGCCTACCTTCTCGCCCAGGCAGATTGCTGCCTTCTACTTCAAGCCCTGCCTGGACGAGGAGGGAAAGACGACGGGCTACTATGCCTGCAAGACCTCTGCTAAGCGCCGCAAGCACGCGCCCAAGTCAGGCTACAACAACTTGGTGTCACACGTGCGGGCGGCGCACCCCAACTACGAGAGCGACATGCGCGACGCTAATGTCGCTGCGACGAGGACCCTACTGCCGTGGGTCACCCAGAAGGCCTCGAACCGCTACGCGTGGCTGCGCTGGATCGTCACGGGCAATCTACCGCTGTGTTTTGCGAGTCCAAGAAAACGCGACAGTACGTATTTTCATATCTATTTTGGTGATTTACATGTGTGCTAATGCCGTATGTTATGTAGATACACGAAGCTAAATCCCATCTCCGTGGAGACGCTGACCGCCATCATGGAGGCCGTGACCAAGGCCATGGAGACGATGATCGGCGACGCCATGCCCGAGCGTTTTGGTCTGGTCCTTGATGGGTGGACCCACGGCACGGAGCACTACATGGCAGTGTATGGCTGCTTTGAGACGGCGACAGGCCCCCAGTACCCGCTGCTGTCGTTAGCGCCTGTCATGGATGAGCCTGACGACCAGCTGAGCGCTGACGGCCATCTGACGGCGATTAAAAGGTTCCTACCCTTTTTGGTAAGTCTATCTCCGGATGTCTATTCCTGGTTGGTGACAACTGCGGAGTAAACAAGCGGCTGGCGAACCTACTCGGTGTGCCGCTAATCGGCTGTGCCAGCCACCGCCTGAACTTGGCGGTGCGAAACTACTTGGAGCCCCAAGACAGCATCCTCGAAGAGGTCCAGTAGCTTATGCGTAAGTTGCGGACTTTAAAACAAGCAGCCAAGTTGCGGTAAGTACTCTGTTTGCTATTTTATTTGGTTTTTGTATTGGTACTAAATTGGTCTTTGTTTTTGGGTTTTGTTCGAAATTAGTGCCAAGACCCCATTGGCCGCTGTCCTCAGACAGGACACGCGCTGGTCGTCGACCTTTTCAATGCTCAAGCGCTATTTTCGGCTCCGTCCGTTCATTTCGGCGGACGACGAGGAGCTCGCGGACTTCCTTCCGTCACGCTTAGCCCACCCCAAGCTGGAGACTTTGCTGGCAAGCCTCCGGGACGTCGAGTCCGTGTCCAAGCACCTGCAGGGCGACGGCCTTACGCCCCTGGACGCTCGTGTCCTATTCGACGAGCTCCTCAAGAGCCACCCCTCGTTCGCGAAGTATCTCGGTAAGGATCATCGCTCACTCTGCGTCTGATGGTATTTCTACTTAGCTACTGCGTTTTATATGTTTTTATTTATGCATAGCCACCGACGCGGATATAGTCCACTCCGCCGTCTTCGAGCAGGCGGTCGTCAAGGTGCTGGACGACCAGGCGGCCCTGCTGACGGACGACGAAGTCGCTGCGCTGGAGCCGTTCAAGCGCACGCAGACTCATGTGGAAGGCGTGGACTGCACGCCGGCGGACAAGGAAGGGTTCGCTGTGCGTGCGCTCAAGCGACGCAAGGTAGCTGCTGCGCCGGCCACGTACGAGCAGCTTAATGCGATTCCTCCTACCTCAAACATGGTTGAGAGGCTCTTCAGCATTGCGCGCGCTATGCTGCGCCATGAGCGCCACCGCCTTTCCCCCATGATGCTAGAGATGATATTATTCCTCAAGATCAACAGCTCGTACTGGGATGTTGCGACCGTGGAGCAGTGCCTGTAAGTAGGTACAGTCGTAACATGCTTGCAGTAATTTACTGTGTCAACACTATGTCTTGCGTTATTTATTCAGTCTGCTACTCAGATGCAATGCAATATTTATTATGGTGTCCTGCAAACAATAGATATATATCGTATTTTCGGCATGCCTGGCCATGACAGGCGCTGGTTAAGGGTGCCTTCCTTCTTTGCTTGCGGCCCTTGGAAGGAGAATAAGGCAGCGCTAGACCATAGCGAGTGTACCGTGGTATGGTTACACAACACGTTGAACAAGTATCCTAAGTGCAACTTATACATCGCTACGGCTTCCTGCTTTTCACATGAACGCGGTCTCCGACAGAATTTTGTACGGCAAAGGTCAGAAAACCAGCCAACTCAATGCAAGATGGACACGTGCAATGAAAGCTACGTAGGTTTAAAAGTGGAACAGGTTCGCATCGCTGGCAGCTACGTTCGCTCGCCTCGAATGCGGCGTGCTCGGTGAATGTCCTTCGGCACAATCTGAAGTCTGGCATCACGCAATGACTGACGTGGAGACAGCGTCCAGGTGCGCTCGCTGCTGGGTCCAGCGGCGCCGTCAAGCGCGACGAGCAGCGCCGTGGCGCCTGGCTCATTAGGTATCTGGCTCTGGCGAGCAAATCGCGGTATGCCGCTCGGGCGATTAAGTTTTTCGCAGGAGCAGACCGCTGGGGGACGCGCGAGTGGTGCCGCCGCTGTCACCACCACCAATGAACTAGCCATCCGCTAACAACAACTGCGAGTGGTACGCTGAGCAATTGCTGCAGGCTGCACGTGGGATGACACCGCACTGGTGATCCCCACGGCGGTGACGAAGATCGCCACGGCACCGTTAACGCCATTGCCGCCGCCGCTTCCCGTGGATCATCTCAGCGAGAGTCGCAGCGAGTCGGAGGAAGCCGGGCGTGCAGCCCAAACGGGGCGGGTGCCTCGGCGCCATTCAGCGAAGGTCTCCGCTGTGATTGGCTTGGCGCACGCGTCCGCGGCAAGGTCCATTAAGTGTGCGGTGTGCGCAGCCTTGTAGCTGAGCCGGAGCAGCATTTTGGTGTTTGCACGCTCTGTTGTAGCCGCGAAGCCGCAAGACCGCATGCGCGTTAACTCAAAACGTTCAACAAGATATCGCAGGTCCCTCCTGGACTTCTGAAGAGTCCGCGTTGCCCGCGTGTTATCACGTTTGGCAGACACCATCGCGAAAGCGGATCGCAGCTTCAACAACATGATGGCAACCCATCCGTGAAGATCTCCGACGCCGACGTAGCAGGTGTGGCCGCGCTCATGCCTGTCCGCGGGGTGTCCGGATTAATACTCTTTCCAATGCCCTCGAGCCGAGCTGAGCTGAGGGAGGTCTCGAGGCCCCAATGGGTCCAGCCCAGCGATGCGCCATCCAGTCGCTGCTGCCAGCCTCCCGTCTCACTCTGCAATTCGCAGGCTTCCGAGCACTCGATCACTCCCAGCCATGCTCACCTGCGCCGCGCTGTCGGCCGCAGTGGCAGTCGCCGCCCTGGCGCCCGCCAACGCGCTCACGAACCTCAAGACCGACTGGGACGCCTATGTCAGCGCGCTGCCCATTCCGGACGTCATCGACCTGACGGCCGGCGGCTCCATCGACATGCAGATCGGCCGCGCCACGCACAACTGGACGGAGGACGGCTCGCTCTCGGGCGACATCTACGGCTACGCGCTCAAGAACTCGACCCCGACGATGCCCGGCCCGACCATCAAGGTCGCCAGGGGCGTGCCGATCTCCATCACGTGGTACAACGAGCTGTCCCAGCCGCACCTGTTCCAGAACTCGGTCGAGGACTCGCTCAACAACGTCGAGTCGGCGTGCTACCCGTACTGCGGCGTGCCGGTGGTGACCCACGTCCACGGGCTCGAGTCCCCGCCCGAGTACGACGGACTGCCGTACCGGTCGATCTACAAGAACCAGTCGCAGGAGTTCCACTACTACAACAACCAGTCCGCGTCCACCAAGCTCTACCACGACCACTCGAACGGTTTGACCCGCCTCAACACGTGGGCCGGGCTCATGGGCGCCTACATCATTACCGATGACGAACTGGAGGCGTCCATCAACATGGACATCGAGACGGACATTCCGCTGGTGCTGACTGACCGTCTCATCAACACGACGGGCGAGCTGCTTTACTCGGACGACAACTGCAATGCCGGCGCCACCGAGTGGGTGCCCGAGTCCTTCGGCAACGTGAACCTGGTGAACGGCGTGATCATGCCGTACGTCGAGGTGCCGCCCGCCCAGGTCCGCTTCCGCCTGATCAACGTGGCCAACGCGCGCCACTACAACATCACCGTTCCGTTCGAGGACAAGTGCCAGATCGTGGCCACCGACTCCGGATTCGTGCACAAGCCCGAGTCCTTCAGCGACTACCTCGTGCTCTTCCCGTTCGAGCGCATCGAGTTCGTCTGCGACTTCACCAACGACACGAATGGCACAACCTACAAGCTTATCGACAACGAGACGGCGGACCAGCCGACGGCTTATGATGAGCGCATCATGCAGATCCGCGTGGTGTCGAGCCTCAAGACGGACACGATGGAGTACCGTGAGATCCCATCGACGCTTGTGACGTACAAGTCGCTCAAGGAGCTGTACGAGGCCGGCGGAAAGGAGCGCACAGTCATCCTCGGAGAAATGGACACGGCGCTGCAGTGCCCCCTGTACGACATGATCATGTACCGATCGCAGCAGATCAACATGACGAGCATCACGGGCAGTCTGCACTGCACCAAGGGCACGGTGGAGAAGTGGAACTTCCAGAACCCCACGGACGACCCGCACCCGTTCCACTGGCACTTGGTGAACGCCCAGTGCGGTGACACGGAAGAAACTATCGACACGAACCACCTGAAGGACGTCGCCAAGATCCCGAATGCCGGTGACCGCGCCACGGACACCATCACCCAGGTCTGCTACGTGGCCTGCACCCCCGACGAGTACCTCATTGCGAACAGCACCCGTGGCGCCAAGGACTACGGATTCGACACGACGGAGCCGTACGTGGCCCACTGCCACATCCTGGAGCACGAGGAGAACTCGATGATGAGCTGGTTCAAGATCATGGACGTGGACGACGGATACGCCGACGACAACGGCATCACTCCTGGCACGGAGATCACCAACACGGTTATCGCCACTGCCATGGGCATGAGTGTGCTGGGTGGCATTGCCACGACGCTGTCGGTGCTGGTGATCTCGGTGGAGCGTCTGAAGTTCCTTGCCGACCCGCGCTCGCTCTCCATCGCCTTCGCGTTGTCCGCTGGTGTCATGATCTTCATCGCCTTCGCGGATCTGTACGCCGAGGCCCTGACCTACTACCGTGCTGCGTTCACCCCTGGCACGACGGACCCCGAGGCTTACGAGCACGGAGGAAGCACCACGTCTACCGGTGTTTGTGACGACACGTGCAACGGTAACACGTACCTGGCGGCCACGGGCGTCTTCTTCGTCGGCATCGCGATCATCCTGTTGGTGGAGTGGCTGGTCCACTCCGTCTTCGAGCGCAAGGACCGAGCTGCTGCTGCTGAGGCTGCGGCCAAGGCGGATCAGGAGGACGGTGACAAGGCTCGCTTGGCGGAGGAGGGTGGTGACAAGGCCAACATTGTGCACATTGCGTCTCCCGTGCCCGGCACCCCTCTGCCAAACGATGGAGCCCACGAGCTCGCCAGTCCTGCTGGAGAAGAGTCGGCGGCTCTTATCGAGGAGAGGAAGGTGAAGGAAGAGTACCGTCGTGCGGGTGTGCTGACGGGTATTGCTATCGCCATTCACAACTTCCCCGAAGGCCTGGCGCTGTTCGTGTCGTCGCTTGCCGGTCTCCGCACGGGTATCGTGCTGTCCGTGGGTATCATTCTCCACAACTTCCCGGAAGGTGTGGCTGTGGCCGCGCCCGTGTACTACGCTACTGGAAGCAAGGTGGAGGCCTTCAAGTGGACGATCATCAGTGGTTTCGCGCAGGTGCTCGGCGCTGGCATCGGCTGGGCTGCTGTTTCGGGCGGCATGAGCTACGCTCTGGAGGCCACGCTGTACGCTCTGGTGGCTGGTATGCTGGTGTGTATCACCGCGAAGGAACTGCTGCCGGGCGCCTACAAGTTCGACCCGAGCGGAAAGCTGTTCGTGCCGTCCTTCTTCATCGGTATCGCCATTATCGCGCTGAGTTTGGTCGCGCTCAACTACGCTGGATCAAGCTAAGTGTAGAAGAACCCAATCTTTTTAAACGTAACGAGATGAATGCAAAGTCTGTGTCAATTGATTTCTAATGCCGTTAGCGAGTTGATGGTAGGCACCGGTAGATTAGCCGGAGCCGGCGTACTTGAGAGCCATGACGCTGAAGGCGATCACCGCCATACCGACGAAGAATGCGATCACGAATACTTTCCCCTTGGGGTCGAACTTGTAGGCGCCCTTGATCAGTTCCTTCACCGTAATGCAGACCAGCATCCCAGCCACCACGCCGTAAAGTGACGCCTGGAGACCAAAGCTCATTCCCCCTGAAATGGCAGCCCAACCGATCGCTGCCCCCATCGGCTGCGCGATTCCGCTCAGAGCCGTCCACTTGAACGCCTCTAGCTTGCTTCCAGTGGCATAGTAGACCGGTGCAGCGATAGCCACACCCTCGGGGAAGTTGTGCATGATAATACCGATCGATAGCACAATACCCGACCGAAGTCCCGACAGTGAAGAGACGAACAGGGCCAGACCCTCGGGGAAGTTGTGGATGGCCACGGCAATTCCCGTCATGACGCCAGCGCGACGGAATTCTTCCTTCGCTTTAAGTCCTGGCACCACGGGGGCTGTGGCCTCACCGGGCCGTGGACTCTCCAACTCGCGACCATGTTCACTCGTTAAGCTGTCGAATGCTGGCGATTCAATGGCGTCCTTGGCTCCGTCCTCCAAGTTCTCGTCCGAGTTCTTCTCCGCTTTCTTGTTCTTCTTCTTGTTCTTGTCAAAGATTCCGTGCACCACGAACTCGACGAACAGAATGATCAACACCCCACCAAAGAATGCCGCCACCGTGGTCAGGTACGCGTTGCCGTTGCACACATTGTCACAAACCCCACTGCTAGAGGTGCCGCCTCTCTCATATGCCTCCGGATCAACCGCGCCTGGTGTGTAGTGCGCCCTGTAGAACGTCAAGGCCTCGCCAAACAGATCCGCGAGACCGATAAACAGCATCACGCCTGATGATAATGCGAACGCCACTGCAAGCGCGGTCGGACTCGCCAGGAAGTTCAGACTCTTCACGGAGATCACCAAAATCGACGCCGTGGTTGCCAGACCACCCAGCACACTCATGCACATGGCCGTAGTGATGACCGTTTTGGTGATCTGGGTCCCGGGCGTGATGCCGTCGTCGTCCGCGTAGCCATCATCGACGTCCTGGATGTTGAACCAGGCCATCATGGCATTCTCCTCGTGCTCCAGAATGTGGCAGTGAGCAACATACGGGTCTGTGGTCTCAAAATTGAACTCTTTGGCGCCACGCGTGCTGTCTTCGAGCAGGTAGTCTCCAGGGGTGCACGCCACGTAGCAGACCTGCGTGATGGTATCATACGATCGGTCACCGGCGTTCGGAATGACCACCACATCCTTGAGCTCGTTCGTGTTAATCGTCCCCTCCGTTTCGCCGCACTGCGCGTTAATCACGTGCCAATGGAACGGGTGCGGGTCGTCCGTGGGGTTCTGGAAGTTCCACTTCTCGACCGTGCCCTTGGTGCAGTGCAGGTGTCCAGTGATGCCGGAGGTGTTCACTTGCTGCGACCGGTACATGAGGAGACTCATCGACGGGCACTGCACGACCTCCTCCATCTCGCCCAGAACTAGTGTGCGTTCCTTTCCGCCAGCTTCGTACAACTCCTTCAGGGACTTGTACGGAGTCAGGGTTGACGGGATCTCGCGAACTGTCATAGTGCTCGTTTTCAGACTGCTCTTGACTCGGAACTGCATCACTCGGGGGTCGTACGTCGTTGCCTGGATCGAAGTCTGTTTGTCAACGAGATCGTACGTCGTAGCATCCGCAACACCGGTAAAGTCGCACACGAACTCCACCCGCTCAAAGGGGAAGATAACAAGGTTTTCGGCCAGGTCCGGAGGTGCCCCCACATAACCCGAGTCCGTTGCGATCACCTTGCACTTGTCCGCGAACGGCACCGTCAAGTTGTAGTGACGGGCGTTGGCTGTGTTCGCCAAACGGAAGCGCACTTGAGCAGGCGGCACCTCGACGTAGGGCATCACGACGCCATTCACCAAATTAACCGAGCCAAACGATTCAGGCACCCACACCGTCGTTCCTTCATTGCAGTTGTCGTCCGAGTACAGGATCTTGCCGGAATTGCTGATGAGTTTATCACTCAGTGCCAGTGGGATGTCGGTCTCAATGTCGAGGTTTAGCTTGGCGTCTATGTCGGCATCGGAGATGATGTACAGCCCGACAAGGCCAGCCCAAGTGTTCAGCCGCGTTAGACCGTTAGCATGGTCATGGTACGTTTTGGTCGATGCGGACTGGTTGTTGAGGTAGTGGAAGGCCTGCGTCTGGTTCTTGTAGATCGACAGGTACGGGAGACCGTCGTATCTTGCCGGTGACTCCATCCCGTGGACGTGGGTCACGACGGGCACACCGCAGTAAGGATAACATGCTGAAGCCTGCTGCGTGAGTGTTAACTGAACGCTCTCTTGGAGCAGGTGCGGTGAGTCGAGCTCGTTGTACCACGTGATGTCGATCGGGACGCCTTTGGCGGTCTTGATGGTGGGGCCTGGGAACGTTGGCGTCGAGTTCTTGAGTGCGTAGCCGTAGATGGTCCCCGAGAAGGCTTTATCCTCGGTCCAGGCGTGGGACGCTGTGCCGATCTGCATTTCGATGGAGCCGCCGCCGGTCATGTCGATGACCTCCGGAATGGGCAAAGCGCTAGCGTACGCGTAGCTATCCCAGTCGGTCTTGAGGTCTTCGAGTGCATTGGCCGGCGACGAAACGGTCGCAACACCCCAGACCACCGCCACTGCCGAAGCAGGTAGGAAGCGCATGCCTATGAGTCTGTGACGGATAAGCGCTGGTGCTGATGCCGGTGGTGCGGAGTGGAGCGACGGGAAATTCGGAATGAGGTAAAGTTCATGCACCTTAGAACCGAAGATTTGGGATGCAGCTAGAGAAGAGTTTGGACATGGTGGGAACCAGCGAAACGGCCTCCTACGGCAGGACTGTGAAAACTTGACGAGCACCGTCCAAGTCGTGCAGGTGGTTACTGGGTTGAGCAGGAAGGCTGCAGTGGTCTTGCTGCATTATAGACGCCATTTTCGTGCAGAGGCGCGTGCCTTCGGCCAATGTGACGCACCACGGGAGACGTACCTAAAAACTGCCTTGGGAGTGTGCTGTCTAATGCGTTTTGCGAGAAAACACTTTCAACAGTCTTCTTGCGCATGGATGATATTCATAGCGTTTATGATAGACCCGGTTCGGTGTTCAGTGACCTTGGATTGGCTGCGACGAGGAAGACCTCTAAATTGGCCGCCCACACGACGTTCGATCCCACAGTAGTGAAGAATCAGACAGACAAACTTAACACTTCGTGTGTGCGTAGCTGTAGACTGCTTTCAAATACTACGTACTCAAACAGCAAGACCAGATCAAGGGTATACCTTCTTTACAAACGACATCTTTCTTTTATGATTAAGTCTCGAACGGCGACGAGATGTACAGGTTTCTGAATCGGACCAAGCCGTCCTGCCGGATCATCGAAGTCGCGACCTCGCAGAGTTAGCTAGAGCCTGCGTACTTCAAGGCCATGATACTGAGCGCGATGACTCCGAGTCCGCCGAAGAACGCCACCACGAACGCCTTTCCGCTGGGGTCGAACTTGTAGGCACCCGGCAGAAGCTCCTTCACCGTGATGCAGACCAGCATGCCAGCAACGATGCCGTAGAGCGATGCCTCGAGACCGTAGCTCATACCGCCAGATACAGCAGCCCAGCCGATACCAGCTCCCAGAGGCTGGGCGATGCCACTCAAAGCCGTCCACTTGAAAGCCTCAATCTTGCTGCCCGTGGCGTAGTACACAGGCGCAGCAACTGCCACACCTTCGGGGAAGTTGTGAAGGATGATGCCGATCGACAGCACGATACCCGATCGAAGTCCCGAAAGCGACGAGACGAAGAGCGCGAGACCCTCGGGAAAGTTGTGGATGGCCACAGCAATGCCCGTCATGACACCGGCGCGACGGAACTCCTCCTTCTGGCCAGCATTCTCTTCAAGCAGGTTGGACGATTCAGCAGTAGCTGGGCTGTGAAGCTCGTTGTGTTGGGCACCGGTAGGGCTTTCAGTGATGGGAGACACAAAGCCAGCTTTGTCGCCTTCCTCCACATCACCAGAGCTCACAGGGGCGTTCGACTTCTCTCCAGCCGCCTTCTTCCTCCCGAAAATCGAGTGCACCAGGAATTCCACCAGCAGAATGATCAACACACCGCCGAAGAACGCCGCCACCGTGGTCATGTACGCGTTACCATTGCACGTGTTGTCACAGACACCGGTGCTTGCGGAGCCTCCCTTCTCGTAAGCTTCGGGGTCCACGTTGCCCGTCGTGTAGGCGGCTCGGTAGAACGTCAGTGCCTCACTGAAGAGATCCGCCAGACCGATGAAGAGCATAACGCCCGATGACAATGCGAAAGCCACAGACAGCGCCAACGGACTCGCCAGGAAATTCAGACGCTTCACAGAAATCACCAGCACCGACAGCGTCGTAGCGAGGCCACCCAGCACACTCATGCACATGGCTGTAGCGATGACCGTATTGGTGATCTGTGTTCCGGGTGTGATACCGTTGTCGTCGGCGTATCCGTCATCGACGTCCATGATGTTGAACCAGCTCATCATAGCGTTCTCCTCGTGCTCGAGGATGTGGCAGTGAGCCACGTACGGGTCGGTTGTGTCGAAGTTGAACTCCTTGGCGCCGCGAGTGCTTCCCTCCAGCAGGTAGTCGCCGGGCGTGCAAGCCACGTAGCAGACTTGGGTGATCGTGTCCGACGCTCGGTCACCGGCGTTCGGAATGACCACCACATCCTTGAGCTCGTTCGTGTTCACCGTCTCCTCCGTGTCACCGCACTGCGCGTTGATCAAGTGCCAGTGGAACGGGTGCGGGTCATCGGTCGGGTTCTGGAAGTTCCACTTCTCGACCGTGCCCTTGGTGCAGTGCAGGTTGCCGGTGATCCCCGAGGTGTTCACTTGCTGCGAGCGGTACAGCAGAATGCTCATGGTGGGGCACAGCAGCTCGGTCTCCATCTCACCCAGAATCAGAGTGCGTTCCTTGCCGCCAGCTTCGTAGAGCGCCTTGAGCGACTTGTACGGGGTCAAGGAGGACGGGATCTCACGCACCTCCATCGTGTCCGTCTTGAGGCTCTCAACGATGCGGAACTGCATCACACGGTTGTCGTAGGGCGTGGCCTGGTCGGACGTCTGCTTGTCCTCGAGGTCGTAGGTCGTGCCGTTCTTGTCGTTGCCAAAGTCGCACACGAACTCCACGCGCTCGAACGGGAAGATCACGAGGTCCTCGGTGAGCGCCTTGGGCTCGCCGACGAAACCCGAGTCCGTGGCGATCACCTGGCACTTGTCCGCGAAGGGCATGGTCAAGTTGTAGTGACGTGCGTTGGCCACGTTCACCAAGCGGAAGCGCACCTGGGCGGGCGGCACTTCAACGTACGGCATGATGACACCGTTAACGAGGTTCACGGAGCCAAAGGACTCGGGCACCCACACGGTCGCGCCCTCGTTACAGTTGTCGTCCGAGTACATGATCTTGCCCGAGTTGCTGATGAGTCGGTCGGTCAGCAGCAGCGGGATGTCGGTCTCGATGTCCAAGTTGAGCTTGGCCTCCAGCTCCGCATCCGAGATGATGTAGGCGCCCATGAGCCCGGCCCACGTGTTGAGGCGGGTCAGGCCGTTCGAGTGGTCGTGGTACGTCTTGGTGGACGCAGACTGGTTGTTGAGGTAGTGGAATTCCTGCGACTGGTTTTTGTAGATCGACAAGAACGGGAGACCGTCGTATCTCGCTGGCGACTCCATGCCGTGGACGTGGGTCACCACCGGCACGCCGCAGTACGGGTAGCACGCAGAGGCGTGCTGCGTGAGCGTGAGCTGCACGCTCTCCTGCAGCAGGTGGGGCGCTTCAAGCTCGTTATACCACGTGATGTTGATGGGGACGCCCCTCGCGACCTTGATGGTGGGGCCCGGGAACGTCGGCGTCGAGTTCTTGAGCCCGTAGCCGTAGATGGCACCCGACAGGGAGCCGTCCTCCGTCCAGTTGTGCGTCGAGCGGCCGATCTGCATGTCGATGGCGCCGCCAGCGGTCAGGTCGATGACCTCCGGAATGGCCAACGCGCTGGCGTAGGCGTCCCAGTCGGTCTTGAGGTCGGTGAGCGCGTCGGTCGGCAACAGAAGTGCAGCGGCGCCCAGCGCCAAGGCGACGGCCGAGGTTTGAGCTGCCGGCATGGTTGGTTGCGCGCTTTGACCGATTGGGGGCTTGGACGGAGATCTGGCGCGTTGCCGGTGAATCGCGGAATGAGCGCGTACACCCGCAGCGCGGATAGGACCTTGCGCCTCATGGTGTTCGCGCTCAGCTGTACATTTTCAGGCGCGCTAATCTACGCTAATCCATGCGATTAAAACGATTACCGCGTTTCACGGGCGTGCTCTACGGAAAGATCGTGCGCAGAATGTCCAGCGTGACGCCGGCCGGCGCGTGCCTCGGTCCAATGCGCTGGTCGCGCCCGGACAAGACGGCGGTTCGGGAACCGTACCCTGCTGGAAGCAGCGCTGAACCACCGCTTTCTTTTGCTGTTTGAACGGCGCACCGACTCACACACGAGGTGAGCCGCTCGGTCGCCCCCTGTCCCACTGGGCCGGGCGTCGGCGCGTGCCGAACCCCAACAACGTGGCGCTCCGGCCTCAAACCAGCGTTACCATGCAACCGCGCACGGCAGCGCTGCCGGTGCCCGACGCCGACAGCATGGCGCCTTGACCGCCAAAAGATGTCCAGCGCTCCGCTTTCCGCGGGTGCATTTGCGATCCTAGTAGGGGGGGGTCAGAATTTGCTTTTTCGCCGACATTTTTCGGCCGAAATGGTCACCATAAAAAATATGGTCTGCCGACATATCCATTTCGCGAAATGGTTCACCTGTTTGGCTGAACCATTTTTGAAATGGTCAGACATTTCCCGAAATGGTTGACCATTTTTCGACTTCTGGTGACCTTCACTCTGTTAATCTTGCTAAATGTATACACGTCGATTTAATCAAATGCCGAGCACGTCGCCATGCACCAGCGCGCTGAGCGAGCCGGCGGCGGCAGCGGCGGCGCTCTTCTGGACGCTCCTGCGCCGCGCACATCGCGGCCTGGAGCTAGCGCAAGCTCACGCGCGTGTTGTGTGGTGCTGCATGGCGCCATGGCCTGCTGCCACGCAGCGCCACAACGGGCCATGTCACCTTCCTGGCCCCCGCGGTCTGCTGTGCCCTCTGGGCCATGCGTAGCAGACAGATAACGGGCATCTAACGCTCCTACGTTCCTACGTGCGTCCTCTACGCAGCGCTGCTGTCGCAGAGGCGCCCATCGGCTGCAGCTTGCTGCCCGAGCGCGCAGCAAGCTGCAGCCTTGCATGTCTACATGTAGATAAGCTATTCAAAAAATGATCGGTCATTTCATATCTGACCGGGGTGATATTTTGGAAATGGTTTAATCATTTCGGGGGCTCTCAAGTGGCGATATTTTTTGTACCATTTGCCAATTCTGACCCCCCTCCCCTAATTGAGGGAGGGGGCACCGAAACAGGCAATGGTACACACGTACTTCACGCAACACAAATCTCTTCCCTGTTTTTATTTTATGCGGTTTACGCCGTGAGCACTGCAGCAACCACGCTAACCAGGCATGACGAGAAGTCATAGCTGGCGGCAACACAAACCTCTTCCCTTACCAGACAAAATCCAATTGGGACGATAACCCTCCGTTTGTGAGTGACTCCGCCAGCATTGACTATCATCTCCGTGTCGAAGTTTACTTCGGGTTGCCATCTTTCGCCGCTGATGTCAGATCCATCCCGATGTGTTAGTACGACGTTGATATAGTCTGGTGAGCTCGGTATGGTGCGGCGATTCTGTGTTGCATGCTGAATGGATGCATTTGCTGCTTTCGCGTGAGAGATCGAATCCCATCCGAGGGAGTGCATGTAGCAAGGTGTCCCATCGACAATACCCATCCGAGATTACCTGCGCTATTGTCCAGAACTTGAGCAGGGGCTCCAGGAATGAAATACGCAAACAAGTAGGGGTGTACATCTTCGTTGTACAGAGCCATCAAAAGACTTTCGCCAATCTTTGCCGAATTGGTCATCTACGCCGCAGAACTGGGACGCCATGTAGTGTGCCGAAAAGTAATGCAGTGGCTCTGGAGCTGCAGGAGTCTCCAGCCGACTATGAGCTGCGTGGCGCATGCTCACGGGGGAAACGGATCGCAGAAGGCGCCAGATTCCACTGGCGGTCTAAAGAAGAAGAAGCGCTGTTCGTGAAGCTGCTCTGGTGGTAGTGCCTGAAGCTGAACGAAGAAGCTGAAAGAGGAAAGCTGCGTCTGAAACTGCTGAATAAAGCTAGTAAGCTGTCGGTAGGAACGTAGGAAATAGGGAGTGGAGGTTGTAGTAGGAAATATGAACCTCTGTAGTTGGAGCTGGTGCCGCATATTTGTAGCAAATGACAGCAAGCAAAAGATAAAGCAGCAATGCAGTCCCAGCATGCAACCTGTGTTGTCTAGTTTCTTAGAGCCTCCGTTCTCATATACGTATCGATGGTGTGTCACAACGCTGATGTCGTCGGATGTTTTCTGTGGTACGAGCAACTTTTTACTGGGATAGGAAGCACACGTTAGTGCAGACCAAATAGGATTATATCCGTAGTCAAAAGGAGACCCCTCTTGACACCTTTCTGGTACATTGTCCTGAAACCGGTGTGACCCCGGTGCCGCACTGGGCCCTCCAAAAGGTTTATATGCGTGGGCAAGCTGAACTGATAGAAAACCCATTACACCGGTATGGAAGCGGTGCCGCACTGGGCGTGGGCAAGCTGAACTGGTAGAAAACCCATTACACCGGTATGGCCGCGGTGCCGCACTGGGCCCTCCAAAAGGTTTATATGCGTGGGCAGATTGAACCTGTATGAATCAGTAACATACAGGCGCCCCCGGGCAAGTCCCGACTGTATATTTTAGTGTACCTCGCACAGGAAGTACAACAAGCTTTCAAGATTTGCGCACTACTTCTGCAAACATATTGATTTAGATGAGTGTACAGCGAGACCTACTGCGACAAGTGGCACGTTGCGGGAATACCTCCACCGTATTCTTGAGCTAAGCTTGTAGTAAGTCAGTACATACTCATTTATGTTCAGACCGCGTGAATCTTGTTGATTCGCAAACATCATAATTACCACTGTGGCGAATAGGCCGGGGACGCCTGTATATCGAATGATTTAAGCGGACGAGCTGCTGCAGAAGCATACAAAGGTAAACATTTTCATTTTCTACAAGCTACAAACAGATCCCGAGCAAGGTTCGTTTTATCACTGTGTATAAGCACCACCAAGGCATATCGTGTATCTACAGTTTTGAGCTGAATTAGCAGGCAGACGCTGCGGCTGCGAAGCAGGCGCAGGAGATGCCCGTCGTTCGTAAAAAAAAGCTCATAATAATAGAAAGCTATCAAAAACCTCGTATCCCAGCCTTCGCGTAGCCCTAGTTTGGACGAATTAATGTCTGTGAGGCTCTCCATACAGCTCTTCTAGCTGTCCTCCCAGGATAATACTGGTCTTTGTATTGAATTACCATATGGATGTGCGTCGTAAGAGTTTTATAGCCAATCAAAGCACGTATTTCACTATTTCTGCAAATATAACTGGCTCTACTACAAACTGGCCAATTCTACTAAACTGGCCAAAACCCTAACATGAACTTTGGTGGTAGGTTTTAAACCTCTGATGTATCGGGCTTTGAAGTTATTGTGAAAACCGGCAAAGATGTCCAGGCCAGATTAGCATGATTACGAGGGGTAAAAAACATATAAAAAGGGGTACGCCAAAGCCTAAATCGTAGCGTTGGTCGTAAACCGTCCATGCGCAAATCCCTATCAAATGCTAATGAGAGCCTAGCATCCTGAGCTATATAAATGGCCGCAGAGGTGCACTGCATCGTGCAGCGGGCTAGAGCAAGCGTATAAGCAGCCACTCGTGCCAAATTTCAGCCCCGTGAATAGTTCAGACGCAGACACATATTGCATGTACCCATCGGGTGTTTCATGTATACGGCAGCGTCTAGTTTGCCGTCCACGTTGACATGGGGCACCGTTCATATAAACGAGCTACCCTCATAATGCCCAGTGTCACATGGGCATTCGACGTGATTTGATTATGAATCGACGGCAGTGCGCGGTATATGAACAGCGCTGGGGAACGCCAAATCGGAGTAGCATCCTATTTATATATAACAAAACCAGCTCTCAGCTGCTTAATAAGCACTCAAATCGATCGATTTGCAAAAAATAGGACATAGTGTTCGGTTTTCACAATATTTTGCCGAAGCTAAATATGCCAAAGCCTGCTCTTACATGTAAATATGTGTGCAGATAAATATGTGTGCAGATAAATATGTGTGCAGAATATACAATACTTACTAAATTATTTGCTAAAATTATGCATAAATCCACCGCCACATATATCTCGGCATGATGGAGTCTTTCAACGCCATGCTTGGCCCCGTACACCACTGTGCATGATGCTCAGCACCCCGATCCTCTCACGCATAATTGCCGTGTGTCTAGGTGCTTGTGGATAAATGTCGACAGAATTGCAGCTGCACAGCCACAATTGCACTTTTAATCGTGCAATTATGGCGCTTTTAGAGTAATTTTAGGCCTCCACCGATTTATACACCTCGCTTTATCGTAAATCTAGCAGGTTGTCGCTATAAATACAACAAATCTCGCCTCGTGTGCCAAAATCATTGCAAAGCACAGCTCGCGCAAGTCCAGGATAGAGGACAAAGTGCGTTCATCATGGAGATCTTGATAATCCTGGTCGTGATACCCTTTGCGCTGGACGTAACGCCAGAAGAGGGCTTCCACTTCACCCCAGATCATAGTCTCAGCAGGTTTGGCCCAGGCTAACTCCGCACAGGATGGAGTCCACCCTTGTCCTCCGGCTTCTTACGAAGCGTGGTCAACTCCTTCAGTATGAGCTTGTGTGGTGCTAGCACACACCTGGCGGCTTCAACGCCGCCAACAAAAAGTGGCTCTTTCTCAACGAGAGCTCACTCATAGGTACCCCTTGAGGTATACCCCCTAATAAGGCCACGCAAAGCCGTGAGCTTCTCAAAAAGCGCTGGCGCTCCGGTGCCAGACTCGGGTGGGAAGCAGCCCTGCGCATACGTGGTACCTCCGCCTGAAGAAGGCTCGACGGCAGTTGCGGCAGCCCACTGCCTGGCATGTGAGCCCGAGACAGCAGCGTAGTATTGCTGCTGCTGCTCGTCGAGGTTGTTGGAGACCTCCCCACACTCGCGGATGGCACCCTCCTCAGACTTGGAGTCACCGAACAGGTCATGGTAGTCGTCGCGGTGTGGCGACCTGGAAGCGGAACGCTTCCTCGCACTGGCCTCCTCGGCCTCCGTCGCAGCGACGGGCTTTGCCGCGACAGCGGCCATTGAAGCCTGGGCACGCTTACGGCCCTGCGCGAGCGTCAGGCCTTGACAGGCGGATCCGCTTTGGGCTTGGAGCCCACCGCGTCGCTTTGCGACGAAGCGGCAACGGCCTCCGGGTCGGCCATGATGACGTCTGCCTCCGCCTGCTTGTCGCCGTCGTCGGCGCTGAACTCGTCGTCCTCTGCCGCCTTCTCAGGCGAGGCCTGCGCGTCGGCCGGTCCCGAGGACTCCCCTCCTTGCCATGCGTGGCATCAGAAGGCTTGCTCTGTGTTCGGTCCTGACGCCCACCCTACGGCGTGCTGCTATGAAAGTGCACCGCCCCCTCAGCCGTCTCCGTGACCTGCTTCAGCGCGGACGACTGGTCCTGCTACGAAAGCGCACCGCCCCCTCAGCCGTCTCCGTGGCCTCCTTCAGCGCGGACGACTAGTCCTTGGCCTTGGTCGCCCTGATCTTCGGCCCTATTACCCGTAGTCTCGAAGGCGCTATCGCATCACACGCACTACGCTTTGGAGGCATGCTTCCGGTCGGCGCGGAGACCCTGCGACTTGCTCGGCGATGTGCCAGTTGCTCGGTGAGAGCAAAGCGCCGAGGCGCTAGAGCTCGAGCTGTCAGTGATGGATTTCGACTTTGCGAGTGAAATATGAGTCGCCGGCGTAATTGGTTTGATTAGTCGATAAGATTAATCTAATGGGATAGCAAAATGGGGTTACACGGAATAGTGACCCTGTCACTATTCGGGGATGGCTACGCCAAAGGTCACCCCCCTGGATAGTGACCCAAGTGGCCTTAGAGTCAACAGATACCTTTTGTATGATACAAACTATAGGGAACTTAGAATTTGTATGCAGGCGAGATCTGTACCAACCTATAAATACACTCAGTCTTAGATCTACCACTGTTGCAAGTAAACCGTCCCCCTCGACGAGGAACACATCAACGGCAGTTCAAGTTCAATTGGGGTTTGTATACTTCTGCTTCATCTGCCAGAAGTGCTGTGTGCCCCGTCACATCAGGGATCGTCACACAAATGACACTCCCCTCGATTGCGACCCAAGTGACCTCAGACCCAACAGATACACCTCGGGACAATTGCAGAGCCTACCGGCTCCAGCGGACTGCTGGAAGTCGATGAGTCTTGACTTTGTCTTCGCACTTCCGGCCGATGACCGTGGCAACACCGGTGTTGTTGTCTTTGTGTGCCATCGGAGCAAGATGGTACATTTTGCTCTAGATCGTGACACCGTCACTGGCGACAAGGTCTTTTACCTGTTCATGAACTGTGTCTTCTGACACCACGGTCTGCCCGAGACCATTGTCTCTGGTCGAGATCTGTGAGGCGAGGCGGGCGAACGCCTTTATCGTCCAGGGTGTATAGCGTACGTCCGGTAGGCTTAGACCCGGGAGGGTTTAGCTTACGAAAACCCAAAACTTACAATGAATATAAGTTCCGGTTGACATGTGACCTTGTGCGATCCCTATAGGTGTCGTTTACCTTTGGCGGACCGAGTTTCAAACTTGGGAATTGCAATTGATCAAAGATACAGGAATATAGAAAACTTGGGGGCGCTACTCGTTCCGGGGGTCCTGAATGGGAGTGAGATCACGAGCAAATACCTTCTCCAAAATAACCAATATCAATACAGAGTCTGTACTCCCAATATATAGCCTGTCAATTTCGGTTGCACCCCGAATACAGGTAAATTTGGGATGTCCCACGCGCACCACTCCTGAATGTCAGGAGATCAATACAGGTACCTTCCTACCACATGCAATCTAAAATCGGGTCCTAGGGGGCGATTGCCACAACCTCCTAAAACACAGGGAATATCAAATGCAAGCCCACACTGAGAGTGCACGCCACAACTGGGAAATGAAACAGGTGTACCAACCCGAATGGACAATACTTTTGGGTACCTGGCTTGGGTTGAAGGTGTAGTAAGAAGTTTTCGGGGGCCTTGGACCAGGCGTTACTCAACGCTCGCAGCGGGGCTCCGAATGGTACACCCTCTCGTGGGCTCCTACACAATACACTCTCCCGTGGGCGACGGCTGTCCATAGGCGAATTACGAACCAGGCACTTGTGCATTTGAACGCAAAACAAACTATGTTGATCTTTAACCTCTTCTCTCTCTTTCTCTTTGTATCTCTCTCTCTTCTTCGTTGTATACTTCTCTTCCTCTTCATATGGTCTTGTTACCTTGAGGGCCGCTGGATCTTCACGCAGTCCCCTCTGCTCATTTCTTCATACGTGTTCGGGTTATCTTGGTATCAGTATACCCGGGCGTCGCATCGCGGCGCGCCCACATTGTAACGGGGTTACACGAGAGTTACCTGAAAGGTTACGGAGTGGGTACACACTGTATAACCTAAATCAGTAGGAGAACAGTACATGGCTTCAGAGCCACTGATTATGCATTATATGGCTAGTGAACCGGATACATTTACACCGTAGGCGGCTTGGCCGCGCCAAAGAGAAATACATTCAGTTTGAGATTTACACACTTAAGAGTTAAGGGTTGACTCTTATAGTCCGTAAGATGTACGGACGCGTACGTTCTGGTATTAGAACGGGCTATCTTAAGCTGAGACTATGTGAGTCTGTTACGTTTTCCTCTGACGCTAAAGCTACGGCAGCCCCGCTGCACTTGGTAGCACTTATAGTCAATCCGACACCTGAGTCTGTATAGACTGACCCTCTGTGGAGAATGGAGCAGTTCGCTCACTTGCCCCCGAACCAGCAGGATGCGCTTAAAAAGCTTATGCCCTTGCTGGGCCCGGAGGGCGTGACGCAACTTGCGCAGCAAGGCCCCGACGCGGTGAACGCGCGTCTCGAGGCGTTTTCAAGCTACGAGAATGCTCAACTAGAGCACCTCCAGCAGAGGATGGCGACTGCCGCGGCGCCCCAAGCGCCCCCTTCGTCGTCCGACGCGGGAACAAGACCCAAGCCGCTCATGTTGAGCGTGAAGACCTTCGAAGGCAAGGAGGGTGTAAGCTTGATGCTTTGGACCCGTGAGGTTGAGATGGCTATGAGCTCAGCTCTACTCCGGATGGAATCACAGCGCGTGGCACTAGCTATCTCGAAGCTCGGTGGGCGAGCGAGAGAGTGGGCACTAACGTCCGGGACGTCGGTCGAGGTGGCCTTCCCGACGTGGGACCAGCTGAAACAGCAATTGCTCCGAGTGTTCGCTCCGCCTAACGAGGCGTATCGCGTGCGCTCACGCTTCCTGGCTACTCGTCAGAGCAAGAAGGAGTTGGTGGACTATGTCCAAGAGCTGAGAACTCTCATTGCAGGGATGTCTGCTGACCCGTTGCCGGAAGCAGTCACCGTCACGGTGTTCATGGAGGGCCTTCGCACTGGCGTTGCCAGGACGGAGGTGTTCCGAACCCACCCGAGCTCTTTTGAAGAGCCTGTGAGCGTCGCATTGAATGTGGAACACAACTTTATGTCGTCGAGACTTGGGTGGAATGCGTCTTACGCTAGCGCGTCGAATGGTCCGAACCCATGGACCTCAGCTATACTGAAGACGAAGAAGATGAGCTTCGTGCTGCGGAGCAGCGTCGCAGTATCCGCAGATGCTTCATCTGTGGTGACACCCGTCACCTTCATGCTGGGTGTCCGCTGCGCCATCAGCGCCAGGCTTCGTCAAGCCGCTCTTCGAGTTCAAGCCAGGGCTCTGGTTCGTCTCGGGGAAACGAGAAGTCCCAGTAGGCGCGGGGCGGCCTACTGGGGAAGAACTAAGTTCTATTGAGCTTCGGTGAGGTGGAGGTCGACAGGACTTAGCCCCGAAGAGAGCTGTACTCTCCAACACGGAACGTGTATGCAAGCCGGGCTTGCTAGTCGTCCAAGCTTGGGTGAAGGGCTTCACGAAGCCATGAACGATTTTGATCAATTCGGGAGCGTCGGGTACTTACGCCCGGCGTTCTACGATGGACGGAAGTCAGATTTATGCTGAGGCCCTGATAGCGCGCGGAAGTGACATCGTCACTGTTCGTCTCGCGACGGGCACTCGTGTCACGGTGCCTAAGGTCCCTGTGGACCTGGGCATGAAGTTTTTTTGATTTTGATAGCGTGGAACGCTGTCTGGTCTTAGACCTCGATTCGAGATATGATCTCATTCTTGGTATGGTGTGGCTGGAATGCCACGAGCCTTGGATCGATTGGAGGTCGAACACCCTTGGTGCTACGCACTTCTCTCCTGGCGGAGCGTTGGCGAGTCATGAACCCACCTCTGCTAGGAAGCAGAAGCGCTTTTGGCGCGAGCACTGGACCGAGTCGGTCAATATGCTGGACATCGGAGTATCCGAGTTGGTGGACACTGCGTGTATCGAGAACGGGCGTTCCGAGCGTGGCTCGCGGACGGCAGGTGGAGCGGCACGAATACCACTGAACGGGTGTGCGTCTGACGGCGACGCCCTGCGGCATGCCGGTGAAGGCGTGGTCGACAGGAAGTCGAGTGAAGATGAGCGTTGCCCGGATCATGGATGTGGAGCGGCACGAATTCCGCTGAGCGGGTGTGCGTCTGAGGGCGACGCCCTGTTGTATTCAAGTGAAGGCGTGGTCGGCATGAAGCCGAGGAGCCATGGGCGTTGCCCGGATCAAGGATGTGGAGCGATACTAATTCCGCTGAGCGGGCGTGCGTCTGACGGCGACGCCCTGCTGTATTCAAGTGAAGGCGTGGTCGGCATGAAGCCGATGAGCCATGGACGTTGCCCGGATGAAGGATGTGGGGCGATACTATTTCTGCTGAGCGGGTGTGCGTCTGATGGCGACGCCCTGCTGTATTCAAGTGAAGCCAAGGTCGGCATGAAGTCGAGTGAAGATGGACGTTGCCCGGCTGTTGAAGGATGTGGGGCGGCACTAATTCCGCTGAGCGTACGTGCGTCTGAGGGCGACGCCCTGCTGTATTCAAGTGAAGCCAAGGTCGGCATGAAGTCGAGTGCAATGGACGTTGCCCGGCTGTTGAAGGATGTGGAGCGGCACGAATTCCGCTGAGCGGGTGTGCGTCTGAGGGCGACGCCCTGCGGCATTCCGGTTAAGGCGTGGTCGACAGGAAGTCGAGTGAAGATGAGCGTTGCCCGGATCATGGATGTGGAGCGGCACGAATTCCGCTGAGCGGGTGTGCGTCTGAGGGCGACGCCCTGTTGTATTCAAGTGAAGGCGTGGTCGGCATGAAGCCGATGAGCCATGGACGTTGCCCGGATCATGGATGTGGGGCGGCACTAATTCCGCTGAGCGGGTGTGCGTCTGAGGGCGACGCCCTGCTGTATTCAAGTGAAGGCGTGGTCGGCATGAAGCCGATGAGCCATGGACGTTGCCCGGATGAAGGATGTGGGGCGATACTATTTCTGCTGAGCGGGTGTGCGTCTGATGGCGACGCCCTGCTGTATTCAAGTGAAGCCAAGGTCGGCATGAAGTCGAGTGCAATGGACGTTGCCCGGCTGTTGAAGGATGTGGAGCGGCCCGAATTCCGCTGAGCGGGTGTGCGTCTGACGGCGACGCCCTGCGGCATGCCGGTGAAGGCGTGGTCGACAGGAAGTCGAGTGAAGATGAGCGTTGCCCGGATCATGGATGTGGAGCGGCACGAATTCCGCTGAGCGGGTGTGCGTCTGAGGGCGACGCCCTGTTGTATTCAAGTGAAGGCGTGGTCGGCATGAAGCCGATGAGCCATGGACGTTGCCCGGATGAAGGATATGGGGCGATACTATTTCTGCTGAGCGGGTGTGCGTCTGATGGCGACGCCCTGCTGTATTCAAGTGAAGCCAAGGTCGGCATGAAGTCGAGTGCAATGGATGTTGCCCGGCTGTTGAAGGATGTGGAGCGGCACGAATTACGCTGAGCGGGTGTGCGTCTGAGGGCGACGCCCTGCTGTATTCAAGTGATGCCAAGGTCGGCATGAAGCCGAGGAGCCATGGGCGTTGCCGGGATTAAGGATGTGGAGCGATACTATTTCTGCTGAGCGGGTGTGCGTCTGACGGCGACGCCCTGCGGCATGCCGGTGAAGGCGTGGTCGACAGAAAGTCGAGTGAAGATGAGCGTTGCCCGGATCATGGATGTGGAGCGGCACGAATTCCGCTGAGCGGGTGTGCGTCTGAGGGCGACGCCCTGTTGTATTCAAGTGAAGGCGTGGTCGGCATGAAGCCGATGAGCCATGGACGTTGCCCGGATCAAGGATGTGGGGCGATACTATTTCTGCTGAGCGGGTGTGCGTCTGACGGCGACGCCCTGCGGCATGCCGGTGAAGGTGTGGTCGACAGGAAGTCGAGTGAAGATGAGCGTTGCCCGGATCATGGATGTGGAGCGGCACGAATTCCGCTGAGCGGGTGTGCGTCTGAGGGCGACGCCCTGTTGTATTCAAGTGAAGGCGTGGTCGGCATGAAGCCGATGAGCCATGGACGTTGCCCGGATGAAGGATGTGGGGCGATACTATTTCTGCTGATCGGGTGTGCGTCTGATGGCGACGCCCTGCTGTATTCAAGTGAAGCCAAGGTCGGCATGAAGTCGAGTGCAATGGACGTTGCCCGGCTGTTGAAGGATGTGGAGCGGCACTAATTCCGCTGAGCGGGTGTGCGTCTGAGGGCGACGCCCTGTTGTATTCAAGTGAAGCCAAGGTCGGCATGAAGTCGAGTGCAATGGACGTTGCCCGGCTGTTGAAGGATGTGGAGCGGCACGAATTCCGCTGAGCGGGCGTGCGTCTGACGGCGACGCCCTGCGGCATGCCGGTGAAGGCGTGGTCGACAGAAAGTCGAGTGAAGATGAGCGTTGCCCGGATCATGGATGTGGAGCGGCACGAATTCCGCTGAGCGGGTGTGCGTCTGAGGGCGACGCCCTGTTGTATTCAAGTGAAGGCGTGGTCGGCATGAAGCCGATGAGCCATGGACGTTGCCCGGATCAAGGATGTGGGGCGATACTATTTCTGCTGAGCGGGTGTGCGTCTGAGGGCGACGCCCTGCGGCATGCCGGTGAAGGTGTGGTCGACAGGAAGTCGAGTGAAGATGAGCGTTGCCCGGATCATGGATGTGGAGCGGCACGAATTCCGCTGAGCGGGTGTGCGTCTGAGGGCGACGCCCTGTTGTATTCAAGTGAAGGCGTGGTCGGCATGAAGCCGATGAGCCATGGACGTTGCCCGGATGAAGGATGTGGGGCGATACTATTTCTGCTGATCGGGTGTGCGTCTGATGGCGACGCCCTGCTGTATTCAAGTGAAGCCAAGGTCGGCATGAAGTCGAGTGCAATGGACGTTGCCCGGCTGTTGAAGGATGTGGAGCGGCACTAATTCCGCTGAGCGGGTGTGCGTCTGAGGGCGACGCCCTGTTGTATTCAAGTGAAGCCAAGGTCGGCATGAAGTCGAGTGCAATGGACGTTGCCCGGCTGTTGAAGGATGTGGAGCGGCACGAATTCCGCTGAGCGGGTGTGCGTCTGAGGGCGACGCCCTGCGGCATTCCGGTGAAGGCGTGGTCGACAGGAAGTCGAGTGAAGATGAGCGTTGCCCGGATCATGGATGTGGAGCGGCACGAATTCCGCTGAGCGGGTGTGCGTCTGAGGGCGACGCCCTGTTGTATTCAAGTGAAGGCGTGGTCGGCATGAAGCCGATGAGCCATGGACGTTGCCCGGATCAAGGATGTGGGGCGATACTATTTCTGCTGAGCGGGTGTGCGTCTGAGGGCGACGCCCTGTTGTATTCAAGTGAAGGCGTGGTCGGCATGAAGCCGATGAGCCATGGACGTTGCCCGGATCAAGGATGTGGGGCGATACTATTTCTGCTGAGCGGGTGTGCGTCTGAGGGCGACGCCCTGCGGCATGCCGGTGAAGGTGTGGTCGACAGGAAGTCGAGTGAAGATGAGCGTTGCCCGGATCATGGATGTGGAGCTGCACGAATTCCGCTGAGCGGGTGTGCGTCTGAGGGCGACGCCCTGCGGCATGCCGGTGAAGGCGTGGTCGACAGGAAGTCGAGGAGCCATGGGCGTTGCCCGGATCAAGGATGTGGAGCGATACTAATTCCGCTGAGCGGGCGTGCGTCTGACGGCGACGCCCTGCGGCATGCCGGTGAAGGCGTGGTCGACAGGAAGTCGAGTGAAGATGAGCGTTGCCCGGATCATGGATGTGGAGCGGCACGAATTCCGCTGAGCGGGTGTGCGTCTGAGGGCGACGCCCTGTTGTATTCAAGTGAAGGCGTGGTCGGCATGAAGCCGATGAGCCATGGACGTTGCCCGGATGAAGGATGTGGGGCGATACTATTTCTGCTGAGCGGGTGTGCGTCTGATGGCGACGCCCTGCTGTATTCAAGTGAAGCCAAGGTCGGCATGAAGTGAAGTGAAGATGGACGTTGCCCGGCTGTTGAAGGATGTGGGGCGGCACTAATTCCGCTGAGCGTACGTGCGTCTGAGGGCGACGCCCTGCTGTATTCAAGTGAAGCCAAGGTCGGCATGAAGTCGAGTGCAATGGACGTTGCCCGGCTGTTGAAGGATGTGGAGCGGCACGAATTCCGCTGAGCGGGTGTGCGTCTGAGGGCGACGCCCTGCGGCATGCCGGTGAAGGCGTGGTCGACAGGAAGTCGAGTGAAGATGGACGTTGCCCGGATCATGGATGTGGAGCTGCACGAATTCCGCTGAGCGGGTGTGCGTCTGAGGGCGACGCCCTGCGGCATGCCGGTGAAGGCGTGGTCGACAGGAAGTCGAGGAGCCATGGGCGTTGCCCGGATCAAGGATGTGGAGCGATACTAATTCCGCTGAGCGGGCGTGCGTCTGACGGCGACGCCCTGCGGCATGCCGGTGAAGGCGTGGTCGACAGGAAGTCGAGTGAAGATGAGCGTTGCCCGGATCATGGATGTGGAGCGGCACGAATTCCGCTGAGCGGGTGTGCGTCTGAGGGCGACGCCCTGTTGTATTCAAGTGAAGGCGTGGTCGGCATGAAGCCGATGAGCCATGGACGTTGCCCGGATGAAGGATGTGGGGCGATACTATTTCTGCTGAGCGGGTGTGCGTCTGATGGCGACGCCCTGCTGTATTCAAGTGAAGCCAAGGTCGGCATGAAGTCAAGTGAAGATGGACGTTGCCCGGCTGTTGAAGGATGTGGGGCGGCACTAATTCCGCTGAGCGTACGTGCGTCTGAGGGCGACGCCCTGCTGTATTCAAGTGAAGCCAAGGTCGGCATGAAGTCGAGTGCAATGGACGTTGCCCGGCTGTTGAAGGATGTGGAGCGGCACGAATTCCGCTGAGCGGGTGTGCGTCTGAGGGCGACGCCCTGCGGCATGCCGGTGAAGGCGTGGTCGACAGGAAGTCGAGTGAAGATGGACGTTGCCCGGATCATGGATGTGGAGCGGCACGAATTCCGCTGAGCGGGTGTGCGTCTGAGGGCGACGCCCTGTTGTATTCAAGTGAAGGCGTGGTCGGCATGAAGCCGATGAGCCATGGACGTTGCCCGGATGAAGGATGTGGGGCGATACTATTTCTGCTGAGCGGGTGTGCGTCTGAGGGCGACGCCCTGCTGTATTCAAGTGAAGCCAAGGTCGGCATGAAGTGAAGTGAAGATGGACGTTGCCCGGCTGTTGAAGGATGTGGGGCGGCACTAATTCCGCTGAGCGTACGTGCGTCTGAGGGCGACGCCCTGCTGTATTCAAGTGAAGCCAAGGTCGGCATGAAGTCGAGTGCAATGGACGTTGCCCGGCTGTTGAAGGATGTGGAGCGGCACGAATTCCGCTGAGCGGGTGTGCGTCTGAGGGCGACGCCCTGCGGCATGCCGGTGAAGGCGTGGTCGACAGGAAGTCGAGTGAAGATGGACGTTGCCCGGATCATGGATGTGGAGCGGCACGAATTCCGCTGAGCGGGTGTGCGTCTGAGGGCGACGCCCTGCTGTATTCAAATGAAGCCAAGGTCGGCATGAAGTCGAGTGCAATGGACGTTGCCCGGCTGTTGAAGGATGTGGAGCGGCCCGAATTCCGCTGAGCGGGTGTGCGTCTGAGGGCGACGCCCTGCTGTATTCAAGTGAAGCCAAGGTCGGCATGAAGTCGAGTGCAATGGACGTTGCCCGGCTGTTGAAGGATGTGGAGCGGCACGAATTCCGCTGAGCGGGTGTGCGTCTGAGGGCGACGCCCTGCGGCATGCCGGTGAAGGCGTGGTCGACAGGAAGTCGAGTGAAGATGAGCGTTGCCCGGATCATGGATGTGGAGCGGCACGAATTCCGCTGAGCGGGTGTGCGTCTGACGGCGACGCCCTGCGGCATGCCGGTGAAGGCGTGGTCGACAGGAAGTCGAGGAGCCATGGGCGTTGCCCGGATCAAGGATGTGGAGCGATACTAATTCCGCTGAGCGGGCGTGCGTCTGACGGCGACGCCCTGCGGCATGCCGGTGAAGGCGTGGTCGACAGGAAGTCGAGTGAAGATGAGCGTTGCCCGGATCATGGATGTGGAGCGGCACGAATTCCGCTGAGCGGGTGTGCGTCTGAGGGCGACGCCCTGTTGTATTCAAGTGAAGGCGTGGTCGGCATGAAGCCGATGAGCCATGGACGTTGCCCGGATGAAGGATGTGGGGCGATACTATTTCTGCTGAGCGGGTGTGCGTCTGATGGCGACGCCCTGCTGTATTCAAGTGAAGCCAAGGTCGGCATGAAGTGAAGTGAAGATGGACGTTGCCCGGCTGTTGAAGGATGTGGGGCGGCACTAATTCCGCTGAGCGTACGTGCGTCTGAGGGCGACGCCCTGCTGTATTCAAGTGAAGCCAAGGTCGGCATGAAGTCGAGTGAAGATGGACGTTGCCCGGCTGTTGAAGGATGTGGGGCGGCACTAATTCCGCTGAGCGTACGTGCGTCTGAGGGCGACGCCCTGCTGTATTCAAGTGAAGCCAAGGTCGGCATGAAGTCGAGTGCAATGGACGTTGCCCGGCTGTTGAAGGATGTGGAGCGGCACGAATTCCGCTGAGCGGGTGTGCGTCTGAGGGCGACGCCCTGCGGCATGCCGGTGAAGGCGTGGTCGACAGGAAGTCGAGTGAAGATGGACGTTGCCCGGATCATGGATGTGGAGCGGCACGAATTCCGCTGAGCGGGTGTGCGTCTGAGGGCGACGCCCTGTTGTATTCAAGTGAAGGCGTGGTCGGCATGAAGCCGATGAGCCATGGACGTTGCCCGGATGAAGGATGTGGGGCGATACTATTTCTGCTGAGCGGGTGTGCGTCTGAGGGCGACGCCCTGCTGTATTCAAGTGAAGCCAAGGTCGGCATGAAGTGAAGTGAAGATGGACGTTGCCCGGCTGTTGAAGGATGTGGGGCGGCACTAATTCCGCTGAGCGTACGTGCGTCTGAGGGCGACGCCCTGCTGTATTCAAGTGAAGCCAAGGTCGGCATGAAGTCGAGTGCAATGGACGTTGCCCGGCTGTTGAAGGATGTGGAGCGGCACGAATTCCGCTGAGCGGGTGTGCGTCTGAGGGCGACGCCCTGCGGCATGCCGGTGAAGGCGTGGTCGACAGGAAGTCGAGTGAAGATGGACGTTGCCCGGATCATGGATGTGGAGCGGCACGAATTCCGCTGAGCGGGTGTGCGTCTGAGGGCGACGCCCTGCTGTATTCAAATGAAGCCAAGGTCGGCATGAAGTCGAGTGCAATGGACGTTGCCCGGCTGTTGAAGGATGTGGAGCGGCCCGAATTCCGCTGAGCGGGTGTGCGTCTGAGGGCGACGCCCTGCTGTATTCAAGTGAAGCCAAGGTCGGCATGAAGTCGAGTGCAATGGACGTTGCCCGGCTGTTGAAGGATGTGGAGCGGCACGAATTCCGCTGAGCGGGTGTGCGTCTGACGGCGACGCCCTGCGGCATGCCGGTGAAGGCGTGGTCGACAGGAAGTCGAGTGAAGATGGGCGTTGCCCGGATCAAGGATGTGGAGCGATACTAATTCCGCTGAGCGGGCGGGCGTCTGACGGCGACGCCCTGCGGCATGCCGGTGAAGGCGTGGTCGACAGGAAGTCGAGTGAAGATGAGCGTTGCCCGGATCATGGATGTGGAGCGGCACGAATTCCGCTGAGCGGGTGTGCGTCTGAGGGCGACGCCCTGTTGTATTCAAGTGAAGGCGTGGTCGGCATGAAGCCGATGAGCCATGGACGTTGCCCGGATGAAGGATGTGGGGCGATACTATTTCTGCTGAGCGGGTGTGCGTCTGATGGCGACGCCCTGCTGTATTCAAGTGAAGCCAAGGTCGGCATGAAGTGAAGTGAAGATGGACGTTGCCCGGCTGTTGAAGGATGTGGGGCGGCACTAATTCCGCTGAGCGTACGTGCGTCTGAGGGCGACGCCCTGCTGTATTCAAGTGAAGCCAAGGTCGGCATGAAGTCGAGTGCAATGGACGTTGCCCGGCTGTTGAAGGATGTGGAGCGGCACGAATTCCGCTGAGCGGGTGTGCGTCTGACGGCGACGCCCTGCGGCATGCCGGTGAAGGCGTGGTCGACAGGAAGTCGAGGAGCCATGGGCGTTGCCCGGATCAAGGATGCGGAGCGATACTAATTCCGCTGAGCGGGCGTGCGTCTGACGGCGACGCCCTGCGGCATGCCGGTGAAGGCGTGGTCGACAGGAAGTCGAGTGAAGATGAGCGTTGCCCGGATCATGGATGTGGAGCGGCACGAATTCCGCTGAGCGGGTGTGCGTCTGAGGGCGACGCCCTGTTGTATTCAAGTGAAGGCGTGGTCGGCATGAAGCCGATGAGCCATGGACGTTGCCCGGATGAAGGATGTGGGGCGATACTATTTCTGCTGAGCGGGTGTGCGTCTGATGGCGACGCCCTGCTGTATTCAAGTGAAGCCAAGGTCGGCATGAAGTGAAGTGAAGATGGACGTTGCCCGGCTGTTGAAGGATGTGGGGCGGCACTAATTCCGCTGAGCGTACGTGCGTCTGAGGGCGACGCCCTGCTGTATTCAAGTGAAGCCAAGGTCGGCATGAAGTCGAGTGAAGATGGACGTTGCCCGGCTGTTGAAGGATGTGGGGCGGCACTAATTCCGCTGAGCGTACGTGCGTCTGAGGGCGACGCCCTGCTGTATTCAAGTGAAGGCGTGGTCGGCATGAAGCGGAGGAGCCATGGACGTTGCCCGGATGAAGGATGTGGGGCGATACTATTTCTGCTGAGCGGGTGTGCGTCTGATGGCGACGCCCTGCTGTATTCAAGTGAAGCCAAGGTCGGCATGAAGTGAAGTGAAGATGGACGTTGCCCAGCTGTTGAAGGATGTGGGGCGGCACTAATTCCGCTGAGCGTACGTGCGTCTGATGGCGACGCCCTGCTGTATTCAAGTGAAGCCAAGGTCGGCATGAAGTCGAGTGAAGATGGACGTTGCCCGGCTGTTGAAGGATGTGGGGCGGCACTAATTCCGCTGAGCGTACGTGCGTCTGAGGGCGACGCCCTGCTGTATTCAAGTGAAGCCAAGGTCGGCATGAAGTCGAGTGCAATGGACGTTGCCCGGCTGTTGTAGGATGTGGAGCGGCACGAATTCCGCTGAGCGGGTGTGCGTCTGAGGGCGACGCCCTGCGGCATGCCGGTGAAGGCGTGGTCGACAGGAAGTCGAGTGAAGATGAGCGTTGCCCGGATCAAGGATGTGGAGCGGCACGAATTCCGCTGAGCGGGTGTGCGTCTGACGGCGACGCCCTGCGGCATGCCGGTGAAGGCGTGGTCGACAGGAAGTCGAGGAGCCATGGGCGTTGCCCGGATCATGGATGTGGAGCGGCACGAATTCCGCTGAGCGGGTGTGCGTCTGACGGCGACGCCCTGCGGCATGCCGGTGAAGGCGTGGTCGACAGGAAGTCGAGTGAAGATGAGCGTTGCCCGGATCATGGATGTGGAGCGGCACGAATTCCGCTGAGCGGGTGTGCGTCTGAGGGCGACGCCCTGTTGTATTCAAGTGAAGGCGTGGTCGGCATGAAGTGAAGTGAAGATGGACGTTGCCCGGCTGTTGTAGGATGTGGAGCGGCACGAATTCCGCTGAGCGGGTGTGCGTCTGAGGGCGACGCCCTGCGGCATGCCGGTGAAGGCGTGGTCGACAGGAAGTCGAGTGAAGATGAGCGTTGCCCGGATCAAGGATGTGGAGCGGCACGAATTCCGCTGAGCGGGTGTGCGTCTGACGGCGACGCCCTGCGGCATGCCGGTGAAGGCGTGGTCGACAGGAAGTCGAGTGAAGATGAGCGTTGCCCGGATCATGGATGTGGAGCGGCACGAATTCCGCTGAGCGGGTGTGCGTCTGACGGCGACGCCCTGCGGCATGCCGGTGAAGGCGTGGTCGACAGGAAGTCGAGTGAAGATGAGCGTTGCCCGGATCATGGATGTGGAGCGGCACGAATTCCGCTGAGCGGGTGTGCGTCTGAGGGCGACGCCCTGTTGTATTCAAGTGAAGGCGTGGTCGGCATGAAGTGAAGTGAAGATGGACGTTGCCCGGCTGTTGAAGGATGTGGGGCGATACTAATTCCGCTGAGCGGGTGTGCGTCTGATGGCGACGCCCTGCTGTATTCAAGTGAAGCCAAGGTCGGCATGAAGTCGAGTGCAATGGACGTTGCCCGGCTGTTGAAGGATGTGGAGCGGCACGAATTCCGCTGAGCGGGTGTGCGTCTGAGGGCGACGCCCTGTTGTATTCAAGTGAAGGCGTGGTCGGCATGAAGCCGATGAGCCATGGACGTTGCCCGGA